TCTGGTTAAAGAAAGCTAAATGTAGCAGTTGGCTCACGGAGTTTGGAGAATGTCGCCTCTCATATACTGAACAAATGTTTCAACATACCGTTAGTCATAAACCCAAACAAAGAAAAACTTCAGCTGTCAAACAAACGAATAACATTTCGTTAAAGTCTTACTTGCCCAATGTTATGACTACTGAACCTTATCCAGAGTTTAGGTTTCGTCACAAGTTCTCCATGTTAGTCATAGCACCAACACAGAGTGGCAAAACATATTTTGTAAGGCGATTACTGGAGATGGATCATATCAACTACGACAATCACAAAAGGAGACGAATCATGTGGTATTATGGTCAATATCAAGACGTTTACAAGGATATGAAAAGAAGCCTTAAAAGAGATATACATTTCATCGAAGGACTACCTGATTACGAGGATAATCTGTCAAATTTGGATGATTCATACAACAATATCATCGTTTTAGATGACTTGATGGATCTAGCGAAGGATTCCACCATTGTATCTAAGCTATTTACTCAAGGAAGACATAGAAATACCAGTGTTATCCTCCTGCTTCAAAATGCTTTTCCTAAGGGAAAGTGCAACACGGAAATATCCAGAAATGCTCAGTATGTGGTCCTTTGGAAATGTCCCTCAGACAGGAGACAAATTGGTATGCTGGCAGACAGAATATTTGAGAAAAATAAGGACAGATTTATGGAGGTGTATAATAAGGTTACAGCAAAGCCATATCAATATGTGCTGGTAGATTGTAAGCCAGATACTCATTCAAGTAAACAATTGATCGCCGACGTGTTTGGAGCATGTATATATTTTCCGAATATTTATACATCTGTCACTGCTACGAACCGCAGAAAAGTGATTGAGGGGCGAGAAACTCTTGCACAGTCTAGTTTAACACACATCAATTCAAGTATAAATGACATACTGAGAGATACAGAAGAGGAAGGTCCGATAGTTATACATCTATCTAGCCAGGAATGGTCTCAGGTGATCACACAATTCAAAATGGCGGATGGTAGCTACAATGTCGATCCTGGATGGAAAATATGGAGGATTTATCTTTCTCAACACAACCGTGACACTCATAGTATACCAGTGTTGTTGAAAGGTTATGGACCACATTCTGAAACAAAATTGTATCACGTCGATTTGGATTGGCTAAAATATTCTTGTCACACTGTGAAACATTTATTGTGAATATGATTTGTCATAGGCAAATGATTTATTCTGTGAAAGAAAGGCCGAAAAACAGACTTTAGTACATAGATGTACATGTTTATTGATTTTAAAAGTTGTAATAAATACATCCATACGCAATATATGAAATTAGTTGTTTGTGCGTGGAAACTTGAAAAATATAGTGAGACTAGTACTACATGCACCTTAACGCCAAGACAGTTTACCTTTTCTGAAACAGGCAAAAGGCTTATATTTATTGAATACATTTTCCATAGACCTCATATTGTGCATACTATCTAAAATTTCTTGAACAAGTTCACTAAACAAATGTGAACCCATGATTAAGTGATATAGCGACCTTTAAAGTTTCCTGCTTCACATGCTAAATAAAACAAAGCCAGATATCTTTACTAATACAGCTGACTTGTAATATAATCCCAAATATAATTACACTGATTTATCTCGTCTGCCCCAGAACTTAACCACAGCCAACTTGTCAACATCTGGTTTCTATTAGATTGTATTGTATTGTATCGTATAGCGGTACAAGACACGTTGAACTATGAATTAGTTGTGAATGTGTATAACAACAAAATGGACTCTTGAAATGAACAGTATTTAAGGATCATGTTAGATATAGCACGACCTGGTAAGTTTAATTTAAAGAACATTTTTATTATACTGTCATCACGATTTAAATCAGTTCTAACCAGATGGTGAGGGAAATCTCATCGATGAGGCAACGTTGAAACGTTCTGAAATCGTCTAAACGTTCGAAAAACGTTGGTATCAACTCTGACGGCACGAAAACGTTCGGAAATTCCATCGATGACGTAGTTAATGTTCAACGTATTTCAATCGATATATCCGATGGCTCTCCTAAATCAATCTAAAATCATCCTGCTATTTGTAAAGAAATGAAAATTGTATGGCTTGTTATCATACTTCGACCTACCAACGTTATAGTCCTGGAACATTGGATAATGTCTGGCTTCTGGAAAAGTCAACCTCGATGTCAATCCGGACGTCGACCTTACGTTTGCGGGGGTGTGGAATTCGAGTCCTATAGGACTGGTTTAATAAAAGGGGATTACCCTGTTTTCTAGGTGGGAATTCCCTGAATGACGCAGTAGATGAAAAATGGGGAATACCCGTTTTGCACCCCCTACACATCGATGAACCCCCTTCCATAGGGATACGTGTTAAAGATATTTGAAACTCTCTAAATGACAACTACTAATATTAAATATGAGGGTTTAAAGAAAGAATATTGAATATGAGATTCAAAAAGACAAGTGGCCTCATGTCTCACGTTACCCAAACCCCAGATCCTTGATGTCATATATACTTGTATACTGTATATCAATGTTATTTACTGGGAGGATTAAATATGGAGTGTATAGCAATGGTCAATACGATATTTCCAGATGGATATTTTTCTCTAGAAGCGGAACCCAAACTCAGTCATGACATAGAAGCTAACTTTTGCAATTAATAGAAACTTGTTTTTTATTATATTTTTGTGTTCTATATTTGAGATGAAATAATATGAGATTCATTTCTACAAGAGGATGGAACGAATGTGAACTTGTATATTGAACTATACTCCTTTTCTGATTAAACAGAACAACATTTTATCCAAGCCAATTAAGAAAACCAAGGCCAATGAGTGTAATTTATGCCCAGTTAAACTAACACAATAACAACTTTTTGTCTGGACTCACTTATTATGTAAGAATGAATTGTATTACTGTTTACTGCATTAAATGTCAAGTACACTATCTGTATTTAATTTGAAATGCCTATCTCACTTATCGAAGGTATACAAGAAATGTTATTTTGAAACAAATTCAGCACAACCAAAACCATGTCCACATAATATGACAAATCCAAGATGGCTGCCACAATTTTAGATCCATGCACATGTGAAGAAGTTAGAAATACACATGGTCCACAAGTTCCATCCCCAATAAAATGGGAACTTTAAGGTTTTCACACATATCAACTCTATTCCTATATACTTTATATTTGTGGTAAGGCTTGTGATCTAGGTAAACTTAGCATGTTCATGTACCTCCTATCTTCTGAAGCTAAAAACAGAAATAGTGACTTCAATTGAGAAAAATTAATCTTATGGGCTCCATATACATTTTGAGTGGCTGTCCAGCTTAAGTTAGATACTACTGATAATCTGAGATTGAAAAATTATGTCAAGTTTAGTCCTCAGCCTCTCATAACCGATAACTTCGAGGTAATTGTGTTGTTACTGCAAAAACCTCTATTTCTTCATCACAAATCTACCATCTTTTGCATCTGTCAAAACCCCTCATTTCATGTTAATTTTCAGACTTTTGCTTGTGCCATCATTAAATATATATATTCAACTTGTTATTCAGAATATTTGAAGAACTTTTCATGAGGTTTTTTATTTTCCCACTTTTGAAAAAATGACTAAGTCCGAGAATGGCCTCTTAATGGCATGTCCCCTTTGCTACGCTTTGGCGTTGCTGTTGTTTTAAATTATTAGGCAATATTACGAGCCATTTACCTGTACAGTAAAACCTTCTAAGCGGAACATCACTGTAAGTGGAACACCTTGCAACATATTTTCAATGTCTCATTTTTAAATCCCACTGACCTCATGTTAATTGAACCTATGGAAATTAATGTATCACCTCCAAACTGGAACATTTTGAACACACCATTATGTAAAATTAACCTGTGAAAGTGCATCCTCCGATCACAGGGCTTCAAAATCCAAGGAGGTACGGATTCTGCATACCTGCTTAGGAGGATGATGAAAGTGGAACATCCAAATTTCAAAGATCATTGGAATTACCTTCAACCGTGATTCCTGGACTTATTAACAAGGAGTTATACTGATCACAGGGAACCCCCCCCCCCTTCCCGGCTCAGTTGGTTTTTCAAAGGCGCTAATTACAATCATTTACCTTTTACCTTAAAGCTGTAAGGTACTGGTGGAGCGAAAACATTTTTGAAAAAAATCACAAACCTACACATAAAATAATGAAATAAAGTATTAAAGCATATGTGTATTCCCTTGCTTTTTTCAAAAAAAACATCATCACATTGTCTTCTTTTAGCAAACCTGGAAGGAGGTCAATGGTAACTCCAGAAAATGCTGATATTTCAAAAAAATTGCTGCGTTTTCAATTTTCCAAATTTCTTCTCCAAGTTTCTCAACAACACTGGATTGCCATTGACCTCTTACCAGATATAAGAAGACAATCTAATGATACTTTCCTGAAAAAAGGAAGGAAACACGCACGTGCCTTCATACAATACTTTATTTTGTACCAGAAAATAACATGTGCAGGTATAGCAATTTTTTCAATACAAGACTACATATGGTCTCTCCCATTTCTACAGGAGCAAAAAAAGATCGCGAGACCTTTGTGGCCCCATAACCTCTGGAAATGGAACACCTCGCAAGCGAAACAAAGGCAGAACCAAAGGCGTTTCACTTATACAGGTTTTACTGTACTTCTTAGCTTAAAGTACGATGTATTATGCAATACTTAACGATGATAAGCTAAGATTGACCTACCCCTGAACCTTTGTGCAATAGTACATAATAGTAAGTAATAATACTTATACTGTGGTGCTTTTAATAAATACGATCGGTCTATTATTCAAAGGGGTGGCAGTTTATAGTAAAGTCCATGTATTAACATTCTTAATGTCTCGTTGCTCGCAAGTTTGATTACCTTGTTAAGTGTACCTTAACAGGAATATTTAGTTGTTAATGAATTATAAAACGCTAAACACAAGTTCAAGTTCATGGAGTGCATACACGATTTAGTGAATACAATGTAACCTGGTATCATACATTCGGAAACTATTATGTTGACCTCATGGTGTCATGATAAGATTGCGTATTGAAAGCAACTAATTACCGAACATTACCTGGTAAGTCTGATTTTATTATTAGCGTAAGCTCTACCATTCAATGGTCGGAGAAGCAATATTGATTTTTCATTCAAAATTTATCAATTGCGCATAAATTGTATGTAGGTAACAGTGTGTATGTAGGTTAACTAAGTTACTTTACGTGTATTGTTGTATAATGTACATGTCTTTCAAGGTTCTTGCAATACGGTGTACAATGGCTAGTTCTAAATATTGTGCGGTATCAAAATTGAATACTTTTATTTATATTGAGATTAGGTAGGATACGAGTAGAAGTAATAATATGCTTTGACCGCTCATATCTACCGTAGTACTGCATTAAGCCGCCAAGCTGTACAGTGGGAGGGGGTCACAAGTAGCTAGACTAACGCCAAGTGCAGAGATTGTACAGTGGTCCAACTCTTCGCAAATCCAGTACCATCAGACTGATCTATTACTCTCCTACACATAAATGACCTCTTTTCATACCTAAAAGAGTCATTAGCAAATTTAAAAGTTGACATGTTACATGTAAATTTAGTCAAAGAAAACTTGCCTTTTCTCTTTACATCATAGGCTTTCAAGAGAAGCCCATGTTTACATGATTTAAATGAAAAAAAAGAAAGTAAAAACTGTAAAAATAAAACACACTGTTTATACTGTAACCATATGAATATAAATGGGTATTGAGTCAATGTAATTGACATCTCACATGTCATTTGTGAAACTTGTTGTATAACTTGAAATGTCTTGTAACAAGTCGTCGGGTCGGGGTGCTTTGAATGCAGTAATATTTTTCATGAACCTGTGCTGTGATGTATACAACTTAAACTTTTTGTACTAGGAGTTATGCCTGAACTCTCCCTCACCAATGTCGACTAGTACTTGAACTTTTTATAAACAGGTTTCTCGGTCAATTACTAGGACTTACTCCGGGGGCTTACTAGTATTCTAACTAGGTTTAAAGTCCATTACTTAAGATATACAAAAAAAAAATAAGTCACTTATTCATCATCATGAAATAAATAAATCGGTAGTTAATTCCAATCTCATTTGATCTACGGCAACCGTAGGCTAAGGCGGTCGTAGCTTCCCAAAATCGAGAAAAAACATGCAGCATAAATTATAGGGATTTAAGCGTGAATTGTTATATATCTATTTTTGAAGCTATGACCGCCGTACGCCCGCCGTAGACCAAATGTGCCTGGGTCTGAAGTCAGCACTAAATCTCACCCCATGCAGGCAGATCGCCTAAAAGTACATTCGTATGATGCGAGACTCGACATTCACCAGGAAAGTAGAAACATTTATTTTTATTACATTTTTGAAGCAAATTAATTTTTACTGATTAATAAATGGTCAAGGATAGTAACATTGAGTTCTATGAGTATGAGAATAGCATGACGTCTTGATATTTCAAGGCAACTCTTTCGAAAAGTGATAGCGGTGATCGAAATAGTACGATGTAAAGATATAGAATTTTTCAAAACAGAAAAAAACATGTATAAAAAGTGAGGCCTGCGGGTCAGATTCCCTCTGGTAGCATTAACATTGGTGTCATTACATACTGCTTAATAAAATGATGAATGATAGTCATATAAGTTCTATAAGTATGAGAATAGCATACCGTCTTGATATTTCAAGGTAACTCGTTCGAAAAATGATGACGGTCAATGAAATGACGATGTGAAGATAAAATCGCAACAAATGATTTGTAGATTTTTCAAAAAAAATTAAGAAATAAACATCTCATATTGAAATTTTCAAAACAGAAAAACATGTATATATAGTTACAGTAAGGCATGTAGGTCCGATTCCCCCTGGTAGCATTAACATTGGTCTGGTATAAGTCATATAGTTAATATTTGAAACCCAACTATTATTCAAACTTATGATCGGACATAAGTATGATGTACACTTCAATGTAATATTAATAAATTAACATCATACTTATGTCCGATCATAAGTTCGAATGATAGTTATATTTCAAATATTAATTGTATGACATGTTTGAGACCAATGTTAATGCTACCAGGGGAATCTGATCCGCAGGCCTTATTTTTTATACATGTTTTTTCTGTTTTGAAAAATTCTATATGTGATGTATATTTCTTAGTTTTTCAAAGGCAAATAATTCATTATGTTTTATCTTTACATCGTAATTTTGATCACCGCTATCACTTTTCGAACGAGTTACCTTGAAATATCAAGACGTCATGCTATTCTCCTCAAAGAACTCAATGTTACTATCCTTGACCATTTATCAAGCAGTTAAAATTGATTTCCCTTTGTTTATTAGCAGTAAAAATTAATTTGCTTCATGGGTGACAAAATGTTTCTACTTTCCTGTTGAATGTCGAGTCTCGCATCATACGAATGTGGTTTTAGGCGATCTGTCTGCTTGGGGTGAATTGACCATCTAAACATTTAGAGCTTCGAATGTCGTGGTGTAAAAGATGCATTTAAAGAGTCAGTCACAAAAGGATCTTACCAGTTGCCACTCGGCATTTATCTTGGACCTGAAGTTCTGCTGAACATATTATTTCTGATCAAATAGGGGCCAAAAAGTACACAAATATAAATCTAGAGCTACAAAATGGCAAATGATAGAGATGGTGAAAACAGTTGCAAGCAAGTTTACCAAAGAATTTTTCAAATATTATTGTTTTAGATTACAGGCAGTGTTTTCATCACTATGGACGCAATGTTGTTTGATGTCCAATGCATCCAGGTTTGGGGCATTCATCTCGTCGTACCTATACTACTGGTCATATGCATACAGCTCCTGTGGCACCATTACAATCTTCGCTTGGCTGATCCGGCTAACAAACTGCCACTACCTCCCGGATCTTTTGGACTACCCTTAGTTGGAGAGTCGTTCAGTTTCATCTTAAAGGTAAGCGTTGTCTAGTTAAGAAATATAGACTGAAGAGCAGGGATAATAATGTCGTATTTATGCCTAGCCCTGAGGGGTGTATTCGACGATACTACCCCTGTTCTGAGGTCTATATTACGATTCGAACATGAAAACTCACCAAAATGTTTCGAATACTCATTATGGTTCGCCATTACTTCGACACGCCGTTATGACGTCACACATTACATGTATTAACAGGGGTATTCTTCGCGAATATACCCCGGGTGAAATGGTGACTTTGTTTAAGGTTTATAGAAGGCGTGAATACAGTCATGTTCGAATACTAACTGTTTATACATTCCTATTTATATTAATGCCGTTGCAGATCAGTTTTGTGGGTCAGTACGTTAATTCCTCGAACAATGGACTGATAGCCTAGTATGTCTTAGTTTTTGCAATTTGAAATGTCTGTACTTCCAGGCAAATTTTATTCGAATGAAAAGGCTGACTTTAGGAACAGTCTACAAAACACATTTACTTGGTCGTCCTACCATTCGAGTGAGCGGTCCAGATAATATCCGTAAGGTGCTTATGAACGAACACAAACTGGTGACGTCCCATTGGCCTAAGGCAGTTCAGAACCTACTCGGGGATGGCGCCTTATCAATGATGACCAGCGGAACATCACACAAGAATCGCAGACGGCTTATTACAAAAGCATTTACCCATGATGCTTTAGAAGTATACACTGAAGATATTATTGCAGTTATCAGAGAGGAAATTTATAAATGGTGCCAGGATAAAACAGTCAAAGCCTATCCTAGTTGCCACCATTTGACTTTCAGACTAGCCGCTGAAATCTTAGTTGGATTTCGATTCTGCAAAGAAAAGAATGACGAGCTGGATTTCCATTTTCATAGATTTGTGAATAGCTTCTTTACGCTTCCAATCAATTTACCTGGATTTAACTACAGAAAGGTTTGTAACTTTGGACTAACCTACAAGCGTCGCCGCCAATTGTTTAAAACAGCAAATCCGCCAAAACTAAGTAGCGCCAAATTAAGTAGAAGTACAGTACTTGAATAATGTTGTTACTTGTTGCTCATTGTTGAAAATAGGCTCGCAAATTTTATTTCCATAAAAACTTCGTGCCACGCACATATATTTATCAGCGTCGAAAATGAAACCAAATATCTATGTTAATTTGATTTTTACAGGGAGTTGAGAGTCGCAACAAAATCCACGAGCTTTTAGACAGTAACATCAAAGATCGTTGGGAGACCGACGCTTACAGTGTCAACACCCTTCAAGTCCTACTTGACGCAATGAAAGACTCTGGTGAGGAACTAGACGTCTTGGGTGTCAAAGAAGCCGTTGTTGAGCTCATGTTCGCTGGATATGATACTGTCGGGAGCGCCCTATGCTCTGTGATTCTAAAGTTGGGGCAAAATCCACACGTTTTGGAAAAAATCAGGGACGAATTGTTTGTTCATGGTATATTGGAACCCTCGGAAGACGTGACGTTTGCGATGGTTGGGAAGTTGCCATATTTGAATAATACTGTGAAGGAAGTGCTGAGGACGTGTGCACCAGCAGGAGGTGGATATAGAAAAGTCTTAGAAACGTTTGAACTTGAGGTAATCTTGAATATCATCCCAACGAACGAAGTCGTAGTAAGGATATAGAAAAGCAACCCGTCTATCATTTCCTCTGTTTGACTCATAACTCAAATATCGCGTTACGGTTTAGTAATAAATTTTACAGGGTAATGCCTAGATTGTTTAAAGATATATTTATTTCATATCAAAATATTACAATATATAATGCCTAGATCATAGATCCCGGCCAGATTCTTTTGTAGTAGGATCACAAGCTCAAAGAATAATCATGAATTATTCTTTGAGCCTATGAGATCCTACTCCAAAACGATCTTGCCAACAGATCTATGGCCTAGATGGGCATAGTACCTCTGATCGCGATGGTATTTTCAATATGGCCGCCATTTTTCTTAAACATTATTCTTTGATAACTCGAATATTAATTAGACAATATATAACTTAATAAAGAGCCTGGCCACAGGAAAACCGGTCTTATCACAAAAATGAAACAGAGCCTAAAATGTGCTCAAGATTAAGAGGAAATGTACTAAATTCAAATCCGACTTTCTGGTCTATATATGCAAGGAAAAATTGGTAAGACATAAGCTATGGCTCATTTGAAAGGTCTCTTTGTGGTTTCTAAGATAAACAAAAAATCAGAATTAAGAAAAAATCTGTGATAAGACCCCTTTTCCAATGGCCTGGTTCAAATACTAAAACTGCTCAATTAGAGATCTTGTAACACACGTGATACATAATTTTCAGGGATACCAAGTACCAAAGGACTGGACTGTGATATTCAGTATTCGTGACACCCACGAGCATTCCGACACATTTAACAAAGACCTCACCTTTGAACCTGACCGTTGGATAAATATTGAGGACAAAAGCGTGGCGCACGAGTTCATACCATTCGGTAGTGGTCCAAGGACATGTATTGGGAGATTTTACGCCCAGTTGGTGATGAAACTTCTCATAATAGAATTATGTAGGAGCACAGAGTTCACATTGTTGGACAAAGATCCAGTGATTAAGATTTTACCAGTGTTCCAACCAAAGGGAGGGCTTCCGATGGAGATAAAGAAACGTACTGTAATATATCAAAATAATAATTTTAATGCAAAAATATAATCTACTAGGCATCTACAATTGTGCATGACTGCATGTGCTTGGAGTGTTATCCAGTTCGGTAATGTTGCGAAACACCAGTGAACTACATGTTTTGTACCCTGTCTAGTTATAGGAGACTTTAAGCTAGCGATGTTTTTCACAGCGTAACCGTGAACGTAGTCAATGAATCAATAGCAATGTGTAAAGCGCATACAAAACAAGCCGAACTCCCGTGCAGTGATATATCACTGCGGCGGGCAGGTATCTCACCTTAAGCATGGTAACTTCGTAATAAACAACTGACGTGATTGGTTCTAGTCCCATGCTCAGGTCGCGTGATTGTAAAATTTAGACAATTTCATTGGTTGAATTCCCGGTTGAATTGCGCGTATTAACTAATAAACAACACGTGCGGTAAACTATTATCAACAAAACTTTTACTCAGAATTCCTTCCGCGGTGATTTCTTCTCATATTTCAATAATTTTGAAATATTTTGACAAAATAATGTTTGGGGAACATTCATGAATATATATTTTATAAGATGTGTGAAAATTGACCACATATGCGATGAAAAGGGGAACTATTTTCCCCAAATTTTGGGGATTTGCTTCATCTGCCCGCCGCAGTGTCTATACCGAGACACTGCATTGGAGTTTGAAAACAAGCGCTACTTAGTCTTCTTTAGATACCCGATCGGCTTCATTTTCGTGTTTTGAACAGGAGATTTGCAATTTCACGTTGGTGTCAACGGGAATCATTATACTCATGTATATTGAATACTTGCTGGTAATTTTGATTTCGGTTTGCAGTAAATGCTTTTTGAAGAAAATAATATATGTCATGCATGTTTTAGCTCCAAATATCTTACGAAACGAGCTTGTTAAGTTCAAAATATGTATCATACTTGTAGAAAACCAGCTATATAACTATCAATAGTATATTACACGATGATGAGTAGTCTAAGTAATGGACTAAGTTAACACTAATTGAACGATTTCTTTTGTGATAAAACTACATGTATTTGTATAGGGCGATTTATACGTACAGGTTGACGTTTCACAGCTTTCTTTTAAGAAGCGAAGTCGAACGAATGCAAGGGGTACATGTTTTGGGGTTTTGTAGGAAAAACCTCGTAATTAATCAACACGGTCGTCGCAAGATTAAAATTTTCAATAAAGTTTATAGAAAATTACTTCATTATGCTCAATAATTGTAGGTCATATTGACCACCATCTTTTTGGAGTCTGTTTTTACATTAATTTTATTATTGTAATATGATATTTTATTCACTAAAATAATATTTTATTCATTAAAATTTAATTTGTACAGAAATAAATATATGTTATATTGTGAAACGTGTTAAACATTTTTTGAAACGCCGAAACTTCTGGTACACTGATGATCCGCTCGATTACGCTGTTCGGTAACAAAATGTCGGGACGTCGAAGGTACGATTTTTATTTTTTCCTTATTTCACATGTCGTAGGCAGAATCCCCATGACACTTTTCTCACAAACGTATATCAGTACCATATGTTTTAGAAAATGTACATGTTTGCGAAAAAATAACCCAGAAGACAACATAATGGTCGATTTAATTCCTCACTTAAGTTACATAAACAGTAGGGGTTTAAAGTGTAGATCTTAACTGTTTTTCGAAATACCGTTTATGTAACTTAAGTGAGGAATTAAATCGACGATTCCGTTGTCTTCTGAACTATTAGTTTAGCAAATGTTGACATTTTCTTAAACATATGACACTGATACACGTTTCTGATAAAAAAAAGTCGTGGGAATTCTGCGTACAACGTGTGAAATTAGGAAAAAAGAAAAATCGTACCTTCGATGTTCCGACATTTTGTTACCGAAACGGTTCCAGCGTAATCGACTGGATCACCAGTGTGGCGCAAGCTCTATAATCAAGAACGTCATGTCTATTTTCCTGGATCCTAATCAGAACTTACTTCTAAAGGAGAGATGGAAAAACTTCACCAGCTTTACCAATGAACACTCTAAACATGCTACAGATGATTCTCAGTACGTTACAGTCCCAGTTTCAAATTTAAAGAGTTTGTTTAAAATGTCAAATTAAAGAAAATCCTAAATATGAATGTACGACTCCCAGGCCACACGGTACGACTATAATGATGGGCTAGAGAGTGATAGAAATAATCTTTAAATAAAGATGTCAGGCCAATCTGTGTTTATACTTCTCAGAGCGGGAACCCCTGTACTTTGAGATGATTACATCTCTTACATGATTGGATAAACAGACATGATTACTGTAGTATAACACATCCTCTAACCATTAACCACAGTGGAAGAAGTGTCAATACCCCGAGGACAAGACTTTGATCATACATTGCATTTATACGAGTTTCTAGGTACATGTAACATTGCGAGAGGGAATTTAGAGTCAGTGTATCTAGGGAGCTATCGCAAAGCTCCTGAAAAGTGAACCCAATTCACGTTTTACTCAATTCACGAAGTAGAAATTACATATCAAACTTATGCTGTATATTAAAAACTACTTTTTAAGATTAAGAAAAAACGTAACTTAAAGTACGTTTTTGAATTTTCTAATTATAATGTACCTAGAACCTTAGTAGGTATTGAATACATCTCTTATGTACGGTTTCGGATACAGTTTTTCCCTCGGGAAATATATGTATCTCCCGGACACACTCGAGAGATACACATATTTCCCTCGGGATAAACCCTGTATCCAAAACCTCCAAGTGCATAACCCTTATTTATACAGGGGTCTCTCGTCTGTTCCTTGTGTTAGGGTTCAGTGTTTCCTCAGTTATAACAGTCCCCCCATTACCCAGGACCCATTATTGTCACATCACATGACATATTTTCCATGTCGGACAGCTAATCCTAGAGATCTGGTTCCTTAGAACAACAAAAGCTATTACACCGGATTTGGATATATTTACTGTCTTAATGATATTATACAATTTGAAAGAAAAATCAGTATTAATGTTATTGGCAAATAACAAAGTTACACCTCCAGTGGAAAACTGGGAATATTTGCAAAGGAGAAGTGTAAATAAGGCTGATTCAAGTCTCACATGTTTTGCATTATTTATCTCTATCATGTTTTTCTATAACTTCACAATTTATTTTGCAAATAATATGTACATTGAACATGTATAAAATAAAGTCTAACATTGTTCCTGTTGACTAGCATATTACTGTACATGTAAATCCAAGCAGTTATTAATATTGGAATACTAAACAGATTTGATAACAAAAATAGTGTACACCAATGTACTATACAGAGGATAGCATATGCTTTTTATCCAATGAATGGGACTGTACCCATGAAACCCAAAAGAGTACAGATATTGATATCCATGAGTAAATCATTAAGGATGTTCTTTTTATTCCATAATTAAAGCTTGCTACTCATGTCCTTCGTTTCTAATCATTCAGATACAATATTTAAAATATTCTGTTCAAATGAATGTCAAGACTTTTTTTAGTTCAGAAGCAAAAGTAATGGATATGGCACATATCTGATGGTTCAAATAGCTGTATTCAATGGATCAGTGAATATTTGCCAAAAGTATGATATTTTTTCATTGGTTACAAAAATATTGTTTGAATTTTGACACGATATCCTACAAATATCACAATAACTATGGAATAAATAGAGTTTATCTAATATGAGGTTCAGGATACTGGGATTATCCCGAGCCAATATGTTATAACTGCCCTAAAGCCAGGAAATCCCAATATCTTTTTATCATATACTTTGTGTTCTATGCACATTTATGAATTGGAATATTTTCTGAAGGCAACTAAAAGTTTAAATTCTGAATAGTGTGTTATTATTACATACTTTAGTTTTTTTGTTTTTTTTTTACTTTACTGGGATAAATAATGGTACAGGGAGAAAATGTCTCCACTCCTGGGTGTGTAAGTTGTACACTCTTTTATTTTCTCAACATACCAGATGAACCATTTGTTATATAGATCTGAAATCGATGGCTTAAGCTAACACGAACGGCGCTTTGATGGCGCTTTAAGGTGCTGTGCAAAGCTGCTTTGAACGCCGCTTGTAACGCCATCAAAGCGCCGTTGGTGTGAAATTATCTTGAAGTCCCATTTTTAATAATATTCCATTTGCATATTTATCCACTATGGATTTACAGTACCTTAAAAGATCGAGCTAAATCCTCATTGACACACTGTTATAAAATCTTCAAAAGTTGAGGTTTTAAGGTTGAATTACAATCAATATGTCAACAAGGAGTTTTAATTATCCAATTAGAAATATTCAAGAAATCAAGAAATTCAATTGTAAATGCTGGTATCTAGTTCTACCAACATACATGCTGTTATCTATTTATCCATCTATATAGCAAACGGTCATTTATTATCTTATGTAAACTTGAAATATTCATGACAGGAACCCTACTGTAATGAATTCTATCATCATTTTTGGGTTTATTTTTTCCACCATTGTTAAGTATCCATAAAAGTGCATAATACTGAAAAAAATTTGAAGTCAAATAAGCTGGTGTTTCTAATTGATATAAAATATAATATATACTATAATATATCACATATATACAGGGTGTCTAAAAAATGTACCCAAAGGTATATCAACAGCACAGATAAACCAATCAATATTTTCAGACATTTTTGGCATAGTCATGAAGCCAAAACATGAAAGTTTTCTCCCCAATACATCATTTTTATTTTAGTCTTGCCTTTTTGATGCTTTAACCCTTTACCTTTTACACAACATAATCAATGTTACCTCATATTTCGATGACGGCTTGTATCCTTACTGCTACGTTGTTCATCAGATTTGATAATAATTCCTGTGGAATGTTTTGGATTTCTCTTTGGATGTTGCCCTTAAGTTGTTCTAGGTCTGTAAGACATTGTGAGAGCCTCCCTATTCACCAGATTTGATGGCCCATACTTTTTTCTCTGGGGCTATTTGAAGGACCATTTTTATGCTAAACCCAAGCTAAGAGACTTACAACAACTAAGACCAGCATTCGAGCAGAAATCAAAACATTCCAACAGGAATATCAAATGTGATGAACAATGTAGTAATAAGGATGCAGACTGTCATCGAAATATGAGGTTACATTGATTATGTGGTGTAAAAGGAAAAGGGTTAAAGTATCAAAAAGGCAAAAAGGAATTAAAATCTGTGTATAGGGGAAACACTTACCTGTTTTGACTACAAGACCATGTAAAAAATGTCTGAAAATATTGATTGGTTTGTCTATGCTGTTGATACAATTTTGGGTATGTTTTTTTGAGACACCCTATATACAGTTTACATATGACCACATCCTTGTTATCACTCAAGCTTCTTGTGGACTACTGGTTGATGGTTGGGTCTCCTCATCAAAGTCTAATATTTTTCTCTGTGCTTGTCTGATATACTGTTGTTGTTTGAAGTAGATCTTTAGAGCACCTTTTATTGTAATGAATCCGATTCCACCCTGGAAAAGTCACATATTAATAATCGCCTGTAGCATTCTTAAATCTATGAATTCATAAGTCTATTGTCCTTTGATGCCATGATGGAAACAACATTGGATTTTAGAATATTCATTGCTCTGCATGTTACAAGAACAAATCAAAAATGGCACCATTACTTTCAAAACCTTTGTATAAATAAACAAGTTCAACTTATGGAGTGCCCAACCAAAATGTAAACCCTGATTTGAAATCTGATATTTCACTGATTTGGAAACCCTTGAAATGACTTATAATGTGGTATACAGTCAAAAATGAAGATATATTTTGGCATAAAACAGCTGCGTTTTTTCAAATGCAGCAAAAGGAGGAACCAGGATAAAATGTCCAAGGATTCAGTCTTAAGAGTTGCCAGAAGAATTGTTATTGGTTGCTGTGGTAATAACTTTAACAAATTAAATAAAAAGATGTCATATAATGTACACTGTACTCACAAGTAATGTTCTTTGGAAGTTGGAGTTGACTGAGCCAAACATAAGTTTTCCAACAATGGTTGCGATTGTTGGCAAAATTAGGGCACCGCAGAGTACACGTGTAGCAGATATCGGATCAGATAGTGGAGCATAGTCAGCCGGGATACGGAGCCCTAATGGTGAGGTTTCTGCAAATAAGCCAAGAATCATTTAACGAATCCAAGAATAGAACAGAAAGTAAAATTCCCAATTTCAATGAGATCTTCCTTCAGTCCCTTGACTATGTTAAAGTTGGAGTTTAATTCAATGAAACAAAGTTTTAGGTGAGATGTGTATTGTGTATGTGCCATCTGAATTACTCAGATGCGAGTAGGTAGTTACCAGTTTTGCCACCAGGTGGTCAATTCTGGGGAAATAACATGGCAGGATATTACAAAGTTCTCTCAAACTTGATTCGAACATGACTGTATTCACGCCTTCTGTAAACTGTGAACAACGTCTATATTTCACCCAGGGTATATTCGCATTTACAATACCCCTGGTAATACGAGTAATGTGTGATGTCATAACGGTGGGCCGAAGTAATGGCGGACCATAATGAATATTCGAAACCTTAAGGTGAGTTTTCATGTTCGAATCATAATATAGACCTCTGAACAGGTGTAATATCGTCAAATACACCCCTTAGGGCTAGGCAGAAAAGCTTTCGAACCCCGAACGACAGAATTGCCTTGCCCTGTGGGGTGTATTCTACAATATTACCCCTGCTCTTTGGTCTATATTTCTTAAATAAACATCAGTTTTAGTGGTTCAATTTAAAGATTTGAATTTCTTGTTAGTCTTGTTGCATCTTGCATGAATTAGATCATCTTTTGGCCACCTTCATGCGATTCGGCTAATAATAATAACAATATGAAACCTGATGTACAATACTGGTTTAGTACAAAGATTAACATCTGGGGTACACATCTTAACCTTGTTGAATTTTCATTGTATGATATTAAATGTTATAATATGAACTTGAAATAAAAATGATTAATAAAAACATGGGAGATATGGTTTGTCTTTGAAACTGAAATTAGAGAAGGTAAAATAGAAGTCATATTTCTTACCTCCAAATATATAGCTCAGCAGAGGCAATTTAGACGAATGCTTTCTCCATAGACGAAGTAAATAGTCTTCCCAACGTACCATTTTACCCAGAATCAACATGACAGGTATAGTCGGCAGACCAATCAAGAGAAACAAAGGGTCAGCCTTTTCCATCACATTTAGACCTTCCTTGTGACCTAACACCTACAACGACATGTGGTGTTAAAAGAGGTTGCCAAACTACTACATTCAGCTTAACAAGACATGCCATCATAAATATTGCTCTAAAATAACACTGAGCATGCCCAAAACTTATCAGGTCTAGAGTTTCTAACAATTTACGCTAGAACATTCTTTACAAAACGCAATAATGAGAGTCATGTGACTCATGTAACAAAATTACTGTCGCATGTAAAGTTGGGAGTATTCATACTTGTATTCTCAGAAAAACAAATAGATTTCAATGCAAAAAGATTAATAGATACATAATTCCCTCAGGACCAAACATGTGTTAAAATAAGAAATGGACAACTCACTTGCATTACTGTAACTGCACCATAGGTGACAGCTGTCCAATATACAGAGCCTATGAAGATACCTCCAGCCACAAATGGACACATCTTGTAGATAATTCTGTCAAATATGTCCATTATCAAAACAACAGAACCTAGAAACAGAAAAGAGTCAAAATAAAGTAACAAACAGTAAATGGTAATATTCAAATATTAAGGATATTTTCATAAAGTTTGAACACTGATATAATAGTCATACATGTATTTACTTTTGAGGTGTGTGAGCGAATCTCCTGAATTTGAAAATCCTTTCAAAGTCATGCAATTGAGCACTTTTCATGTAATTTTGGGCCAAAATTGTCAAATGTGAACCACCTGGAGTTTTTTGAAAAGTGAATACCCTTGGCAAAAGCTGGCTACTTCAATTCTTTGAACAGATCTCAAATTAATGCAAACTGAAGAAAACCCAACCACTAGTATTTTCTGGATTGAGTGACAGATGATAGGCTGACAGGGGGGGGGGAGATTTCCCAAAGATGCCCGATCATATTAGCACGTTCGAAAACAAATTTTATAAACAGGCCTCAATTTTCCGTTGAAATGGATCTCCAAATGTTCACTGTAGTTTTATGAGTATTCTCTACAAGTATGGATCGAGTAACTTCAATAGTATTACCGTAGGTTTGAAATGACGATGTTGAACTGATGTAAACGCCATTCTCACGATTTAAAATTTAACTCTGCGCATGCGCAGCACTGAGAGAGCATGTGCCCATGATTGTTCACGTGATCGAATCCTGCAATTTGATTGGAGATGATGCAAGAGATGATGTAATGGGGAATCCCCGAATACGATAGAATATGAAAGACTTATGGGAGCTACTCACTCCTCCTGATAGGCTGAACTATATATCCCAATCTGCATTCATTAGGATAAAAAAGGAGAATGTCTCCATATCCCACCACACTTTTTTGGATTAGGATAATTATTCACACAATATACATTCAACATAAGATGCGAGATTTGTCTAAATTATAATATCGGGTGATAAAGCAAAATTCGTAATTGGTATGTTTATCACACCTTCAACTGGTAGGGTAGCACATGTTTAGGAACATGAGCTACAGGTTATTTTTATCAATCCGCAGAACAGGTGTACCATATGTTCTTATATAATCATGTTACTTGGAAAACTAGAAAGGTTTCTATCAATATTTCATGTGCTATACTTGGTTATTTAATCATGATTGATGAGGGGTGACATTAATTTATGGAAAGGATCTAACCATTCCATGGTGTCAGATAACACACTTATTTATCTGAGCTTAGTCTCAAGCAAGCCTCTTAGGTCCTACTTTATTATTGTGATAGACTCACATTCACACTTTAAGCATAAGCCTCCTCTAAATATACAGTACAGTAAAACCTCTATATAGGGAACACCTAGGGAGCCATAAAAATAGGGAGCCATAAAAAAGTGTTCCCTGTTGATAGGGGTTCACTACAGAGGGGGATTTTATACATGAGTAAATGTGTCTTGAAGTTGTGTTCACTAAACACAGGTGTTCACCAGAAAGAGGTGTTCACAAGATAGGGTACACTGTACATGCATAAACACTCATAAAATAAACAAACCTAATTTTGGAAATGTTATCAGGTATTCCGTATTACACTGTGGACATAATACTTTTGTGGTGCTATTCCCTCTTTGTTTCTCATCTATCCAGCGCTGAAGACATTGCTGGTGCACCCATTTGGTGGTGCCGCGGCACCGACACGGTCGTACCCATGCTGCATCTCTGTCATCTTCCTCAGTGGCGAAACACACCCAGCAAGTTTTCCTGGAAACACGAAAATAAATGGAGCTCTTTCTCACTGCAGGTATGCATGCATACAGATTGGTTGGATGTAAACACCATCAAAAAAACAAACATCAAATATTCTGTAATTAAAATCAATATGGGGAAACTTGTTAATCCCCTAGCCTACTTAGAACTGAAATTATGGGAAGAATCAAGGATGTCTTGGAAGAATCAAATACCACTACCAAGTATCCATCATGTCAATATCCAGAGAATCTAAACAGGATAGAGTTATACATTGTAAATACCTTTCTAGAATTTTATCCATGTTTTTACACATAATTTTCCCATTACTTAATTCTGCATCATTATTCAAATTGATAAAGTTTTCCAAAAACGTATCATCTGAGTTAATCCAAGAAGGCACCCTATATGAATCCATTTTCAATAGAAATATATCCTTTGATGATTGACCAACGTTCCAGCATTTGATGGTTTCCTTGGTGCAGTCTCTTCTTCAGACAGAACTAATTTTTGCCAATATGGACAATGATATGGAGTAACTTTCATGTGCTATGAGTATATTTCAAATAACTGTTGTTTCAATAAACATGAATAAATGCTCTTATAGATTTCCAGCATTGAAGTTATCACCAGTGTCCTGAATATGGCCTTAAGATTAATGTTTACATATTTCCATCAAGTTTGACCTTAAAAAACTCAGTCAATATGCCATTGATAAGTAGATAACATAAAAAAGCTTTCAGATCATAAGCATAATATGTCATTAATAAAAGTGTGCATTGCCATATCTGTTGTTTTTCATGAGAAATCATACAACTAGGGATGTCACGGGACAAAAATATTTCGGGATGGGATGGGAATTATCCATTTCGGATGGGACATTCAGGACAGGACGGGACATAACCAATAAAATAGTTAATAAGTTTGAAACAGTTCAACAACTTACATTTTTCGTCTACTTCCGGTTATGCTTATGCAGCACCGATCTTTTGAACGTCATAAGAGGGCTGTGCATTTTGCGCAAAAACTTTTAATTTGAGATTGAGATTATTTGTAAAGTTTTCTGTATTGATATTGAACAGAAATAACTTAAAACAGAAATCCTATCGACAGAGGTTTTAAATGTGCGACGGACAGACAGACGGACAAGTGAGTGATTGCAAAAGCTGAACCATGTGAGCTAAAAAACGAAAGAAAATTTAAGTTTAGATCATCAGCGCTTGCATTAGGTTAGAAAATTTGTGAGTCCCAAGGACGCAATTTAAAAAAAAAGTGTGTCCTTTGAAAAAAAGTGTGTCCCCTATTTCTAGCCTGTTTTGAGGTATAACTTTATTTTAAAAGCATTTTTTACCAAAGCACCTTTCAGTTTTTAGTTTCTTGCCGAGAATTTAAAACGGGAGTAAACGTTAAGTACGGACTGAATAAATGCATGTTCGTTCATTCGACAATGAATACATTTTATTTCATGAATAACCTAATATTTGTTTCTGAATAGGAAAAACTGTGGCGTGTCATGGTTTCAAATCTAAAAATAAACAAAGTCGAAAAAATTCGAGAGAATCATGATTATTTGTAAATATTCAACATGTTGAGCCTTATTTACGATTCAAATAAAGGTGAGAGATCATAATTATTTGTTTTTGTTAGGTATCGTTGTAAACACATTGTAGTATTGACCTAAAAAAAATTTGCGTCAATAAAAGGAAATGTTTTCAATTTTTACTTCCTCCAAATTATTTTTGAGTCCTTAACATGTACGGGACGCCGTTAATGCAAGCCCTGATCATATTTATCGTGCATTTGGGAAGTTTTAGGGTTATATACAGGAGAAATAGTATATCCTGAACATGGACCGAAATCTTCGGTACATGAGAGTTATCCCGTCCCATCCCGAGACCAAAGTCCTGAGGGAGGGGACAATATCGGGAAACCGTGACATCCCTACATACAACCAATGAATAATAACTGAAGATTGCTGATTTTTAAAATTTAAGGGAATTGTGATTTGTTTATATCTGGTGTTTGGCAATAGAAATGTGAGTCTATCAACCTTAAAAATACATCCTACTCATAGCTAGAGAAGTAATGTTACGATGTGTGTTATACTGTACATCTGATTTTTTTCTTATAATTTTTTGCTACATTTTCCCTTTAATCTAACTTCTTCATTAGTGTGTCAGAATAAAAATTTGAAATATACATTCTACATATCTAGAGTAGATTTCATGGCCTGACTTCATCGGTAGAACTTGAAAAATAAGATTTATCTGAAGATTAGGAGTCTTACTTACCTTCCAGAGGTTAGAACACACATTTTAATGAAACCATATCAGCTATGTTTTGTTCATGATGAAGCATAAGCACAGTACTTGATTGAAATTTGTGTTAATGCTTTTTGGACTTTTCCATTTTTCGTGTTATACTTCCGGGACGGCTTTGCCTCTATCACGAAATACTGTATTGACCTTGAACTTTAATTTTGTGACATATCATCCAACCATGTCTGATGTAAAAATAATTAAAATATTTGAAAATAATGTTTTGTGGTCTCTTCTGCAGACGAGTTTAGGACAGGGCAGAGGAGGCCTGTTCTAAGATAGAAAAAGTGCATGATCTACAGTTGAACTAGTATTGGTCTGAATGAAATGCTGCGTGGAAAGTATGAATGGGTCGTCTGCAGTACTAGTCTATTAATATTCTAGGACCTGTTTGTGATGCTTTATAATTGAGACCAAAGTGTAGACGAATACACGGCGCACGTGTAAATTAAAAAATCAACGAACAAAGATTCAATTTTCACAAATGTTCGGTAATTTATCGTATTGAAACTTCCGGAACTTACTAGGAAATCATTCACTTTCACGATCCATAATTTACCTCTTGGACATTGTGCTAAATGCTCTATAGTTGACGCAACAGTGATAGAGTTTCATTAAAATGTGGGTTCTAACCTCTAGAGGGTAAGTAAGACTCCTAATCTTCAGGTAAATCTTATTTTTCAAGTTCTACCGACGAAGTCAGGCCATGAAATCTACTCTAGGCAAAGAGGTGAAATAAATATCAATACAGTCATATTAGCTTGTTAGAACAAAGATAGCAGATATGTAATGAAATCTTTATAATTTACACATCCAATAAACAAACCTGGCAGAGATTACCCTTACTTCATTTTAGCGAAATTTCAGCTCAAACTCGTGACAAATAATATGCTGGTATGAAGGCTTGGACACACTCATTTTGGTAAATATGATTTACGGTGTATACCTTTCTGTAGTTTGGGGGAGTTTTGGACATTAAATGTTACAATTCAAGAAAATATATATCAATTATTTTGTATCAGTAGATCTACTGTATTACTGTCAAATTTTTAGGTTTGATTGACACACAACCCAATCGACTTACCTCAGATCATTATTGACATCAAACGTTTGAGGTGGTACTGATGACATCACTAACAATCAATGAAATAACTCCTGTGAGTCTGTCTGTAAGTTTCCTTTGATTTGCTGGGTAGCGTTGAACTTTCTACTTTCAATTTGCAGTTTGTTCCAGTTTTCTAGCCCTTGGCAGGCCAAGTTTTTATTTAAAATTTCGAAAGAAAAGCTCTAAATCGAGTCTCATTTTTATTGTATATCAGAAAACTGATTTCCAAACGAAAGTGATAAACTGTATTAAGATCTTTACTTAATGACGTTAAGGCGTAAAAACGAAATACGTTGATCCGAATATTTGCTAAGATGGCTGCTTGCACTTCCGGTGTAATGGTGAGATAGTCATAAAATATTTCCCCTTAAAAAATTTAATTTGGAGCAGTTAACAGGTAAGAGAAGAAATTGGAAGATTTTAAGATATGCCGAGGAGACTCAATTGCACTAGAAATGCTCAGAGATTGATGTTTTCCGATTCTAAGAGATCGCGGATGGTTATTCAAGGTCACCGGAAGCTGGAACTACTTTAATTTTCATTTTCAAAAAAAATATTTTCTTCAAAAAAATCATCATATGTGATGATTCCATTGGATTTCGATAAAAAAGACTGCTAAAATGGAAAGGACGACACAAAGCTCAGATTATCTCATCTACATTATTGACATTATACTTAGGGTTCCACCACTCTTCATTCTACATTCAATTTTGAATAAAAGTTTTCTGGTTCCCTTGATCCCAGAAAACATAAGCTTTTTTGGACCTACATTCATCATTTGGGTGCTGATTATCCTGTCATGTAAGTAGATGTTTGTAAATTATAATTGTCTTTCTTTCAAAAATCTATTATTGACCCTAAACATGTAAAAGGAGTCGGCCCATTGGTTCGAGAACCACTCGTTTTGAAACCTGATGGTCTAATTCCATTCGCTGGTGAATCCCATTGGTCTGACAATAATTTAGAAAATAGAAAAGAAAGATTATATTATTATTGACTATACGAACATGTTTATGTGAAATAAAGCATCACATTTGTTGTGCTTTTGCGACTACAAAATTGCAATTGTTGAATTGTTGATCTTACTCCATCTTATCATATGCTATGTCCCCACTTACATTGTGGTAGTACAATCCAACTATTCTTTAGAAGGGTTTCAACAACCTACCTCAATACATTCCTGAGTAGTTTTTTTTTTTTTTTTTATTTATTTATTTATTTCATATAATACATACAATAGTTAACAATGAAGTGGGTGACACAAAATTTGTGTATATTCCCACAGATGGAGTGAGTAAAATACAAGTATGTTACATTATGCAGTTTGGGGATCTGCCGTGGCATGCCCTCGACAAAAAATATAATATGTGCCATCAAATTGCCCAAGGAAGGAATTAAAGTTGCAATAAATATTTCTTGGTTTGTTTTTTCATGAAAATGGTACTTTTGATGGATTGAATGTGCGGGGGTAGTTGGTTCCAAATATTAGGTATAGAATACGCTAACATTGATTTTCCATAGTTAGTGCGGGTTTTTGGCTTGTCATAAGATTTCTTATTTCTTGTGTTGTAATTGTGTCTATTCTCAACTGTTTTGAAAAAAGATGGGAATATTTGTTTGTAATTATCCTTGTCGTTGATCCATTTAAACATAAAAATATATCTCTGCTGCTTATTTATTTCAAATATGTTCAATATTTTTAAGTCATGAAAAAGAGGTAGGGAGTGAGCTCTAAAATCACTATTTGTTGCAATTCTTACAAATTTTTTCTGTGAGAGATGAAGGGTATTTAGTAATGTACAGCCTGCTTCACCCCATACTATATTTCCATAGATAAGGTATGAATAAATCAAAGAATAATATATACTAAGTAGGCTTTTGACATTTAATAAATGCTTCACTTTGTATAATATACCAATGGTTCTTGATATTTTCATGTTTACGGATGTTATGTGATTTTTCCAGGTTAAATTTTGATCAATTATGATTCCTAAAAAGTTAATATGTGACACCTGTTCAAGTACTTTGTCATTCATAGTGACATTTATTTCATTTTTATTATAATGCTTTTGTCTTGAAGAAAATATAATATATTTAGTTTTCTTAGCATTTAATGAAAGTTTATTTGTGGCTATCCATTCCTCGATTAGTTTCAGTTCAGCATTCAAAGCATTTGTGATTTCATTAAGATTTTTTCCTTGTATTAACAGATTAGTATCATCTGCAAATAGCACAAAAAATAATCGTGGAGAGGATAAGTAAATGTCATTGATATATATGATAAAAAACAAGGGACCTAGTACAGAGCCTTGTGGAATTCCACATGTAATTATCTCAGAATCTGAAATAGTGTCTTTGTAACAGTTTTTTTGGATTCTATTAGAAAAGTAACTTTTGACCCATTCCAGTGCAACACCACGTATCCCATAAAACTCAAGCTTTTGAAAGAGAATATTGTGGTCTATAGTATCGAATGCTTTAGAGAAGTCAAGAAATAACCCTATAGAGAATTCACCTTTATCTATAGAATGTCTAATTTTTTCAACAAATGTGAGTACAGCCATGAATGTTGACTTTTTTTCTCGAAAACCAAATTGATAAAGATACAAAATTTCTATTTTGTCGAGAAAGGAAGTCAGGCGATGATGCATTAGTTTTTCAAGCAATTTGGAGAAGACTGGTAAAATCGAAATAGGTCGATAATTTGTAAAAAGTTGACTGTCCTCCTTTTTATGAATTGGAATTATTTTTGCAATTTTTAATTTGTCAGGAAAAATACCATTTGTTAGAGATAAATTGAAAATGTGTAGTAATGGTAATTGGAATGCCTTACCACAATGCTTAATTATGGAAGGTTTGAAATCATCAAAACCGGCCGCAGAGTTTTTTAATTTAGATATTTCCATGTCTAACTCATTAGAGTCAATTGGATTCAAAAATAAAGTTGAAGCTTGTCTGCCAAGATTTTTCATGTAGTCTAAAGGACTTTTATTTGTAGAAGGAATTTGAGCTGCTAGGGTTTCACCTACCCTTGAAAAGAAGGAGTTAAATTGGTTAGCAATGTCAAGTTTATTACTTATTTCAGAATTGTTATGGAAAAAAGAGTCTGGGATATTGTGGTATTTATTTTTTCTTTGGAGAATTTCATTAATAATTTCCCAATTAGCCTTAATGTTTCCTTGATTTTCCTCAAATTTTCTACTAAAATAACGTTTATGTGCTGATCTTATGATTGTTTTTAGCATTTTTGAGTAGACTTTATAATTTGCCTTATTTTGATTTGTCGGTAAACGAAGATATTTCTTTTATAATTTGCTTTTTTGTCTTACAGATACAAGTATAGCTGTTGTAATCCAAGGTTTTTCATTATTATTATATAATTTAACAGATATTGTTTTTATTGGGAAACTTTCATCATAAATTTCTTTAAGGCGGTTTTCAAATAAATTGTAAGAAGTATTTGCGTTGTCACTATTCAAAATATCTGCCCATGATTCTTTTGCTAATTTTTCTTGGAAAGTAGTGAGATTATTGTCAGAGTATTTTCTAATTGATTTGTTAATTACTTTTATCTGATGAATCGGTTTATTAAAAGTAGCAAATATAGGGAAGTGATCTGAAATGTCATTAAAAATTATTCCACATAATCCATTTTTGATATCATTTGTAAAAATGTTGTCAATTAATGTTGCTGTACTTGAAGTCACCCTGGTTGCTTTGTAAATAAGTGGTATTAAATTATAAGATGTCATGATGTTGTAGAAATTTTCAGTTAGCTCATGCTGATTGGTCTTAAATAAATCAATATTAAAATCACCCATTACATAGTTTGTTTTGTTTTCTCTGGATAAATTATTAAAATAGACTTCTAGACTATTATTAAATTCTTCGATATCTACATTAGGAGGCTTATATATACAGGTTAAGAGTATGTTTTTGCCATTGCTTACAATAACCTCAATTGTCAAAACATCGCATCCTAAATGATTAAATTGAAGATCTGGTCTTTCTTTAACGTTAATAGTATCCTTGATATAGAAACCAACACCACCCCCTCTAGTTGATCGAGATTTAAAATAACCTTTGAAATTCATTAGTTTTGAATATTGTGATTCTTGATCCTCATAAAGCCATGTTTCAGAAAGGCCAACAATCGATGCTCCCTTATCAAGTGATGACAAAAGATTGACTAATTTCCATTGATTTGACGGCATACTTCGAATATTACAATGGACTATAGCCATATCAACATTGTTGTTAGCATTCAAATTATTGTTCAGTTCAGTTAAGGTTACATATTCGCTCTTTGCCATAATTTCATTGGTAGTCACATCGAAAGTGGATTATTAGAGTCTATTTCACTGCTTCATTTCGTCAGTAGAACGGCAAATATAAGAAATTGGGAGACCATTGTGCAATAATATATGGAAAAGTATATTCATAATGTACATGAATGACATTTGTATATCTTGGATTGCTTCTAGTTTGGCTTATAAAGTGTGTGGCCTCTTATATTTGGATGTTTCTCTGCCATGTTATTTTCAATAAGATTAACATGGCTGAAATTCTTCAAATTACAAGACGGCACAGGCTTATTGCACAAAAAATCTGAAATATACAAATGTCATTCATGTACATTATGAATATACTTTTCCATATATTATTGCACAATGGTCTCCCAATTTCTTATTTTTGCCGTTCTACTGACGAAATGAAGCAGTGAAATGGACTCTATATAGTTGAATTTGTATGGGTTTATTGGCAGAACCAGGAGATTTTCGTTTTACTTGGGAATATCTACACATTTTTCCAAGATGTCGGAATGGGAAACCCCTTAGTTTGGAAGCAAGGAGGATTGGCTCCCAGAATGCAACACCGATATTCTGCAAAACAATCACCTAGCGATAGCTTTGTTGGAGAGTATCGGGTCATTCTCCATGCAGTCGTACAAATTATACAGACACGAATAGCAAATGACGCATGCGTGGAGATTAAAGAATATCGAGTTGGAACCCTGGCTTCCAATCCTCCTTGGTTTGGAAGGCCCGAATGTACCAATAGATGGAGGAATTTAGCGATGTAAAACGAAAATTCCCTGTTCCGCCGATTAACCCATATGATTGGGGGTTCAACTATACAGAAATAAAAAACTGATTATGTACTAGTATAAGAATTCTTTTTTATGCAGTTGAATGTCCAATCTGTAATTGTTGTGCAATGTGCTGATTTTCCCACAATCTATACATGAACCTCTTAACTCAAAAGCTGCTTCATTTGCTGACAATTACCCAGAACATGCAATGGCAATGTTATTGGCATTTGTAATTTGGCTTCTGTATGAATAAATGTCCCTTGGTGTTATAGCCCTCGTTTGTGATAATGGAACTTGTATGGAGGGGGAGGGGTAGGGGGGAGGGGCATTATACATTCTTTTCACATTAGATTATAGTTTGGGATATTTGAGGTTTGTTTTCCTTTTGGCTGGTGTACACTAAACATTTCCTTGCTTTGTTCTGTAGTTTTTGGGGTAGTTTAGAGAATACAACACCAAGAAAATGCATGCTGGTGGCTCCCAGAGGGTAAACACATTTTTCACCAAGTGCTTTTTCATCTCCAATCAAATTGCAGGATTCGATCACGTGAACAATCATGGGCACATGCTCTCTCAGTGCTGCGCATGCGCAGAGTTAAATTTGAAATCGTGGGAATGGCGTTTACATCAGTTCAACATCGTCATTTCAAACCTTCGGTAATACTATTGAAGTTACTCGATCCATACTTGTAAAGAATACTCATAAAACTACAGTGAAAATTTGGAGATCCATTTCAACGGCAAATTGAGGCCTGTTTATAAAATTTGTTTTCGAACATGCTAATATGATAGGGCATCTTTGGGGAATCTCCCCCCTGGCCAACACGGTAAAATACCGAATGGCGAAAAAAGCGAACGCATTCCGTTCGGTCTTTGCACGCGATTGCCGTTTATGTCACGCATTTGGTACAAAATATGTGTATATATCACTCATTTGTTTCGAAAATATTCACATCCTACTATATATATTTTGCAAGTGGATCCAAGAGACCAAGTGGGCAAGTCAATTATTTTGCAGGGGTGGCATGATACACAGATTTCAATTTTGTATATAGTGAATTCCCAGTGATTGATTTCAGTACAGTAAAACTGTCATAGTGAACACCTCTTTAGTGAAGATCTGTGCCCAGTGACATGCCTCTACTCTATTGAACACCTGTGTATATTATAGTGAACACCGATTCCGTCCCAGCCAGTGAGTTCAGTACAGTAAAAATATCCTAATGAACACCTCTTTAGTGAAGATCTGTGCCCAGTGAAAACATGCGTCTACTCTATTGAACACCTGTGTATAGTGAACACCAATTCCCAGTACAGTAAAACTGTCATAATGAACATCTCTTTAGTGAAATACTGTGCCCAGCGAACATATGAGTATACTCTATTGAACACCTGTGTGTAAGCGAACACCAATCTCCAGCCAGTGATTTCAGTAACTTTTAGAGGGGATTGTACCTACAGTAAAATCTGTCTAATCCAAGGGACCAGCTCAGAGCGTTCGGATTAGGAGGTGTTCACATTTTGAGGTTTTGCATTTGCAAGATTTGGGTTTTTGAAGAAATAGAAACAAATTCTCAATAAATATTATAGTTCTTTTGACTACTTAGCTTTGGCATTAGAGTGACATGAAAATCCGATTCAAATGAATTTAGTCATCCTAGAAAGCCCCACCATGAGTGAGATCATTCAACTTTTTTTCAAATATTTGATCAATTTATGGAACATGTGATATTTTATGTGTTCAGATTAGATAGGTTAATTTTCAAACATGACTGTTCACTGTCAAAATTGGGAGATGTTCATATTTCAAGTTTTTAAACATTTGAGTCAATGGGAGAAAAAACGGGACCAAAAAATGTTCAAATTGGGAGGTGTTCGGATTAGCCAATTGTTCAGATATACAGGTTTTACTGTACTACAATTGTTTTCAATCTTTTGGAGGAAAGTGTACATCATTCCAGAGAAATGACAGATGCACTGTATATACAGTGATCGCCTACTATTAAAAGTGCGTGATCAAAGACTCGACAAGATGCGCAAAATTCAAATATTTTGTAACGGTTACTTTTAAAAGATTTATTTGTGTTTATATTACAGGCTACTGGTGATTCAATTAGGTTTTGTAGGCACAAGAACACCCATATGCTTTGAGAAATATATATTAGTTTGACCATTTTTCGTATATGTTATTGATTTTACAATTTAAAGATATAAATGCGATACAATATGTGTTATTTTATTTAAAAAGCTTGAAAATATCAAAAACAATAGAACATTTTTACTCTCTTTAATTTTTTATACTTAGGTAGGGTCTTGGACTTCCATTTGACCATGATGAAATTCACGTTTCCCCTTCAATAACATGGAATAAATATTTTAACACAGAAACGAATGGATCAGCCAATAGCGTGAGTTTCAGCAAACCATACACCCATATCTATATGCTTTTCAAGAGAAGAAAATGGGGATCTCGCAAAATGTATGTCCAAACTGATTCAGTCAATTAAATGGTCACTGTGTGTGTGTTCATTTTGTTTTTCTGCCTAGATTTGAATACATTACCATTAAATGATATATACACTGAACCTCTAGAACCTGCTAAGTGAAACACCTCTTGAAGCGTAACACCTTACAAGTGGAACCGTTTTTTAAGTTCCATTTTAGTCCATTTATTTTACGCCTCTGATCCCAAGGTATGAAAACTATACACCTTGGCATCCAAGATGATTGTCGAATTGTAATGTAATTGTAATTGTAATAAAATATAAAATCTGAATTGTACATTATCTGTTTCATTGGGGAGTTAAATCATTCTTTTGCAGCAAGGTATCAATAAGTAATGTAATGACGTAATAACCTTCAGTAGATGCCAGTAGTCAGTTCCCAGTTTCACCACGAGGTGGCTAACTTGGGTCATATATAAATGACAGGTATAAGGGAAAACTCCTCTAAGGTATTCAATATTCAGTAGATTTATTGATCAATTTTCAACTAAGGTCTATAAGTGATTAGCTTGAGAATTTTAGAATTGTATGTAATCGAATGCAAAATAAACGACCAGTGAGCGTATTTAGAGAAACTCTACAAAATGTGAAATAAATACCATGCTATTATCTCTAATGACAGAGTTATGTGGATCGATGGGACCGAGTAAAAGTTCCAGTTTAGGCTTTGCTCAGAGGGGTATCATCTCAGATTAACTGGTGGACACTATTGGAGAATGAGAGTCTATTTTAATTTCAGAATCATTTATTGTCATTTCATTACTAATTGATATTCTCGTTCTATTGCAATTTCATTGGTAATTTTATTTGATTTTGTAGCAGTTGTTGAATCAGAGATTCTGGATGATTTCATTCGATTATTGTCAATCACTGAAATTGTCATGAATTCATCACTTTCTACAAGTATGTGTTTATTTATTGATTTCACTTCATTTGGTATTATTCCAGAGAAATTTCTTGTTATCATTCTAGATTTGCCTCTATTTTCAGTAATCTTTCTCATCTTCATCTCTTCTTCTTCATGATGTTCTACAAGGTGGTTTATAATGATTTGAAATTTAGGAGTTCGTAATGAAGGACAGTAAAATCATGTAAACCCAACCACTCTGAAATGCAAAGAACATATCATTAGAATCCACATGGTAAAATCACCCACTTGGCTGATCATAAATTGTTTTCATAACATCCTTCTTACTCGATACTGAAGGGGAGTTGGAACGTCTAATATGCATGTAATGTTAAGTATTATGTATATTAACCATAAGCATGTTGGTTTTGTGGTTTTGGTAATCTAAAAACAGAAAATTTGGTGAAATATACATTTTCATTCGGCGGGTTTTTTGATTTTGCTTCATTTATTAACTCAGTTCAGGTATTTCGGTTGAACCAATCACCGAATCCTGTTACCAAATGAATCTTGAGTCTCTTATACAGCATATGGAATACCATCTGTAGGTAAAATGTCATTAAGGTGGTAAAGAAAAGAGAAACAAACATACCTTTCCTCCGACATTTCGAATTTTGCGCATCTTGTCGAGTCTTTGATCACGCACTTTTAATAGTAGGCGATCACTGTACATACAGTGAGGTGACACACTGTTATGGGAACTGGTCATATCAGATGTTCCCACGCTTTTCGTCCAGAAGAGGTCATTTCCCAGGATTATAGATGAACCCTTAGCCAATCAATGATATAGTTTACATAAGAGAAGTATGACTGTATGAATTCTGGGATATTCCTGTTTTGTTGAGACAGGTGAGAATAAAATTAACCCTTTGCAAATTTGATCAATACTTCCTCCAATCATCCAATACTTGACTCAGTTAAAATAGTTGATTTATATTTGAATTCGATAATAACATTTAAAAATTAAATGTGTAGTAGTAATACTTTAGTACCTCTTATTAATTAATTTATAATATTACAACATACATTATGATGTAGGCAATTTGTTTCATAAAAATCTAAAAGTAAAATTCATAATTTAAATTTACCCTCTGGGAGCCCCAAAATTTTAGAAAATGCATTTTCTTGGTGATGTATTTTCTAAACTACCAGTTTTTGGTCATTTCCCTTTGGCACATGTGCTCAATAATAATAACATCCTACACCTGTATGATCATTTTCTCATTATAACTTTTTAATGATGATGAATTTGTTCAGACAGGTATGTCTTATTTCACAAGAATCTGTCGAGGGTGAAACATAAGTCAGTAAAAAAGTAAAATTTGTTTGTACCTTTTTAAGCATGAGCCTTTATATCATGATAAACAAATTAGTGTATTTATGTCAGAAAAAACAAGTTCTTTTTAAAATCTATCATAAAATCTACAAATCTATCAAAGAAAATATTGTAAAATATCTCTCAAAAACTGCTACATTTCAAAAATATTTACCAGAAGGATTACCATTTGTATGAAAAAAATGACCATTGTTTTTTAAATTTCAGTTTTCTGCGCGGCAATGGTGATGTTAGTGCTATCTACAAATCAATTAATTGAAGTATATCTTTTCCTTGGAGCCGCAGGACTTCTGATAGTTTCTTATTATTGGAACAAATATTACATCACAACAGAAGTTCAGCAGATGACTTCAAAGCACGATGACTTTAATTCTTCTAAAATATTGGATGCTTCAGACTCAGAGGTCAAAAAAGGAGACATGGGAGCCTTAGCGACAAACACATTTTTGCAGATCTCAATTGGATACATGTTCAACATGTTAGGCTCCCCAGCTAGGGACTTGGATAGGCAAAATCGCTTTCAATATCTCTTAATGATATTAAGCCGAGTGTCTATACTGTTTTCACTCATGTTTCCATCTTTAATATGCTTGACAGATCCATCAGTTAAAGTACTTTGGGTAACTCCAGTTATATCAGTTATCATCCCGATCATACAACTACATTGGAATATCATATGGAACTACAAGAGGTTATACTGGGTATTCAAGAGAGGATATCTTAGTACCAAACACATGTTGCAATTATTTGGACTTCAGACATTGGTTGAATCAGAATGGACTAGGCTTCATGTTCCCCAAGTTTTACAAGTGTATTGGATTACAAGTGTAGGGCACCAAGCTGTTGCACTGACGATAAGCACATTAAATACAAACTATGATATATCAGGCTTATACTGGGTCAGCCTCGATGATGTTTTTATCATTGTTAAGACGCTGTTAGTGAAAATGTGTGAGACGTTCATTTCATTGATCGCAACTACAAGCATGGTGTCTGTGATAACACATTATATAGGGATTGTTATGTCATATTTAGTGATGTCAGACAATGAAGAAGATAGAAACATGGGCACGGTTTCTGCAATATTATTTCTTATTCTTGCCCTACAGACAGGACTGACCAGTCTTAGTTTCGATGACAGATTAACAAGACTTTACAGGAATATATGTCTGCTATCTACGGCTATTCTTCATTTTATACATAGCATGTGCAATCCATTGTTAATGACTCTAAGTGCATCTAGGAGTATGAACATTCAGCGTCATGTTAGAGTTCTACTTATGTGTGTTGCTTTAATAACCTTACCAGCACTTCTGTTGTATTGTCTTTGGAGCATTCACAGCATCAGCACCTGGTTGTTAGCCGTCTCTGCCTTTAGCATAGAGGTCATCATCAAGGTGCTGATATCATTGCTCATTTATACCCTCTTCATGATAGATGCTTACATGATAGATGACTCCCTCTGGGAATCCTTAGACGATTATGTGTATTATATAAAATCAACCGGAAACACTATTGAGTTCATATTTGGCATATTTCTATTTTGCAATGGTGCATGGATCATGATGTTTGAATCCGGGGGAACAATTCGAGCATTCATGATGTGTATACATGCTTATTTTAACATATGGGTGCAAGCCAAAGAAGGGTGGAAAATTTTCATGAAAAGAAGGACTGCTGTTCATAAGATTAACATGCTTCCTGAAGCCAGTGAAGAGCAACTTGACTCATATAATGATGTGTGTGCTATATGCTATCAGGAGCTCACAACAGCCAGAATCACTAAATGCCAGCACTATTTTCATGGCGTATGTTTACGTAAGTGGTTATATGGTCATGATAACTGTCCCATGTGTCATAAAATGATATATGAAGAACAAACTGAACAGAATGAACGTGTAGAGGAGAATGAACACCTTTTACCTAATGGTTTGAGACATGAACATCAGGATTAAATGAATTAACATATTACTGGTCATGGATGTGACATGCATTTTATGTACATATTGCTGGTCATTGATGTGACATGCATTGAATGTACATATTCCTGGTCATATGACATATATGTGACATGCATTGGATGTGCATATTGCTAGTCTAAGTCATGGATGTGACATGGATTTTATGTACATATTGAATTGCTGGTCATGGATGTGACATGGATTTGATATACCTATTGCTGGTCATGGATGTGACATGCATTTAATGCACATATTGCTTGTCATGGATGTGACATGCTTCAAATGTACATATTGCTAGTCATGGATGTGACATGCATTAAATGTACATATTGCTAGTCATGGATGTGACATGCATTTAATGCACATATTGCTGGTCATGGATGTGACAAAGATTAAACGTACATATTGCTGGTCATGGATGTAACATTATTAGGTCCCAGATATAAATATTGTCTTTGTAACAACTTACATTTCCTAAAGTGATGTATGATTTCATTGTAACTTCTGTTTCTTTTGATAACTGGTGTCAGTGATAGCGGAGATTTGATATTTCCCAAATTTTTAAAAACTGAATTTTATCCATTATATCTTTAAATTGTTACAAGTTAATTGTAACATCGTTTTAGTACATTAAAAGTTCATTTTCAATTCCTGAGAAAACACATGCATTGGTAATAATTCAACACTGAGGTGAATATTGGTCAATAATCCCAATAAGTAAATGAATATATTTATAATATTTGTTATAGTATGATCTCCATTAGTCTCTGGAGCAGTCAATTCACAATTCATGTGATTCAAGTTTAACCTCTTGACTACCTGGAGTGACGTCGACGAGATTTCTTGTCACCTCAGAAATGACCTTGAAACCAAAAGATGACGAGAAAATCTGTCACAAAATTTTTCACTAAATTTGCTCTTATTTGAGCAATTTTCAACCAATTTACATAAAAATTGTTTTAAAATGTATTGAAATGATCTTTGCAGACTAATTTTACTAATTGAGCATCTAAAGTTGTATAGGTACAGTATGTAGTAAAATGTCAAAAGGTGGCAAAAATGAAAAATTCTCTGGTTTCAACCGATTTTAGAATCTGGGATTCAAAAGGTTAATGGGGGCAGCAAAGACTGGAGACAGTTGGGTTTTTGCTCTCTCACAATCCAATGCATGCCTATTTCCTAATAAAAAGTCCAACAGTTTTGACTTGATTTCAGGAATATCATTTGATTTGTAATGTTATCTGACAGTTAAAAATGAATTTGACCATTTGTATCAATACTTTCATACTAGAATAGTATTTGATTGGACATCTCTTCTCTTTTTAGATAGTGCAATTAGGGTTGTAAGGGAAACATTGGCATGGTCCTTGACAACATACTACAAAAATCCATATTCTTTGTTGCCACTCATGAGACTAATTAGGTACAGCAAGACATGTCTAAGTGGAACACCCTTGATACCTCCAAAAAGTGTTCCACTTGAGAGGTGTTTCACTTAGAGAGGTTCATTTAACATTAAATCACTTGTTTTGGGGACTCTGTGTTCCACTTCCAGAGGTGTTCTACTTTACAGGTTTCACTGAAACATTATTGTATATCCAGTAAAACTCTTCTTTGTGTTGATGTGAACTCCTTTCGGAAGAATGTGAACATTTTCTGTCCCATTTTGGTTGCATCATCAAGTCCATGCTTTCATGGAACCATAATGTACACCTCTCATATCAGTAGTTTCAGCAGTATTCATTGTAGACAGGTATAAATGTTATTGTAAATTGCTATGTATATGTTGTGATCAAATACTGTATTCTTTTCGAGCTGTCACACTTAAGCCGTGTAGGCTCACTTTGCCACAGTATGAGTACTTTGGGGCAGACATTTTGGCACGTATGCATACATGGTGGGCAAAACAAAAAGTTTTACAGTAAAATTTCCCCATGGCCATCACATCAAATACAAAAATTAATTAGTTAACATGCAGTGGCGAATGGTGAGCTCACACAGCTTATGTAACAGCTACTCGTAATTATAGTGAACGCAATCGATGGACAGCTTAAAAACTGAAGTGTTGCCAACTTAGCAATTCTAAATTATTTTTGAAGATGAATTTCCTCAATTCAGGTGAATTTGCCTGTTAATAAATCCAAGAGGATTTTTAATATTGTAAATTAATTTTGCTGGACAAAATAAAATTGCAAATTGGAACCATACATTCATACGTAACCATTGCTTTATTTTTCTGTGGAAATCTGAGAAATTGTTATGGAACAATGAATAAATTATATTTAAAATAAAATCTATTTTGAAGGTTATGTTGATGAATGGTCAGCTCTCAATGAAATAAATCTACCACCGACTAGTTGGGCAACCAAAGGTCAAAAGAATGATGCTATCTTTGTCTAATTCTTATGGTATGTTTTGCATTTACTTGTCATAGGTCTTGTTGTCAAAGCATTACCCTTTCCTCTCAATGGTCTCTTCAAAGGAGGTTTGACTGAACTGTAACTTTGAGAAATGAATTTCAAAAAAACTTATGAAATGTTTTCAAGCTGTACATTAACATCCACAGTATTTTAATGTTCTCAACTTAAATCTGTGGAAAGAGGTTCTTGAACTTGTACTGTGAAAGTTCCTTGTAAGAATGATGTTTTATCTGTTTCTGGGTTTTCAAAAACAGTAGTAATTTCATTAGTGGGTCTACTAAAGTTATATATTATCGCAGTACTTAAAAATGTAAACAGCTATCAGAGATATAAGTTCAGTATTTGTCCTCACCCATATTAAAGGCCCACTTTGCATATTTCCAGTGTTTTTGGGCAAAATAAAGACTTCCATTTGGATTTCATAGTATGCACAATGTATTGATAAGAACCTTATCTTTCATTTGACACTAACAACAGTTCAAACGGACCACACCAAAGCTTACAACAAGGCATTAACATGACAAAATGTCACCACCTAAAACAATTTGGTCAATTTAAAGCAAGTTGGAAAATACCTTTTGACCTTAAGAATGTTTTTGAAGATTTGAGCTTCTGGGATCTTGTAGATGATTTTGAAAAAAGAAATTGTTCAATCTGAAGCAAGTTAAAACTAGTTGCACACAAATCTTAAGTCAGATTTGAACTTCTTAGAACATGTAGATGATTTTGAAAAAAAAATTCGTCAATTTGAAGCAAGTTGAAAAAATACCTCTTTGACTTTTTTTGACATTGAGAAGGTCATTGAAGGTCAAATGTCAAATGTAAAGTCAGATTTGAACTTCTGAGAACATGTAGATGATTTTGAAAAAAAATTAAGTAAATTTGAAGCAAGTTGAAAAAAGACCTTTTTGACCTTGAAAAGGTCATTGAAGGTCAAATGTCAAATCTAAAGTCAGATTTGAACTTCTGAGAACATGTAGATGATTTTGAAAAAAAATTAGTCAATTTGAAGCAAGTTGAAAAAAGACCTTTTTGACCTTGAGAAGGTCATTGAAGGTCAAAGGTCAAATCTAAAGTCAGATTTGAATTTCTGAGAAAATGTAGATGATTTTGAAAAAAAAAATTAGTCAATTTGAAGCAAGTTGAAAAAAGACCTTTTTGACCTTTTTTGACCTTCAGAAGGTCATTGAAGGTCAAATGTCAAATCTAAAGTCAAATCTAAAGTCATATTTGAATTTCTGAGAACATGTAGATGATTTTGAAAAAAAAATTTAGTCAATTTGAAGCAAGTTGAAAACAGACCTTTTCGACCTTTTTTGACCTTGAGAAGGTCATTAAAGGTCAAATGTCAAATCGAAAAGGCAGATTTGAATTTCTGAGAACATGTAGATGATTTTGAAAAAAAAATTAGTCAATTTGAAGCAAGTTGAAAAAAGACCTTTTTGACCTTTTTTGACCTTGAGAAGGTCATTGAAGGTCAAATGTCAAATCCAAAGTCAAATCTAAAGTCATATTTGAATTTCTGAGAACATGTAGATGATTTTGAAAAAAAAATTTAGTCAATTTGAAGCAAGATGAAAAAATACCTTTTTGACCTTTTTTGACATTGAGAAGGTCATTGAAGGTCAAATGTCAAATCTAAAGTCAGATTTGAATTTCTGAGAACATGTAGATAATTTCGAAAAAAAAATTTAGTCAATTTGAAGCAAGTTGAAAAAAGACCTTTTTGACCTTTTTGACTTGGAGAAGGTCATTGAAGGTCAAATGTCAAATCTTAAGTCAAATCTAAAGTCAGATTTGAATTTCTGAGAACACGTAGATGATTTTGAAAATTTTTTTTAGTCAATTTGAAGCAAGTTGAAAACAGACCTTTTTGACCTTTTTTGACCTTGAGAAGGTCATTGAAGGTCAAATGTCAAATCTTAAGTCAGATTTGAATTTCTGAGAACACGTAGATGATTTTGAAAAAAAAATTTAGTCAATTTGAAGCAAGTTGAAAACAGACCTTTTTGACCTTTTTTGACCTTGAGAAGGTCATTGAAGGTCAAATGTCAAATCTAAAGTCAGATTTGAAGGTCAAATGTCAAATCTAAAGTCAAATCTAAAGTCAGATTTGAATTTCTGAGAACATGTAGATGATTTTGAAAAAAAAATGAGTCAATGTGAAGCAAGTTGAAAAAAGACCTTTTTGACCTTGAGAAGGTCATTGAAGGTCAAATGTCAAATCTAAAGTCAGATTTGAACTTCTGAGAACATGTAGATGATTTAGAAAAAAATTGAAGTCAGTCTAAACAGTATTTGTTAAGTTATAGGAAGTTGTAAGAAATTGTTACAGACGCCGGACGCCAACCGCCGGACGCCAACCTCCAACCGCCGGACGCCGTCGCAAAAAAACGGAGACCATAACAATATGTCACCACTTTTGGTGGTGAAATTATAAAAAAAATTCGATCTGTCAAGCTTTATTTATCAAGATTTTATCAACTGTAATTTAAAACATGGACTTTGTTTAAAAAAAATCCCGTATCAGCCCAAATCCCCATTCTGATACTCATAGCATCTCTCTCTCTGTTGCAACTCAGAAGGATAGAGATGGAGAGGGCATGGCTGACCACAAGGCAAAATCCCTATCAGATCTGGTATACCAGCCAAAATCTCGTCTCAGGCAAAATCCCGTTCGATCCTGTTTAGTATTGGAGCTATTATGTATAAATATGTGTTATAATGACATTCTATGATCCATTTTAGTATTATAAATTACTTATATTTGGCTTTGAATAAAAAACCTCCTACCCACCTACGTGGAACATGATACAGTCATTGAAGGGTTCAATTTTAAAGATTATTAAATCTCAAAATAACTCAAATTATTAATATTTCTACAATTCCGGCTTTATTTTATGACTAGACAGATGACAGATCCATAAATAAAGGGTGATGACATACAAAATATTAAAACAAATATGTTTCAGCAAAAATATTATGGAATAAATAGGTTATTATGGTCGTGATGTAACATGAATTTTTATCCCAGAGAAAATATTACATTTGGCTCAGTAAATATCATATTGGCACTTGGGCTATAAGTCACTATCATATTTTCCTTGGCCAATATCATATTTTATCTGGAAATAAAATCCATATTTGATTAGATCACTGTCATATTCATCGCTCTCTGACTGATCCATATCCCACGTGGGAATAGAAAATAAGCAAATCAATGGAGGGCAATACGCAGCCCGTAGGGCGAGGGAAAAACATTGCATTTCAACATATTTATTCAATCGATAAATGAATGATGAATCTATTAAGTTAACATAATTACATACACATATCATTCATGTATAGTACACCTTTATTTTTGTCCAGTGCACTTATCAGAATTCCCTGGTGGGCAATGCATTTCAACATATTTCACGCCTGACCATTGACAAGGTACAGTGACAAAATATACCGGAGTGCACTTCAGATGTACTATGTCACTATTTAACTGATTTGAAGCAAAGACGATAATGTAGGTTTGATGTAGGTTTTAAAAAAATAATCTGAGGAATACATTAAGGATTTCATGTTTGATTTTTTGTAGATTCATTGAGGAAGACATTTAACTTTCTAATAACGTTAAAAGATTTTTAAACAGTGCTCGATTTTTTCAAGCAGTTTTTAACATGGGAGTCAATGGGAGAGAAAACGGGACCAAAAAATGAGGTGTTCCATACCTGCCAACCTAAGACCAAAATTTTGCGGTAGATTTTTTTAAAATTGCTGTATTTTTGCGGTAGTTTTTTTCAAAATACGGTAGTTTTTGCGGTATTTTTCAACAAAATTGCGGTAGTTTTTGCGGTAGATTTTAGAAAAAACGGTACTTTTTGCGGTAGATTTTTAAAAAAACTGTAGTTTTTGCGGTAGATTTATAAAATAAACGGTAGTTTTTGCGGTAGATTTTAAAACAATACTGTAGTTTCAGAGGTTTGGGGTAGATTTTTGAAAAAAATGTAATTTTACGGTAGAAATTTGAAAAAAGCGGTAGTTTTGCGGAAGATTTAGAAAAAATACGGTAGTTTTACGGTAGATTTTAAAAAATGCAGTAGTTTTTACGGTAGTTTTTTGAAAAACCGGTAGTTTTGCGAAAGATTCTGAAAAAATGCGGTAGTTTTACGGTAGATTTTGAAAAAATGCGGTAGTTTTCACGGTAGTTTTTTGAAAAAGCGGTAGTTTTGCGAAAGATTCTGAAAAAATGCGGTAGTTTTACGGTAGATTTTGAAAAAATGCGGTAGTTTTCACGGTAGTTTTTTGAAAAAGCGGTAGTTTTGCGGAAGATTCTGAAAAAACGCGGTAGTTTTACGGTAGATTTTGAAAATTGCGGTAGTTTTTACGGTAATTTTTTGAAAAAGCGGTAGTTTTGCGGAAGATTCTGAAAAAACGCGGTAGTTTTACGGTAGATTTTGAAAATTGCGGTAGTTTTTACGGTAATTTTTTTAAAAACCGGTACTTTTGCGGAAGATTTGCCAAAAATGCGGTAGTTTTACGGTAGATTTTGAAAATTGCGGTAGTTTTTACGGTGATTTTTTGAAAAACCGGTACTTTTGCGGAAGATTTGCCAAAAATGCGGTAGTTTTTGCGGTAGATTTTAAATAACTAGTTTTGTGGAAGAATTTGACCTACCCCACATGATTTTATGTGCAATATGTCATTAATTATGTGGGGTAAGTCACTATATGTCCGTGCTATTTGGTACTCTATGATTGTTCGGTAAATGAACATTGTTTGGTTCTAAAGTATATTTGTATTTGATGTGTGTTCTAAATATATTATGTGTCAACCGCCTTTGTTCGTGACTTAAATATGTGACATTTTACCAAACACTGAATAACATGAACCGCATATACAAGTGCATTTATCGCATATATAATTACATAAATCAAATATAAATGTGTAAAAACAAACGAATTTATTACGTGTTTCGAACCATTTTAATAGAGTGGAATATCGAATGGTTGTAATCAAATCCAAAAGTGTGAAAATAAAATCAAGATGCAGAAAAAATTCCATAATCCTCATGCTGGTTGGTTCGCAAATTTGCATGTCCATGTAAGTGGTATATTGATCAGAACTTTTCTACAACTCTTTTACAATAAATCTAGATTGATTCAAAATAGAACACAATATTAATATCTCCACTTTTATTCACCTTCTAACCAGTTCATAAGATATCAGGATGTTTGGAAATACCAATGAAACATTTACTGAAATACAAAATATGGATTTTACACGTTTTTACTCACCATCTTAGATGATCTATCACTTTAACGAATTGAAATGACAGACATAATGTTCATATAACATTGAAATCATATGGTATTAAAAATTGATTTGTTTACTCGCAAGTCTCTAATGATATCAATGTGTTTGTCAGGCACAAATAGAAAATAAGTACAGATCAATTGTCTTTCAACATGTTCAAAAATAATCTGTTATGAACATTTGCTGAAACCTTTTCCCTGGGACATCGTTCAGATTCGGAAATCACAATACTTTTATAATAAACCAAAATTCAATGCTTTATTTTTTAATTATGTATTTGTTACTGATATAATGTGTTCAGATGAAAAATACAACATTTTATCGTACTGAAAACAAATTGATTAAACTATGTATAATGTATATGTGGCGTTCAGTACTGATCATAAACCAAACTACGCATATTTCATACGGTAAAGCAAGTAGTTTTTGTCATTTCCACTCATTTATTTAGATGAAGCGCAACTAAAATCATATTTTTGTTGCATTTGGAATAAAGATCTGTGTACCAAAGGGTTTGGTTAACTACAAAAATCATGTCAGAAAGAATTCTTTCTTGTGGTAGTTGGTGTTTGGACTGATTATACGCCAGCGTACTTAGATAAATGCGCAATAACCTGATAACCACAGACCTGTCGATACCTATTTATATTCGGGTTGGTGAAGGAATATTACAGGGACAGTACAGGAAGACTTCAATTTTTCAGCATTTCCCAACAATAACGGGAAATTTTACGGTAGTTTGAACAAAAATACTGTTGATTTTAGCAGAAATACGGTAGATTTTCGAAAATTTACGGTAGATTTTCGAAAATTTACGGTAGATTTTCAAAAATTTACGGTAGATTTTACGGCCGTTCTCATGGAAGAAACGAGTTTTTAAAAAATAAATTTACGGTAGATTTCGAAAAAAATACGGTAGATTTTTTTACGGGCGTTTTTACGGGAAAAACATGGTATTTTTTTACGGAATTTTGTCATTCTTTTACGGAAAAACGAAAAATTTACGGTAGATTCCCGTAAAAATACGGTAGGTTGGCAGGTATGTGTTCGGATTAGTCAGGTGTTCAGATATACAGATCTTATTACTGCAACTTCAAACTGTTTTCCTAGTGCTAATACATAAAATTACATTGTTGGAAAATTTGAGTACAATCAGTGCGTGATTAGCAAATTGCCAGCACCAGTTATTTTTCGGACACCATGTACAAATTGCCAGCACCATGTAAGTGTGGGTTTACTACACTACAAAGTCATTCCATTGATTACTCTGCAAAAGACTTTGCTATTTGGTTCAAATGTTCATTCATTATGTCTTGCAGATTTCTGGCAATTTCATTCAAAGTTTTAAAATTATGTTTATTCTGCAAAACTCCAGTTGGCATAGCCATTGCATCAAATAAAGTTTTATGGACAGTATTAATTTTCTGAAAAAGGTCTGCATCGAGTGGCAATGGCACAAGGCGGCATATTTCAGTGAAATTAGTCAACCAATTAAAGTACTCTTGGCTACTAAAGTTCGGTTCAGAAATGAAATCGTTTTCTGGCACCCTATTTTGTATATTCTGAACCTGGTCATTTCCAAGTACATTTTTTACTTGTACATTTTCTTGGATAATACTTTGAGCCATCGTGGTTTGAATATTTTCTAATGTTTGAGTCACATTTGAAGTAATTCCTACATTTGCCCAGTTGGGGTCCACCACTTGGTTTGGTTGTAAATCCGTATTTGTGTGGTTCACAGAAGTGTGGTGTCCCTGGGTGATTGGGATTTGAGGGTGGGGGTGGGCCACAGGCTGAGAGGATTGGATAGAGTTCATTCCTTCCTGGAGGAGATTACTAACAGCCTGATGACTTTCTATACCGTTGTTATGAGGTATGGTTACTCCTTCATTCATATTTGTGGCACTTCTGTTGATGTGGAGCTGTATTTCCCCCATTGAACCATCATCTTGGGGCATAAGCACAACTTCATACTCCTCAGGAGTGGACTCTACACCATGTACACCATTACTAGTCTCAAACATCATTTCTGCTGCAGATTTTGATGTGTTATACACAACATTGTTCACTTGTTGCAGATCTGAGGAAAAGCTTTGCGACGTTCCTATTTGAGCATTTGCTGCCATCTGAGCCGATGTGATAATTTGGGGATTTTGTGGCTCACTCACTTGTTGAATTTGATCGGACACAAAATTCTGGCTTATAACTGGTGACTTTGGTTGACTATTTTCCTGAGCTTGTTGATTAGCAATGGATGACAGAAACTCCTTATTTTGTTTTATAATCATCACTGTTTCTTTCCCCAAGTTTTTCAACTGGTTTACAATTTTACGTTGTTGCTTTAAAGCATCTTCATTAACCTCTGATGTTACATCAGCTTTGTTCATAGCAGGGGCAGTGTTTGCATTAGAGTGTAAGATGATGTTATGTTTACGTTTAACATGGCACCTCAGATGGTCTGCTCGCTTGAAAGCAGTTCTACAGAATTCACAGACGAAGGGACGGAGGCCTGTGTGTCCCTTTAGATGTTTCCTCTTACTGGCTGGGTCAGTGAACCTAGCTGAACACAATTCACAGCCATATGGCTTTTCACCTGTAAAATACCATACATGTGCAATATTAGCAATCATTACATCATTGTTATGTTTGAAATTGAATGATCTGTCAAAACCAGGTCACATATCATGAAAGATTTGAACTAGTGAAATATTATCTTGTGAATCCACCACAGGTACTTAAAGAAAATAAAATGAAATATTTGTATAAAATCACTATGAAGAACATCTAACTTATCTAAAATTTGAATGATATGGACCAACATTATTTGAGTTATCGCCCAGATGGATGGAGTTGTTCTTTAAATCCCCCAATTGAAATTTATTGATCTTGTCATGATATAGTGAAGAGTGATGTCCATTATGATACATCCATTATGATGATCCATTAAGATGTGCAACATTTCAAAAAATCTGACTAAATGGCCCCACATCTAGTATAATGAGAGGGACTCACCAGTATGCACAATTTGATGTCTTCGTAGGTCTGAGAGTTGTCCAAACATCTTCCCACATTCTGGACACGAACACTTCTTTTCCTCTGAAATAACATTAAAAACACATTACCACCATAAAGGCCAACACATTGAGAAATATAGCATCACATATTATGATTTAACAAAACACCAAGGTCAAACAATATAGTACACCCTTGAAAAGAACATCAAGAAGGATTAATACACCAAGTTCAGCAATATTATGATGATTGTGTCATATGTAATTGAAATAAAATGTGAGTCCCTTAAAATTCAAATTGATTCATCATTGCTGGAAATGCAGTAACAAGACTTTAAAATACATTTTCTGGGGTGAAAATCCAGATTGGGCATTTACAAATTGTGGTGGTGATATAATAAGACCTCTAATCCTTACTTGTATGCGATCTCTGATGAGAAGTCAAGTAGACTTTTCTCGTGAACTTCTTGTTACAAACAGAGCAACTGAACGGTGTTTCAGATGAGTGGGTGACCAAGTGAGACAACAACACACCCTTCAGACGGAATGTCTTATCACAAATATTACAGCTAAATGGACGAGCCCCTGTAAAAACAATATTCATGACAATATTCAAATGGTGCAAATACTGCACAGTCTTATACTGACAAGTCAATTTCACATTGTCTTGCTTTCTCTATTCTTTTCCTCTTTTCTCAAAGCAAAATGTAAAATCGTAATTTACAATCATTACTGACGTTATCAAAAATCACTTGTTGCATCCTGTCTACAGCAATCTTGGGAGAAATATACACAATAAAAGCTGTATATCCAAGCACCTCTTAATGTGAATACTTTTATTGGTCCCAACCTTGAAATGTGAACACCTAAAAATCGAAACACTTTTAGGTGGTCCCAGTGGCGTTTGGATTAGACAGCTTTTACTGTAGTGTCAAAATGAAACAAAAACCTACCTGAATGCACAGTTTGATGCTCCTTCAAAGTTACTTTATTGGCAAACTTCTTATCACAAATATCACAGGAGAATGGCTTGATTCCTGAAAAGAAATTCATGAAAAACATGTTTACTGAAAACTGAACAAGTAAAGATTGACACCCACCCACATTATGAGGTAACAATATAGCACTTTTCAAATGTGAAAATAAGTGTGATAAAAATGTACAGCATTGACATGAATTGATTCACTGCTCAGGAATCGTGTCAATCAATACAGCATGATAATTGTAAAGGTATTCCAAAACCAAACAAGAAACACAGTGATACATATCACACTTAATTTTATCGAAAAATGAATGAAATTCAAAATTTCAAGTTGAGCAGGTAAAGAGTTTTCCCAAGAATTTTGATGACAAGATTTATGGGGCAGCTGCCTGCCCATCCACCCATACAAATGCACGCACACCAATCAGCGCGAGTTGACAACAATATTTTAGCACTTTGGATATGTGGGAAAATCTTACCTCCATGCCAGTTCATGTGTGACTTGAGCATTGCCTTGCTTTTAAATGCCTTCTTACAGCCTTCTTCTTCACAAGCAAATGGTCGCACATCTGAGTGAACGTAGAAGTGTGTCTTCAGGTTACCTAAACAAGATATCGTCAAAATTCATACTGTGAATGTAATCTAATCAATTACCTGGCTGTACATTAAAATAACAATATGCCATATCTTCTTGAAGGTGACTGACATACAAATTATATGATCTGCATGCAACTTTCATGATACCTAAAACTACATGATTCAACTTATTAACCCTCCCAAATTGTTGGCAAAAGCTCCCTAAGGGCCTGGACATGGTATATACATTATACATGTGTGATATATGTATGGATGTACCACAAAACATTACACAGTCTATGCAAGTTTGTCAGGGCACTATCTGGAATTGATGCCCTTTTTATTTCCCAAACAGTACAATACATTGGCGGATTAAGGGCCCCCTCGAGCGACCCAATTTTTGAGAAAGAGTCGAAGGCATGCGAGGCGAATCCTGGAAACCCGGTTTGGGATAGCAGGGTTCACTGTTTGTTTCCGTTGACAAGTGTGCGAAACTACATTCATAATTCATACGACAGTGAACAGGAGGTTTACAGTCAGACCCGGGTGCGCCAATCCCTTATTTAAATGTTTGTTTCGCGGACCAGGGTTTAAGGCCATTCCAAACGAAATAAGTTTTTAATAAGGCCACGAAACATAAAAGTTCGTTTTTTTAGAATTTTATACGTGTTATTTTGTATCTACCAAGACGTTAAACATATTGGAAATAGTTACGTATTATGACTGGTCTGAAATGTGCAAAGCTAGAAGACCCCTTATACTCGTTCGTTCTCTATTTTGACTAAGATAATATATCAGTACAACGGCTACTAAAACAAGGAAAAATTGGCCAGTAGAGATGAGGAACTTGAAACAAATTAATTTTTATTCATACATATAAATAATATTTGATTTAAATACAATTCCACGCTATTACCATCTTACAGTGTTGCAATTTCTATTCTGTCTGTCTGGGATAAAATCTTATATATTACAATTGATAACGAAGAACCCTTCTAGTAAAAACAATTAAATCCAGGTTTGAACGAACGAGTCTAATTATGAACCGTTCACATTTTTACAAAGGCGGGTTTGGATGACGGCAAACCCGGGTTTTGAGGGTGCGACTTATGGCAACGAGTGCTTCTGCAATTTTTGGTTTTTAAAGGGCCCAAAATTTTTTCATGCGCATGCACCCACATTTTTTCTATCTTGAACTGTGGGCCTCCCTTTGTTAGCTTATGGATCCCACAGTGCGATAATTAAAAACTTGCACATAATTAGCTTACCCTTAGACTTGAAACATTTTCCACATGTTGGGCAAGCAAAGATTTTCTTATATTCATCCGAGTCAAAAGTGCGACGTTTACTTTTTTCTTGCTTCACCTCTGTAGGACCTGGAGAAGTTCAAACAAATATAGTTATATAGCAGGTTTAATTGCTTCGTTATGACACATTTTTTGACAAAAAAGCTTCATAACAAAGGATTTGGTTTATTAAGAAGCTTTTTGTCAAAATGCATGGTAACAAAGCAATGCTATCTAGTATCCTCTTATGTAATGAGTACATATTTCACCAAACATACTTTTCAAAAGTTTAGGAGAGTGCATGGAAAATAACAGGAGAAACTTCACTGGGCAGACACTCATAATAATTTTTTCTTTAGTTTATAATTATTCTCAAATCCTAGTCATATTAAGCTAAGGGCTTCATGAGGAAGACTATAAATAAATCAAAACTGATAAAATGCTGTTTTTCTTACTCTTCATTTTTTCTTGTCCATTTGGTCCTTCTGTGTAAACAAAGGTAGGATCCCCAGCTTGAGCCAGCAGGTCTGCAATGCAAAATAAAATTACAATACAATGCTAAATGTGTTTCTACAGGTACATAGTCGATTAGGAATCTTTGAAAGGGAGATTTGTATGATATCAAAATTAACATCATTTTTCCATGACTGTTAATAATTGGACATTCAGATTTTATTTTTCCCTAGCTGAAATTGAACGTTTATCAATATTGAACAAACTTTGTCCATCTCTTGCTATTATATCAACTCAATTTAGAGTATCAGCCTGTTGTGGGCCAGTGATATTGTCACATTGATCCATGTTAATTGCTATGACACTGGTGGTCTTATCTTTTATCATAGTATATGCCTCCTTGTGGGCCAGTGATATTGTCACATTGATCCGTGTTAATTGCTATGACACTGGTGGTCTTATCTTTTATCATAGTATATGCCTCCTTGTGGGCCAGTGATATTGTCACATCGATCCGTGTTAATTGCTATGACACTGGTGGTCTTATTTTTTATCATAGTATATGCCTCCTTGTGGGCCAGTGATATTGTCACATCGATCCGTGTTAATTGCTATGACACTGGTGGTCTTATTTTTTATCATAGTATATGCCTCCTTGTGGGCCAGTGATATTGTCACATCGATCCGTGGCCAGTGATATTGTCACATCGATCCGTGTTAATTGCTATGACACTGGTGGTCTTATTTTTTATCATAGTATATGCCTCCTTGTGGGCCAGTGATATTGTCACATCGATCCATGTTAATTGCTATGACACTGGTGGTCTATCTTTTATCATAGTATATGCCTCTTACCTGAGTTTGGTGGTGGTTTCTTGTGTCTCCCACGAGATTTCTTCACAACTGGTTCAAAATCTTCATCACCATCATCAAAGTCCCTACATTCAATAATACATAATGAATGGTAGTTGGCTAGTTGCCTTGCCAATTGCCAAAATAAAATAAAATTAAATAACATTATTGACTAAAAATAATACATGTTTATGGCATGATTATTTCTGACTTTTTTCCTTTCTAATTTGGACCCTCATCTTCTCCCTTTTTAACTTGAATATTTTAGAACAATCTAGAACCCCCTGTTATACGTGTACTTCTGGCTCAAAATGTGAAAGATGAATAAATGATACACAAAATATTATATCTACCTGTATTTTGAGGGTGCTTTAACATTTCGTCCTCTTTTGCTTTTTGTAACCTTGATTTCACCAACATTCTCTATAATAATGAGAAAATATATTGCAGTCATTGTCCTTTTCCAGATGGTCAAACAGAATATATAATTTGTCATTTTTTTAAAAATTTTGATAGACCTCTTCAACCATATACGAAGTAAATTAGACTTGTGATTTTTTGGGATTGACAGATGACATGTATCTGACTAAGTTTATCAATTGGGATAATAATGTCAGGGGTGATACAAGCTTGGGATTTATGAGATTTGAATAATCATACATATTATGGATTAATTGTAAGATTTTACTTTATTCCTTCTCTGTACCTTGTTTTGTAGCCTTCTGTTTAACAGCACGCTTTTTGGCTTTACTTTTTAAGGGCTTTTCCACTGCTGTTGTCTTCTTTTCATTTTCATCCTCAACCTTATGTACCTCAGCTTCCATTGGTGCATTATCCAGAGAATGAAGAACAACATCATTGTCACCCTCTTCAGGTGCAACACTTGCTTCATCTTGCACTCTGATATCAGTTATGAGAATATTGTTGGCTCCTTCTGCTGCTACCTGGCCTGCTTCTTCTTCAACTCTATTTACAATGACATGCATGATTTGTGATGGTGCAATTTGTGGGTTATTTGAGACAAAATCCACTGGCTCTATGGAAATAACTGAAAGTAAAATAAATAGACATACAGTTTATAAACTAGAAAATTAAAATTTTATACATACATCCACAAATGTTAAAATCTTATACTCATGCATTTTCAGAGCATATGGTTTGAATATATGTGAGAGTCCTATTTTTGGCCCACACTGTAATTGTCTGAACATTTTGAACATAGGTATTCCCCAAGTCCTATACATGTAATTATGTAAATGGTGTTTCTTTCTCAGTAAACCCTATAGTTTCTGTTCATTGTCTGTGTTGGCCCCTACATTTTGATATTAATTAAAAAGGTATCCTCACCAGAGGCTGCAGATGTAGTCTCCTGTGAAGCAGCATCTGAGATTGGCTGCATATTTTCATTAATCTTGTCTTCTTGATTCTCCATCTCCATTTTCTATTACGCTTGCATTACAATCTAAAAATGGACATAACATTGTATATATATGACTCTAGCCATGAAACTATTTTTGAGCTGTCTTAAAATAGACCTATTCAAAACAAAATATCTTTGAATCCATTATATGCCCACATTACAGACGTTTCACATACATTGCGTGAAGTACAGTCTACTTTACAGTAGGTGTATACATTTTGCGCTTGATGTCCATGTACAAATGATAAGTAATTGTGTAGATAATTGTTAAGCAAATTCCAGAGCTTGATCTATCTGATAACAGATTCTCAGCCAGATCTTCCCCTTGGTAGAGATGATTGGTTTGCAATAAGTGTGAGGGTGGATATCTGAGCTGGATATGATGACAGGTGAGGTTGACCATACATGGGCTTGAAATCAAGTCTTTCAAGTTGAAAGCCCATGGGTTGACATTACTTTCCTGAATTCACTATAAATTCTGCAAATAATTGTTAAGCAACCATCGAATATTATGGGTTGGATCCCATGGACTCTCAAAGCTGACATGATCTTCTTTTCCAAGTGTCAAATAAATAGAATCATAACAGACAAGCACGTGGGTTTGTTTACATCTGAAAGACTCCTGAAAATATTTGCCCTTTTGAAGACCCCATGATTAGGTGATTTGACAATAAATTTCATCAATAGTTTGATTAATATGGAACATTGGTATAGAAAATCAGTACAGCATTTATATTACTACAACAATTTGCTGTACTCACACACTCAACATGCAGTAACATTGACATATGTAACTAACTAACATTTGAAAAAGTATGACGAAAACGGTCGCCATTTTTGATGCGAGTATGGTGCCCTTCAAAATTTGGCCTTTAGTATCCTTCAAATTTTGTTTTAAAATGGAAGTAACTGTTCAAAAAACATACGTGAAATGCTAGAATGTTATTGACATAATTATATTCACAGCTCTTTGAACCCGTAGATCACAGGTATATGCTTGAAAAGTAAGTAAATATTTTACCAATTTTCAGCCAAGCGGCCCCTAGAGAAGAAAAGTCCCCGGATGAGAAATCAGAAATGAATGACGTCATTGATTCTAGTGTACAGAAGTTAGTGACGTTCACCACAGATACCAAATGTTTGTAATTTTTGATAAAAAATACTGGACCTTTTCTGACTGTTTACTCTTGTACATATGATCATTCAAGGTAAGCTAGTGGGTGGCTTAGAGAGCCACGGCATGTTTCTTCTTTTTGTCCAAATATAATGTTTGTGTTTACACATTGGCGTTTTTCTTAGAAATTATGCACCTCGTCACTTAGTCTAGATCTACAGTTCGGGACATAAATAAATGACAGGTGGATTTGCTGAAGTGAGAATTTCCCATGTTAAAAATAAGAGAATTTTCAAGAGGCCATACATCAGTGGATGAGATTATACAAAATGTGAAATATACAAATTTTAAGGGATATGCATCTAGACAATATTGGAAATTATGGGCTTTCAGAGGACCATAATTAGGAAATGGTGATCGAAAATCGACCTGTCATTTATTTTTGTCCCCAACTGTAGTCCAACAACATTAGACCTAGCCTGGGCCTCGTTTCTTATCTGACATGTCTTATGGCCCCGGCTAGTACAACGGCCCCAAGAAAATTCCTAATAGTAAAGAACGCCGTTATTGAGTTTAACGACGTTGAACTAGAGTCCATTTCACTGCTTCATTTCGTCAGTAGAACGGCAAAAATAAGAAATTGGGAGACCATTGTGCAATAATATATGGAAAAGTATATACATAATGTACATGAATGACATTTGTATATTTCAGATTTTTTAGTTTTTTGTGCAATAAGCCTGTGCCGTCTTGTAATTTGAAGAATTTCAGCCATCTATCTATGTCTATGTCAATAATCCGCAAAAGGCTAATAAGCCCATATAAAGCAGATATATAATTTAACAGTGATAGAATTTGAATAGAATATAATTTAAAACCTTAACATTTAAAAATAGATCTATGGTTTACAACTCATTTTACCTGGGGAGACTGTCAGGCTAACCGCGTTGACATCACCCCTCTTTACCAGTAGTGCAGGCTTGTTGCTGTGCACTGGGGACCCTTTACATTAAAACATAGATCTATATTAAAAACACACCTATTTAATTGCAGTTATTGACATAGGCATAGTATGATGATTTAAAACTACTTAGACTGTCACAGTCTAAGATGTCACCAGGTAGAGTGTTCCATTTAGCTATTGTCCTAGGGAAATAGCTAAATTTGTATGCATCCGTTCTAGTTGATGGTTGTATGAACTTAGAAGGATGATACAACCTAGTGTTGGTATTGATCTGTTGGCGGAAGTATGGAGGCACGTCGATGGCTGCTAGGTTCTGCTTTCCTTTGTAGAAAAGGAAAACTCTAGCAGCCTCTCGACGCTCCTTCAGTGGCTCCCACTGTAGGTCTTGAAGAGCTTTGGTGACGCAGCCTGGTTCCCTTGAGTGACATTTGGTTACAAACCTGGCTGCTCTTCTCTGTACCTGTTCCAACATATCAATATCTTTTTGTCGGTACGGATCCCATGCCGAGCTGGCATACTCTAAATTAGGCCGGACTAGTGACTTATACGCCTGAGCCTTCACTTTTTCAGGGCATTGATGGAGGTTGCGCCTGAGAAATCCAAGCACCTTATTGGCTTTGGATACAATAGTTTGAATATGTGTAGTCCAGCGTAAGTTATTTGTGATGTCAATTCCTAGGTATGGGATGTGTGTTACCGACTTAAGGTTTTCCCCTAGCATGGTGTAATTGTGCATGATAGGGGATTTACCTTTGTGAATATTTAGCACATAGCATTTTGATGGATGGAATTTCATTTGCCATGTTGATGCCCAGGAGACCAGTTTATCAAGATTCTCCTGTAGTGTTAATGCATCTTGCTTGCTTTCGACTGTCATGAATAAAAGACTGTCGTCGGCAAAAAGCTTAAGACTGGCTGAGGATGATAGGTTATTGCCCATATCATTGATATAAACAAGGAAACAGAGTGGTCCAAGAACTGTTCCTTGAGGAACTCCTGATTTTACTGGAGTTTTTGAACTTGATTCACCATCGAGCACTACCTGTTGTGATCTTCCCACAAGCCAGGATCTGAACCAGTTCAAGTTATTATTGCGAATTCCATAATAGTCGAGTTTGAGCAAGAGGCGTTCGTGAGCCACCGTGTCAAACGCTTTGGAAAAGTCTAATACCAACATGTCTGTTTGTTTATTGTTGTCGAGGGCCCGAGCTATATTCTCTATTGTATTGACAAGTTGTGTTTCACATGAGTGCTTTGACCTGAATCCATGTTGGAATTTTACTAGAATTTCATAGAGGTCAAAGTGGGCCATAACATGATGGAATATAATATGTTCCATTATTTTACATGGAACTGACGTCAGAGATACAGGCCTGTAATTCACAGCCTCATCTCTTCGTCCCTTTTTGTAGATAGCAGTAACATTGGCATGTTTCCAGTCCATAGGCACTAAGCCTTCATCGATAGACTGTTGAAAAATTATTTGAAGGAATGGTGATATGCTGTCACTGCATTCCTTCAGGACCCTAGTCGGAATAAGATCGGGTCCAGTGGCTTTTGATGGATTTAGGCCAGTTAGCAATTTGTGAATTCCTTTTGTCGAAATTTTGATATTTGGCATTTCAGGAATTTGACTAGGTACCATTGTCGGTAGAGTGGCATCCTCATCTGTGAATACAGAATTGTATTGGTCATTGAGGATGTTTGCTTTCTGGGCGGCGTCTGTTATTTCGTCGCCATCTTTGTTACGCAGCACGCTGATACCTGATGCATCTTTGCGTTTAGACTTTATGTAGCTCCAGAAGCGTTTGGTAATGCCTTTGTGCTGAACATTCTCATTTATGATTTCGCTTTCATCAATGTCAAGCAGATCGTTGATGTAGCGCTGATGTTCTTTACGAATTTCACTATGGATTAATTTCCGTAGTGATTTGTATTTATGCCAATGATGAGGTTCATTTGAACGTTTGGCAACATTATATCGTCTTTGTTTCTGTCGGATCATTCTCAGTATCCTGGTGGTAATCCAGGGTACTTTGAATTTCCCGCTTAGAGTTTTACTTGGAATATGCTCATTGATTGACGATATTAATGTAGATTTGAAGGAGGACCAGTTGTCTTCAACTGATCTACTTTCACAGTTCTCTTTGAATTCGCTGAACTTAGATCGTAGAGTCTCTTTAAGTCCAGTCCATTCTGCCCGCTTGTATATGTGGACCTTACGAGGCTTCTTTTTCTGAATTTTCATTTTTAGGTTTATATCACATAGGACTGCCTCGTGATCACTCATGCCCGGAACCACCGAGATTCTTTCTGCGAGGTTTGGGCATGTAGTGAATACTAAGTCAAGGATGTTATTTTGTCTAGTTGGTTCCTTGACTAGTTGGGTTAGGCCATGATCATCAGTTATTGTAATCATCTTCTCATTAAGATCATTAGAATATTGAGAATTAGGCCTTATAGTTCCTTTCTCCCAATCGATGTCTGGTAAGTTGAAGTCACCACATAGGAAGATGTTTTTCATATGTGTATTACCATTAGCATAAAGTTTATCGAGGGATGTTTGGAGCGAGTCCAAAGCACCAGTATCGTTGTTTGGTTGACGATAGAAGGATCCAAACAGTATGTCCCCATTTGATAGAGATGCTTTGGACCATATGATTTCGCAATCAGCTGTCGCTTCATATTCGACTGATATGAAGTCACTTTTGACTGCGATAAGGACACCGCCAGCACCTTTCTTTCGGTCTTTCCTGTATGGAGGTGGGCTAAGGTAGTCTTGACCGAATATCCATTTGCTGTCGATGGTGTTGTCCAGGTGAGTCTCACAGCCTATGATGACATCTGGCTTGTGAGTTTCAATTAGTTGTTGAAGGTGTAGTTGCTTCTCATGACTAATTAGACTGCGGAAGTTGATAGACATGAGGCGAACCTGGTTTCGCCTCTTTCGTGCAGTCAGCCTCGGTGGTTCTGATTCGGTAGAATCAGATGATGATGACGAATTGTCAAGATCAGAGAGAGCGCTGAAGGAGTTTGTTACCGAGGAATGAGAAAGAGTGGAGTCATTGAAGAAGCTGTTGGAAAAATTAGGTAGGGCACATCCAGGACAGATCCAGGTGAAACTGCCCGCGTCAAGAAAAACATTGTACTCAGCAGGGGAAACATTGCCACATTTGATGTGTACCCATGTGCCGCATTCATCGCATTCAAGGGCGCGATGATTCTTGGCAACTGCTTTGTGGCACATACCGCAGGGAAATTTAACAGGACCTGGGTTTGGGTGGATGTCACCACTAAGAATAAGACATAGGAAGAGCAGTGGTGTGGAAGATTTCTTGTGAAGGATTCCACGAGAGCCAACAATCTTATGGAAACGTCGCAGTTGCATCAACTGTGTGTATGACTCTGTTGAAGGTAAGTGGTTTCCATGATCACAGAAAAATGACTGGACTGCGAAAACAAAGCAGAGAAGGAGCAATCCATATCCTTGGAAACCCATGACGAAGAGGTAGGTAAAACCCGTTAGCTGAAAATAAGAAAATTCGCGCAAAAATATGAAAAATACCGCGAAAACCGAAATTTGAAAAATACGAAAATTAAAACTGATTTATCCCCAAAAGGGGGTCCTGCCATGTTAATCTTATTGAAAATAACATGGCAGAGAAACATCCAAATATAAGAGGCCACACACTTTATAAGCCAAACTAGAAGCAATCCAAGATATACAAATGTCATTCATGTACATTATGGATATACTTTTCCATATATTATTGCACAATGGTCTCCCAATTTCTTATTTTTGCCGTTCTACTGACGAAATGAAGCAGTGAAATGGACTTTAGTCTACAGTTGGGGACATAGATAAATGACAGGTGGATTTGCTGAAGTGAGGATTTCCCATGTTAAAAATAAGAGAATTTACAAGAGGCCATAAATCAGTGGATGAGATTATACAAAATGTAAAATATACAAATTTTAAGTGATATGTATCTAGACAATATTGGAAATTATGGGCTTTCAGACCACCATAATTAGGAAATGGTGATCGAAAATCGACCTGTCATTTATTTTTGTCCCCAACTGTACTCGTCACTGTGGCACTGGTCAGTCAAAAAATTGATTTTATGAAATGTTCATTCAAATATTCTTTTAACAATAAGCATATTTACTTTCGATGTATCACAGGCTGAATTAGAAATATGCGTAGATCAATCTAAATATTGTATAATTTTACATAGATAATCGAACTGTAGATTCACTGGATAAGTAGGCCTAAAACATTATTCACATGATGTCTGACAGTCGAAAAATCAATTTATTCTCTCATTCGGTCGTATTCTTAAGTTTTTCCCCCATGTATAATAAATTTGGCCAATGACTTATCTACACCTCCTACCTTTCATCAGTTGATCACAGGAAATTGAAAAGAAATCAGATTTTCTGATATCACGCAAATCATTTCTCCTCATATACTATTTCGTCTCGAATTCCAACATGGAAGAGATTCTAAGAAAATGACGTCATCGAAAATGGACTCGTCGAAACGTAGGGGACAAGGTATGTATATATCAAACGCTGCCATCTTTCTTTGCAATGGCGAGTTACAGGCATCGTTCCTCACTTTATGTGGAAAAGAAGAAATTCTCGGACTTAGTTGTCCGTCTCCACCAGGCACTTGAGAAGGAGATGACTACAAAGCTGAATACTTCTAACCCCTGCCAAATGAACTCGTCCAGATTTTGAGATTTCTAGTTACTCTAACATCACTCAAACAGAAGTCTAGGAACATTTCTGAAGAAAATGACTTAGTTTCTTATTGTATTTGGATCCAATTTCGAGAATCTGCCTACTGACTAGGCAAATATGCACACATTTGACTTCAAAAAAATAAGTCATGTAAATATGAGCAAGTAGACCAAATGATTCGATTCAGGCATTAGAACTTTTTCTAAAAATGGATTTTTCGACTGTCGGACATCATGTGAATAATGTTTGAGTACATTTTGATATAGCAAAATGGGACCAAGCGTTTCATGAATGCCATGTGTGAAAAGCATTGTTTGGAATTTTCGAAATTCATGTTGGAATATGGTACTCGCACCTCATGTTGATATTAGGTCAGAGTGCATGTTCGGAATTTTGCTGCATTCCTCAATTGAGTGACATGTTATTTTTCAAACAGGAATCACTCCTTCCCCACATTGTCTACATCTTTCAGTTTTGCACAAAGAGTGCTCTTATGTGCCTAGAAAAGACTGGTGAGAAGATTTGCTTTGTAAAATGTATAAAAAATGAGAAAATTCAGTGAAAAAAATCTCTGAAAATTTTCTGAACTTTTTCACCGAATTTTCTTGTTTTTATACATTTTATCAAAACATTCTTCTCTACATTCTTTTCTAGGTTCATTAGTGCACTCGTGCAAAAGTGAGAGATGTAGATATTGTGGGGAAGGAGTGATTCAAATTTGAAAAATAACATGTGACCCTATTGAGGGTTGCAGTAAAATTCGGGACATGCACCCTGACCTTAAATTGGGAGAAAATGGAACCAACTTTTAAAAATAATAATTTTCATGTATCTAGTTGAAAACCCATGGTAACAATCATTATGGATTGTTTATGAAATTTATGTTTCTTATATGATAAATATCTTTTGTTACAAACATATTCAAGCAAGTGTGTAAGAAACTTTGCTGCACATTATACTTAACTATCTGAAATATACAAAAGTTAGGCCTTGAATATATGTTTCTATTTTTCATATACACGTACTGTTGCAATATGTTCATATGGTTGCTTTAAATCTGACTGTAATTTTAAATCTGACTGTAGTTTAGTTTGGAATGGCCTCAAACCAAGTGTTCCATAAAGTGAACATCTAATAAGGGAATAGGAAGCCCAGGTTTGACTTTTACCTCCCCAGTTCAAGAATTAAAGGAAATTAACTTTATATTTTTAGGTTTCAAAGATGGATGATGATTGGGACAATTACATCGCTTCAAAGAAGAAAATAAAAACTCCCCCTCCCCAAAAGAATACATTTCAAAGAGAATTAGATGCAAAGATGAAAGACCGACGTGCACGTGGACTTACTACAGACCTAACAGAAGATGAGAGTGATGATGGACTGGGAAGTGATAATGGTAAATTTGATCTTCATAAAGTATTGGTTTGACTGCTTCTGTCCAGGCAAATGATTTCACAAATTGATTTGTAGTTTTCAATTGAAGTACTTTTATTCTTGGTATGAAATTAATTAGTTTTTGAGAATGCCAGTGGTAACTTTAGATTTTCTTTTCTAAAGTCTTGCCTTTTACCACTTTTCTTCAAGTTTCCAGTCAAAATAATGAATGCTACATATGAAATCTATGTTTACTAAGCTTAGCTAAGCTTACTATGGGCTGCTTAGTTCTTGAGTACTTTCTTAGAAGGTAACCAACACAATGTGAATATGGTATTATACTCTAACACAATTTCTTCTTGTGTGCGTAATATTTACATTTTGTATTTTCCAGAGCTTTTATCTGGTTTCAACATGACTCAAAAATCGGCAGCTAAACCATGGACACCACCAAACTTACGCAAGAAAAATGAAATGAACGATTCACGCAAATCACCATCCATGGTTGAACATGGTAACAAAAATAGAAAGTCTCCCCTTGATCCGAAGATGAACGGTGATAAAGGTAGTAAAGTTCCTACAAAAGAGGAACTTTTATTTGGAACATCTACTAGGAAATCACTTGGAGATGACGACGATGACTACCTAAGTTCTTATAGGAAGAAACAGCAAACACCCAGTCCGAGAAACAAGTATGTACATAAAGTGTTTTACAGTACAATGTACTTGTTTTGGTAAAATTATAGTGTAATAAAATGTCTCTTGACTGCAACAGTAATTTGATATTTCCTTATCCCATATTTCAATAATTTAGATAGATTACGAAATAAAAATCAATTACAGATAGAGTATTAATATTTAAATCAATTATGAAACTAAAATGAAAAAACAAAACTTCCCACTTTGAATATCAAAATGGTCCTCATGTAATCTAGCAATTTCCATTGTTTGATCAATGCAATTTTATTTGCGCTACAGGCAGCTTGACCCACTTGGGGGTGAAAGCCAGCAAAGGAAACCATGGACTCCTCCCACCATGAGGAAGAACCAAGCACAAGAAGATGACAAGGAGAATGAACCAAAAACAAGTAAGTACAAGTAACCATATTAGTACTAATGAAGTAATTAATGAAAGACATTATAAAAATGGGCAATTTAAGGCACAACCAATTTGTTGATTGATAGGCCTGTTCTTTACATTAGCCAGTTGAGGTACACATAGGCCTGCAAATCTCCCAAATTGTATGCTATTAAGGGGTAGATTAATGCACAATAGTTTGATGCCCTTAATACACCATTTGAATGTGTTAACTTCGGTAATCATGAAAAAATGTTCACAATAAATCCCCTCTGTTTTTTTCAAATCAGCTCATTCCCATGAAGGACAGTCATTCAGATTTATTATTGAGTACCATGTACAGCTGTGTTATTTTATGGGAATGATCTTTCTTTTACAGGATTTGGCAGAAAATCTCCTCATCCGTTAGATGAAGAAAGGCCAAAACCATCACCACGACAACGTAAATCTTCAACAGAGGAAGTCGAGAAGCCATCAAGGTAATAAAGGCATATTTTAATGACTGGTTAAAGGCCCAATGTAAATTTTAGATAATTTCAGATTGACCCAATGTATGTGATTTGTGAAAAAAATTTTTTTGAAAAATGTTGAAAGCAACTTTTATGTCACAAGAAATCATATTTGAATTTTAAAAATTGTAAGAGACTTTGTTCTTTCTCACCTTCTATAAGTTTTTAGGTAGAAAATACACCTAACAATTTATCTGAACACCATACATATTTCAGATTTAAAAGCAGAGATAAATCTCCACTGTCTGGTCGGCCTAAACCAAAGGCACGAGGTACTCCAACAAAAGGTCGTCTTGGTCGAAATGAAGATGATTCAGAAGAAGAACTAGAAAAACTTACCAAGCCTCGTCCTAAAGCTAGGGGAACACCAACAACTGATATATTTGGCACAAGCCGTAAGAAGAGTTATTTTGATGATGAGGATGAGGATGTTGATAATGAAGATGATAAGAAGAAAAGTAAGAATAGAGGAAGTCCAACTGGGAGGAAAACACCTACTGGGAAAGCAAGGCCAGTGACACCAAAATCAAAAACAGACAATGAGAAATCAAAAAAAGATGGAAAAAAGACACCAGAACCCAAAAAATCTTCATTATTTGATTTTCTCGATGATGATAAACCTAAACCAAAACAACGAAAGAAGAAGTCCATATTTGATGAAGATTCACAAGATGAAGATGATCGTAGAGGAAGAAGTCCATTTGGAGAAAAATCTAGAAAAAGTCCATTTGATGAACGATCAAGAAAAAGCCCATTTGATGAACGATCAAGAAAAAGTCCATTTGAAGAGAGATTAAGATCAAAAGATATTGACTTTGATGAAAGAAGGGGAAAGGGTAGAAAATCTCCATTAGATGAAAGGAAATCTCGTTTTAGACAAGATGATTCAGAGGAAGAGGAAACTGAACTGAGACAACAAAAACATCGATTCGGAGGACCGCCAAAACTCAGAACTCAATCTCGAAATCAAGAAGATGAAGATGAAAATGAAGATGACTATAGACCTAAACCACATGCCAGAGGGCCACCTAAGCTTAGAAAAAATAGATACTCTGATGATGATGATGAGATGTTTGACAATCATAAAGAGAAAGGTCGACACAGGCCACGTTCTCGAGGGGACGAAAGAGACGATCGGGAAAGTTCAGTCTGCAGAGATGTAACCAGGGACCCTGATAAGAAAGACAGAAGAGACTCTGAGGAAGAGACTAACAGGGAACCAGGACAACAAAGGTAAAACTGGGGGTAAAACATGTAGACATTGAAATTTCTCTCTAGCTATTGCACGTTTACTTTTAAAAATATGTTTTCCTCAAATGAAGACTGCACTTAGGGTATTTTAGAAATGGACGCTTTTTTACACAGATGCTTTTTATAGACCAATCCCTCCGATTTTCTTACCAGTGATACATCATTCAATTATCTATCAACTCTGAAGATTTGAAGACAATATATATATTACATGTTGATATATCTTTATTTCCGTGAAGGAGGTACAGGTACCCCGGGACCGACATTTACGTCACACATTCTGAAGCTATTTTAGATTGTTTAACATGCAATGCAGTTGAATGCAGGCTGAACAAAACAAACCATTATGGTCATGAATTACCCCATTTTGTTATGCCATAGTAATAATATAATAATTTTGAATATTTTATCATCACTATGTGGTATTCATGCCACATTCATTCCACAGGGCCCTCTAAATAGTTTCCACCAAGTGCTACATGTACACAATTCCTCATCCTCTTAACTCAAGATTGTGAGACAAGGCTGAATCCATTCTCTGACATGGTAGCAAGATGCAGTTGCACGGGTTGTAAGGTTGTTTTATTTCATCAATATCAATAAACCTGCATCCTTTCTCTATAGAAATAAGTAGTATAGAAATAAACAAGTCACATATGAGCAGATCTGGACAATATGGTGCATTGGCCAAGGGCTCAATTTTGAGGTCCAGGGATATTGTTTTCTGAACATTTTGAGATCTGTGGGCAGGTGCATTGTCCATATGGAGTAGGGTGTTCCCTTCTCTCACCACCCCTTTCTTCCACTGAATGCTTTCTCAAATTGACCTGCAAACCCCTTCCATACAACACTCTGACATTACAATACTTTCTGTTTATGTGTTACCAGTCAGCAAAAAATTTTAAACAACACAACACTTGTTGCATATAAAATGTTCAAATCTAACTGAAATTTACCAAACTGGCTAAAATCTGAATATGTGACGTAAATGTCGGTCCCGGGGTACCTGTACCTCCTTCAAGGAAATAAGGATATATCAATATGTATTATATATCTTGTCTTCAAATCTTCAGAATTGATAGATAATTGAATGATGTATTACTGGTAGGAAAATCAAAGGGATTGGTTTATAAAAAGTATCTGTGTAAAAAAGCGTCCATTACTTATTGATCACCCCTCGTATCTAAGCACAAGTGCAAAAGGAAAAGGACCAATGGAACCTTAAGCAAGAAAAAGCTCTTTAAGTGTATACCAGTCATAAGAAAATCAATGCCCATATATCACAAACCATGATCTTACGTGAAAAGAAACAATGTCTAATACTCCCTTTCCCCACCATTCAAGAACCAATATCGCAAAAATATTAGAAAATAGACTTGGAATAGGAATGATGTGAGGCAAAGATATTCTATAATTGAAACAATTTTTGTAAAGATTGTTCAATAGCCCTGACCTTCCTTTAATCTTAGCTTATGTTTTATATTGAATGAAATTACTAAAAACTATATAGTGAAGCCACCTTGCTGTGACATTTATTACAGAAAGCCAACTAAGCAGCGTAAGGAGAAGCAAATGTATGATGACATCATAGATAAGATAGCTGATGCACAGGCTGATGAAAAGACAATGCAGTTTATAGACCCGGATGAAGAACAAAAACAGAAAAGGTGGGCAGCAGGTTTCTTTTACTATATGCCACATGAGTTTCTTTTACTATATGCCACACGAGTTTCTTTCACTATATGCCACATGAGTTTCTTTTACTATATGCCACATGAGTCTTTTCACTATATGCCATATGAGTTTCTTTTACTATATGCCACATGAGTTTCTTTTACTATATGCCACATGAGTTTCTTTCACCATATGTCACATGAGTTTCTTTTACTATAGGTCACATGAGTTTCTTTCACTATATGCCACATGAGTTTCTTTCACTATATGCCACATGAGTTTCTTTCACTATATGCCACTTGAGTTTCTTCTACTATATGCCACGTGACTTTCTTTTACTATATACCACACAAGTTTTTTCACTATATGCCACATGAGTTTCTTTTACTATATGCCACATGAGTTTCTTTCACTATATGCCACATGCGTTTCTTTTACTATATGCCACACGAGTTTCTTTCACTATATGCCACATTAGTTTCTTTCACTATATGCCACATGAGTTTCTTTACTATATGCCACATGAGTTTCTTTCACTATATGCCACTTGAGTTTCTATTACGATATGCCACGTGACTTTCTTTTACTATATACCACACAGGGCTCTTTTACTATATGCCACATGAGTTTCTTTCAATATATGCCACATGAGTTTCTTTATGCCACATGCGTTTCTTTTACTATATGCCACATGAGTTTCTTTCACTATATGTCACATGAGTTTCTTTCACTATATGCCACATGAGTTTCTTTTACTCTATGCCACATGAGTTTCTTTTACTATATGCCACATGAGTTTCTTTTACTATATGCCTCATGAGTTTCTTTTACTATATCCCATATGATCTTCTTTCATATGATTAATTTTCAAATAAATGTTTTTCTAAAAATCGATTCTGTCCCTTGAAAACCATTAAAAAGTCACCTAACTAAATTTTAATGAATTAAAAATAGGTCACAAAAGTTTTAGTATAAAATGTGGTGAGGCTATTCATAAAATCCACAAAAATATCCATCAACATCCAACCCCTACTTGTATGAAATCCTATCACATATCTGTAAACTGTATTAACAAAGACAATACATGGAAATATAGTCAGGAAATGTTCCTGAATATTTGACAAATGCCAGTTAAGATACTAGAGTGCAGGCAGGCTTTCTTTCTTAAAATATTTGGTGTGCTGGTAGTTTTAAGTTAACTCCTTACCTTTAAATCAATTAATGAGGTTTTCTTGCAATGCTTCATTCCAGCAATAAATCAAAAACAGGTGCAACAAAAGTTAAACCAACAGCACGATATGGAACTCCTAATAAAGAAGACAATTCACCAAAGTTCACTGACACAACATCAATTAGGCAAACGATTTATGATGAGTGGAAGAAGGAGAGACTGGAAAAGGCGAAAAAAGATAAGATTGAGAAACTGAAGAAAGAGAAGGAGGAAGAGGAAAAGAAGAGAAAGGTATGGAAACCTGCAGTCATTTCAACTTGATTTCATAATTTGCATATAATGTTTCAAAATGGTTAGCATGCAGTAAAACCTGTCTAATCTGAACACCTCTGGGACCAACCAAAAGTGTTTGGATCAGCAGGTGTTCACATTTCAAGGTTTCTTAAATGTGAGCAGCTGAATGTGAGTCAGTGAGAGATAACAAATGAGGGACTGAGCAAAGAAGATCACTTTGAGAGGTTTCGGATTTGGGGTGTTTGGATGTACAGATTTTACTGAACTTTATACAGTTATTTACCCAATGAGAGGTCGACTTAAATAAAACCCCACAGAGGGATTTTACAAATTTTACAGAGAACTGCACGAATGGATCTATTATTGACAACTCATGACAACTAATGACAACTAATTTGAGTTCTCGTATTTTGTATTTATTAAATTCTGTCAGCCTTTCCCTCAGAATTATTATCATGATGTCATGATGTGATGTCATCTTCAAGAGCTATGCATTGCTAGGTTGGACATCTGCCTTATTCTATGAGAGTATCTGATTTACTCTTAAGGCATATGTCTAGCTCTAACAGGGCTTCTTTCTTACTCTAAGAAGGTATCTGCCTTTGAGAGGGCATCTGTTTTCCTCTGAGGGTATATGTCACATTGTAAGGCCGCCTTATATTACTTTTAAATGTATGTACATAAAATATATACAGGGTGGGCCAAAAAAACGCCACTTTTTTCAAAATGCTATAACTTTTTTAGTTTTTGATACAAAATCATAATTTGCACACCGAATGAAACTTGAGGTTGTTATCTAGCCATGGATCATAAATTATACCTTTTTACTTGAATAAAATATGTCACCAGCTTCTCACTTAACATGTGGTGTGCCATGAGAAATAAGCATAATTTGCAAAATGTTCCTGAACTGATACGGCCTGATGATTGCCAAGCTAATAGCCCTGATGCAAACCCCAGTGAGTATAGGGTATGGGGAGGTCTCCAGGAGATGATATGAAGGCACCCAATCTAAAAAATTGCTCAACTAAAGCTGGCAATAAGACAGGTTTAAAAAAACGTAGCTAACATTTCATTGATACCTCTATATCAGCAAGGTGACTAAAACTAAAATATATCATCAATTAGGGTGGCAGACCAATTGAACTCCACTTTTAGATCAAATACAATCCAATTTGAAGGACTTGTTACATTATATTATTACTAAGAACCTCTGGCACTATATATCTGCAAAATTTGGGAAAAATTGTTCATTGTTTCTTGTGTATCAGGATGCTGAGGATAAGCTACTTGAATCCAAGGCTTCCTACAATGCCTGGCATGAGAGCAAGAAAGGCTGTCTTAGTGATAAGAGGAAACAAATGTTGAAAGCTGAGCAAAAGAAAAAGAAAGAAGCTGAAGATTTGGTAGAGAAAAAGAAAGAAGCTGATTTGGTAAGACAACATTAAAGTAAACCAAATCATGTTCAGTTAAAATATGTGCGAAATTCATTTCATTTTACTTAACCTCTCCTTCCTAAGAATGAATAACTGGAATTGAAATTATGTTATTTTACCCTTGTTGTTTGAAGATAGAACAATGCCATTTCTCTATTGTTAAGCAGATATAACTTTACTCTCCATTCTTGTGCATTTGTATTATAACTTAATTCTTCTATCCCTTATTGTGCAGTCATTTCATAACTTTATTCTTCATTCGTGTGCAGTCATTCCATTACTTTATTCTCCATTATTGAATAGTCATATCATAACTTTATTCTCCATTATTGCACAGTCATACCGTAGCTGGAAGGAAAACAAGGATGCTGTTATCAAGGAAAGAGAGAAAAAGAAGAGACGTGAAGAACTGAAGAAGGTACAAGCTGAAGAGGAAAAAAAGACAGAGCAGAAGAAAGATGCTGAGTCCTCATTCGTTGGATGGTGTGTATACTTTAAAAAGTTTCTAATAAATTATATGTAAGATTATTTTGCATTGATATTTTGACCGAAATTACCCTTAAAGGTAATGATTAACTTGTTTTGAAATATCAGTATTTGAGTTCAAGCAGTTGATTTAACCTTACACTTTACAGGAAGAAGAAAAAAGACACTGTGATCCTGAGGAATACAGTAGATCTAGAGAAAACGCAGAAGTTAGAGGAGAGAGAGAAAAAGAGAGAAGAAAGGAGAAAAGAAAGAGAAGCAAGTGAACAGTATGAACAATGGTTGGAGAAAAAGGTATTTCTACATAATTTCGTAAAATTATTTACAAAATTTTGCTTTCAACTTTGCTGTCTGTGAGGGCTATAGAAATAATAAAAGGAGGAAAGAATTAGTTCTTCATAGTTGCAACAATTGTTTCCCGCAAATTTTCAACCATTGTTTATTGGAATACTCCACATCAATGTGATGTATAACAGTACACTGTGCCCTTATCATTGATGTTATAGATTTGAATTTTAGAGAGAGGGTATATGAGAAATAATTTTTTCCTTTTGACACTGTATTTTGCTACATGTGCTAATTCATTGTTGCCATTGTTCAATGGTCATGTATTCTTTTATTTGAGCTTTTGTGGCTAACTCTATCCACTAAAATACAGAGTACTGTGAAAACCCCACATTCACTTAAACTTGTGACTGTTCATTTCACTTTCAGGAAAGGGACCAGTTAGAGAACAGGAGAAAACAAAGACAAAGAGAGCGTGAGGGTTATGTTACCCCAGTTGCAGCCTGGAGCCCAGCTAGCAGAACTGTGCCTTTTGGCAAATAACACATACAAGAGGATATGTAAGACACTCTCTTGATTTAACGTATTAAGTGTTACATTGAGATTTTAGCCAACCTAAGTCCTAAGAATTAATGTAAGGCACTCTCTTCCCTTTATGTATAGTAATGTGTATTGCATATGAAGAGGAAATACTGTATAAGTGGTATTTAATCCGAGTGATTAATTTTCCGGATGGTCAAATTTTATCATTTTCCTAATTTTAATTTTCCTAATGACAAGAAACCTCCCATTGGATAACATTATAAAGACAATATTTCCGACATTTAATTTTCCGAACCTGGCAAAAATTAGGAAATAGGAAAATTAAATGATTAGGCAAAATTACCACTTATACAGTACTCCTGAATTTGTAGATAAACCTATCTATATCACTGTGTTAAGATGAATCTCTAGATTGATTATTGGGTATTCCCCCTGATTTTGTATAACATTGAGACTTTAGCCAACATAAATCTAACTGAGCCAGAATATAGGATTAATTTATGATTTACAGTGTATATTCGCTGCACCCCTCTTGAATAATACATGCATGGTTTACTCAAAAACATTCTTGGTCATAATTGACATTTTGATGTTCCAGGAGAGAGAGTGAGAGGTCTTAGTGCAGAAAAAAGACAGGACGGATATCTAGAGAAAGCTTTATGATCCATGTGTCTTACTCTGATGACTAGTCATACCAGACTAATGTGCATAGATTTTACGTACAGATAAAGTTAAGTGACATCTTAATTGCTACAAACACTAAAACAATGACTGGAAATGACACTGTCCATTATTATTGGCTAATTGGATGCACTGACAATGTAACAGAAAAAATCGGGGTTCGAATGTCTAAGCTGCTGTACTGCCAATGGCAACCACTTATTGCTATGGAATTCGAAAAGCTGGTTGCCTATTAGGAAATAGTCAATTGCCAATTGTGGCAAACATGTTTTCTATCTTAGTCATGAACCTCGGGCAGAATGATGACAATGATCATAAACTGATGGATATATCAAATGTATTGATGATGGAACAATAGGCTGTTCCCATCAGATTGGTACCAATAACCAAATCTGAATTTAGGGATTCTTGTTTATCCCTGTATTTCAAGAGTTATATTTTCCAGAAAATAGCATGCATTTTATATATACATGTAACTCCGTCCATATTGTTTACAGCTTTTTTATGACATCTTATTGGATATTGTTGTACACATTATTTGTACTTATATTATCTTTTATTTTAACAATCCTAGGATTTATTGAGATTAATGTTGCATGTAATTTTATTTGAACAGTATTGCTTCAAGAATTGTAAAGCACAAGTATTGGCAGGTCTAAGATAAAGCTTGAACTTGGATCATTGATGCATTACAATTGCATTTTTAAATGTAGCCCTAAGAAAGAGACGAGCCTAACATTTACATAGGCCAATTAACCAGATGACCAGGTTTTACTGGGGATTAGCCTTGCCACAAGTCGGTCTCTTTTACTTATCTTGATTTCTATTGTAAAAATTCAAGATCAGATAAGTAAAGAATATCGACTTGGGGGAAGGTAACTGGGGATGTGCATTAGCTTTTAATTATATACATCTTGGTAAAGGGATATCAACTAGCTATAAACATTCCAGGAAATATTTTAGACATAATAAAGTTTATTTCTATATCTTTGATGATTTCCTTTTCATCTGAGATTTTGTTGTTCATTATATTTTGTGCATGTACAGAAATATATGTTGTATATATAAATACATGAGTGAACTACATGTTATACATAGGTATTATGTTTTTTTATAAGTGTAATTATGAGTCCTGACTGTCGAATCTGTTACCAGACCACCTCTCATTTGCCGCCTCTGGAAAATTCAAGACAAAGGGGGTGTTTGTCATGCTAAGTAAGAGAGCAACTCATTCTCCCTTGAAAATGAGGATAGCTACCAATGTATCTTCGCTGTATAGGTATACAGGACCATAGCCAGGGGGAGTTAAGCGGGTTGAGCAAACTCCCTGGCCAAAAATTCTTTCAAAATCGTGCAGTTTTCACCATTTTGAGCAGAAGTGATTTTGGGTCAAAATTTGAACTTCCCAGAACCTTTTGAAAACTGAACCCCTTGGCAAAAGCCAGCTATTGTGCCAGCTATCAGGTGATAGCATAGCATCTGTCAATTAGTCAAAATAGCTTGTCTGTGTGTCAAATAAATATTTGTTCCTTGTTCCCAAATATCCAAAATCCATTCATTCTCAAAATTCATTGGATGTGGTATTGTTAGAATAAATATTGAAAAGGATATTTGCTTGGAAATGGATTAATAAGTGACATTTTATTGAAATTGGTTATCAAATAAACAGATACAAAGATTTATTTTAAAAATGTTTATTTAACATTATTACAGTAATTAGTATGAACTTTCATTTTACACAATTTTTAGAACATTAGCATTGACAATTTACAATCACTGTAACTTTCTCATTATATGAACCTAACTTACAATTTGTCAGAAAAATAAAAAACTGTGACCTTGCCAAATATATTAAATATGCGATAGCGTGCTGCATAAATTGCTTAATTATGTTATTATAGCAATTAAGGGTAAATAGCTGTAATCCTCGTTGGATGTTTTTATTCAAAATACTGTATAATGTCTTACACAAAGCAGCCATTAGGCTAGAACAGACCCTCTTTTCTGAAGATACCAGATCTTGGAAAAAGTCCTCACCACAACTACTGAACCAGGCCATCTGTCCAAAATTGACAAAACTGAAAAAACGTTCACCCTTTGCAATCTGGTTTTAAGCCCAATAAATTAATATATTGAAAGTTTAATAAGGATGAGAATTACTAAGCTATCAGCCTTTTCATCAGCTGACTGGTAATTCATTTCAGATTAGTACAATTTCAAAAAACTTATTTAGCAGACTGAGCAATACTTATTGAAAATAATTGACATATCATACTTGCTTAAATCATTAGTTTATAACTGTTTCTCATGTATGATAGTGACTAAAACAAAAGTTACAAGTAAAACAAATACTGTAAAGATAAAGTACAATATTAAGAAACAAAAGAATCAATCCTTACCACCATTTGTACTATTAACAATAAACAAGAGGAAGGGCAGCATGCATAATAAAACCTCATAGAATAACATAACATTAACAAGACACACAGCGGAAAATATCGCACTTTAAAGAGCAAATTGATCTTATCAAATCGTGGCACTTGTCTGCTGTTGCATTTGTAAATATTTCAAATTAAACAGATAATTAAGCAGTTTCCTTGAATTTTGATGACGAGATTTACAATTACAATACAGCACTTTTTCAAAGTGTCATAAAGAAATGGTAAAAACTTTTCCTTTCTAAATACCAAGAAATATAAAGAATAGAAAGAAAACATTTTCTGTATTAATGTCTCTGACAAAATAGAATACAGATAGTCCAAAAAATAAATATTTCTAGTTTGATTGTATGTTATTTTATGTATGTCATACATGATACATGATAATTGCTACAATTCTCCATTATCACTTTATTTAATCATTTATAAATCCTGAGTTTCTATCCGCATATTACATCTGTAATTAAGGGTGATAAAAAGTAGAATACTCTGTAGCTTGTATATTGGAGGGAACTTTAGAATAACAAATATAGATTTTTGTGATATCAAGAATGAACACTCAATTATTACTCAATTATGAAGTTTTCTCCATGTTATTTAATTTTGCAGTTGATTTGGCTTATAAATATCAGTATCAGTATTCTTTATTCAGTGGAAAGTTAGAACAGTTCTGCCTAATCTTATATTAAGACTGTACATGCGCATCGAAATATCATGGAGTCTTGAGTCCTTGTTGAGCCTCTGAGAGTCCATGAAAAAACATTTGCAATTCCTATAAAACTAAAGACAAATATTCACATACTCTGCTTTTTCATGTCATTACAAAATGTTTTTCATTCCTACGCAAAACATCTCTTGAACGACTTTTGGTTCCTAATCATAGTAGATTATATCATTTCATGGTAATTTTTCATGTATTACTTTATGTCAGACATCTCTAAAATTAGTTTTGTTTCCTGTATGATCATTGTAGATTACATCATTCCATGTTTGGCCATGTATCGTTGCCTAGCTGCCTCAATCATTTCTTGTTTTCTTTCTTCAAATGATTTCTGGCGTTCTTTGGAGTTTTTTGAAAAAGTTTGTTTTTTCTGATTTAGTAGTGACTTAGACGGTACCTGGAATTAAAAGTAGCATTGTGTGAGAAAATTCATAGTACTCAGTGATCCCCCCAGGATTTTTTCTCAAGTGGGTGCAAATTTCTCATTTTCACAATTCACATTGAGAATGGTCAAAATATGCCCATTTTTCATGATTTTTTTTATTTTCAAATGGGTGCAAGCCTGTTTCTAAAATCTCAGGTGGGTGCTGCGCCCACTTGCTTTATTGCTGGGGAGATCAATGGTACTTTTTAGTCTTGCATCAAGACTAGTGGTGCAGAGTAAAGAGTTTTAGTCTCGTTGCTGATGCAATAAGGGTCTTAAGTTATAAAATCAGGTACATGTGTTACTAATTGTAACTTGTTAAAGTCAGTTTAAGCCCCAATTGAAATACATAATTTAGTGACTAATTTAACCAAGTAACTCATTCAGATATTCATTAAGGAGAGAATGCAAAATTCTTCAATTTTTCATAATCATTTCAATTCCACTTTTCTTAAAACAACTTGGACCAGTAATCAAGACTAATCAATGATGAAGAGGGAATGGGGTAAATAAATTAGAACATCTTGATGCAAGACTAATTCAATGACTGATGCAAGTCTAAGTGCTAATGCAAGTCCATATTGTATGCTATGCCAGCTTGTTTTATCAACATGTCAATTCATAATGTAACTTCCTCTATATGGCAGCTTTAGAAAATAGATGTGTTTACACAAAAAAGTAATGTCAAGCTATCATTTAGAGGAATTAATGTTGTTCATTGTTCACTGGTCTGAATTAAATGTAGTGGCCATTGCCTTATGTTTTTCAAAATGGCGAATGATAATGTTTTTAGTTTTTATCAAATTTAACTCCTTTGTCATGGATGTCCATGAACCATTAAATTTGAACCATTAAATGTGTAATTCCTTCATATACAAGTTACCGACAATTTGATGGGAACAATATTTTTCAAATACATTGCAAAGAATAATCATGTCCAGAAACAGATAAATATACTTTAAATCTTACTTTTTCTATTGTATCTTTTTTGACTGGATTTAGATCCTCTGGTGTAAATTCTATTTTCCCCTCTAGAATGTTTGTTATTGTTGCATCAACATCTCTAGTTACACCTAAAAAGTCATTAAATCAACCTTACAATTGATACTTCATATTTATAGCTAGGGGTCGTCCGACATGATAAAACAAGTCTGAAAGGGAATAAATTACAAAATTAATAAAAAAAAATGTGGGGTAATATTTGAAATAACAAGGTAATAATCTGCAAAATGTCACCACCTGCCATTTGTTACAGACACCAACTGCTGGCTGCCTACCACAAAAAAGTTAGAGACTATAATGATCCAAGTATGTGAAAAATACAGAAAATAGAGAAATGGACTGTGACTCTAATATAACTAATAATATGTAGTAACGTTAAAAAATGATGAATCAATGAACTTAAAAACACAGTATTTACTACAAACCTAAATCTTTCTTAATAACAGCTGTAGGAACGTGTGGAAGGACCTCCTTGACTCGGTCGGCAAGAAGCTCTATGTGTGAGCGAGTGGCTGGACTATATGGTGAGGGGCTTCTGGTCTGACTCCTCCTTAATCTTATTTCTGCATCACGATGCCTCTGTTGCTCTGGAGAAACAAAAAAAGTGCATAAAGTCAAACTCTCTACGAATATGCTTTAATTTAAAGGCATCAACTGCTTAACATGACATAGTGTCAATACCTGGTTGTAATTATGAAACACTGAATATAAATACCAAAAAGCCTTTCACAAAAATAGGGCTATATCAATATTTCACCATTTCTTGATAACATGATATTTCTGATACATTTATTGTACTGTAGTACAAAATTAATTACAAAATAATTACATTTTTCTGAAATGCTATTTTGAATTCAGCAGTCTTCATAAAAATTCTTTCTGGAGAAATGGTTCCATGCCTATAATGCATCACAACATAAAATCTGAACCAACTCCAACAATGGCTTGAGTTATCAAAGAAGATTACATTTTTAACCTGAGCAGGCATGTTGGAAATTACTTCTTGATCAAAGGTCCTATTGGAGCATGGGATTTCCAAAAATCTGTAGCTGGATAATTAGGACATTTTACTTTATTCTGTTACAAAAATCTCCAATTTCTAGCAATCATACCTTGCTAGCACATGCTATTTTTTTTATTTTTTTATTTATTTATTAAAATCATATAAACATACATATAAGTGATAATGACACCCTAGTATAAGTACAGGGTTGTCCAAAAAAGGGACACTCGTATTGCATAAATAAATATTGTTTTTCTTGAAGAAAACATGTCATGTTATATACCAGTGGATAGGGAATTTACTTATCTTTAATTTGGTATATCATAAGTTCAAATTTATCATAATGTCTGTCAACCAGCGTCCGTTATATAAATTACGTCATTTTAGTTTAAAACAATTATAGCCCTCTATTTCAGCCTAAACTGGTCAAAAACATCATTGGATATAGATTTTTTTGGACCACCCTGTATATGTATAAGGCCTTTACCTTCAAGATATAATTTTTTTATCAACTGAGACTTATCGGCAGCTGTGTACTGAGTTGTAGAGATGTTGAGTTGTTCTGCCAGGACACCCTGTACTCTCTGTATATACTGATCAGTACTTTCATCCTCTCCCTTCTCAACCACTTTGAGACTCCTAGAAACATAAACATTATATAATGGGAGGTACTGCATATCAACGGGTATAAATTTAAAATTATACAAGGTGAGATCCATATATTCTCTCAATGCTCTCATTTTGTGATTTTTTTCATATATCCCTCTCAATATATGGATCGCCCCTTGTATTTATTCATTTAATAAAATCTTACACTTAGTAATACCAATTCAACAATAACATGAAATATACTATAGTACTATGTATACAGTTTTAGACATTCTAACAATAATTAGATCGGTATTACCATCGAACATGCTATTTGTCAATTAGTCAACATCCATCAAAAAATCTATTTTGATACAAGTTTAAAACATTACTGGCAGTATTACCTCAGGGAGTCTGTAGCATACTAAAAACAAAGTAATAATTTCAAAATAAAGTGTATCACATACTTGAATGAATTTTAGTAAGCAAGCCAAACTTACTTGATATGAAAGTGTGTGTAGGGGACAAACAGGAACCAGAATAAGTCAGATGTCCAAGATGAGTCCAGAGTACTCTGAAAAAAGAAGAAATGAAACATGAACATAAAGTTCAGCTAAGTAATGGTGAAGAAGGGTCCACGGTCCGAGAATGTAAGGACATGTATTTCCAAATCCAAAAACATTTACCAGTTTTCAAATACAGATTACAAGTACATGGTACAATTAAACCTGTGTAATCTGACCCACTGGGACCTGCCAAAAGTGATATTCATAAACAGGGGTTTCACTAGAATTTCTCACAACAGGCTAAATAAATGAAAATAACAGGTTATATTAATGAAAATCATAAATTTAACATGGATAAGTTGAAAAGTTCCTAAAAACAACATGCAATTTTGTGAAAACAACAGGTGAAAATCGCCTGTTGCCTGCTGCTATGAAACCCCTGATAATTCAAGTTTCTTTTAACATGAATTCTATGGCAGATTAAACGAGTCAAAAATGGAACCAAAAACGTGTTAACATTGAGAGATGTTCAGATAAGAGAGGCGTTCGGATATACATGTTTTACTTTTCATACTTACTAAAGTCACATTAAATATAGCTGGCCTAGAAGCAGTGATGGCTATAGGTTGTACGTCCTCCTCTAGTAGGAATGGCCAATCAGCAAACTTGAGGAGAGCAGTCTGGCCACTCGTAATAGCACCTTCTGGCACACACAAAACAGGAAGCTCCTTCCCTACAGACAACAAAGCCAAAAATGAATTTCTGTTTGCTGATTGGTGAAAAATTGTGGTTGCTATGGTAACTCATATTTTTGTCACATGGGGATATTTATAACATAAAAGTCATTCCAAAAAGCTTGTGAATCATTAGCTTCACAATGATATATGTTAGAATGCAGAGCTTCAACCCTCCTTTCAATTTTATTGAATGTCAACTTTTATTTATGGCAAGAAACGGGAATATAATGAATACAAATTTCAGATATTTCATACCTGCTACATATTTCTTGAGATTCTCTAAAAATGCTTGTTTGCCAGTCTCATACTTGAAGTCTGTGTAGCCAAGGAGCCAACTGGTAGTGTTGGAAATAGAGTTCCTCCAAGGCTGGAATATATAAATAATACACTGGAGCAAGAGTTGTAGTTATAGGTACCTCAGGCCTGTGTAACATATCGTCATTTATGATTTTAACATGTGCATTGCACATTGTGCAACCAAATATTCTATCAAATTACATGTATATCTAAATGCATTATTCAACTGGTAGATGAGGCTAACCATGGGACAATCTTGGATCAATGCATGGTCTTCTAGAAAATCCTCAGAAGGTTACCTTCACATGAAGAATTGGCCTTGCCTAAGTCGGTATTTTTTTGTTTGTTTGTGAAAAGTGTATTTGTTTTGGCTGTGCATAATAATGAGCTAATGCTGCAGGGCCGTCGTTGATTGGTTAAATTTACCAACATAAACATCGAGTCGGTAAAGCATGTGACTTTTTCATTGGTACAAGGCGGTCATAATAGAAATCAATATAAGTAAAAGAGGCCGACTTGGGCAAGGCTAATAATGAATGTACAACTAGATTTTACAGTACACATTTACAAGACTAACAAGATTTACAAGACTAACTCACCTTTACACAGTGTACTACCAGAGAAATTGCAATTTCATCCAATATTGTTATGTGATTTGTCACGAGAACCTGTGAAGAGATTTTGTTTGTGCAATCAGATGTGACAACAATGCCAAGTACAGACAGCAGCACTCTCAGGACAACTCTGAAAAAGAAATAACCTTGTGAACTATGAATGAGTAATGCATTTAATGAAGTAAATAGGTAAAACTTACTCATGAGTGTTCCAACACACTTATAAGACAGAAAACATATGACTTTAAACATATAGTACAATGCACTGGTGGATCCATGGGCGAGTGGGAGGGGGGTCATGGGACCCATCCCCCCAGAAAATATTTTTATGCCCAGAAAAACTTTTTAGGCCGAAACATTTTTTAGGGCCTCAATTAATGATCTTTTTTTGGCATAACTTGGCCTTATTTTTTAGGCCAAAATTTAAACAATGGACCTAAATGGGCCTTAGCTTCTGGATCTGTCAGTGCAATGTATATAGCTAACATCAGGATTCTTGTAATGATATATCAAATGTGTCACCTTTGAAGAGCTGGTAGACTTCGTAAGAGGAATGCTGCGATGACAGCTGTGAAAGATATGAACACTCTGAGGATGGCCAATACAAGTCCAATCGGGAAGTAAACAAGGATTGGAACAAGAGCTATTCCCTTCGGAAACCTGTAATTAAACAACATACTAGAATTTAGCCATCATGAGTAGATTTCATAGGTGTGTCAAGCTTAGACCTACAACAACAATCAATTAATAATAACTTAAGTTCATTTACTTCAGAGTAAAATGTTTTATTTTCGACGTTTCGCTAATTATCCCATTAGCTTTATCAAGATTACATTCAAAAATTCATTCAAAAAATTCATTCATCAGATACATTGTCTTTGAAATATAATGCACATCAGAATTTTATATTATTTTTGGCAAAGCCTGTCTGTTCCCTTGTTCATTTGTTCACTTTCTGTCCATGGACTCTAAAATAACAAGAATTCACATTTCCGGGAGTGTAAAATTGGTTGTATTGAATGTCGGCTCTTGTATTTTTCATCTGCCTCTTGTACAGAAAGTTACTGTACAAAAATGTGAAAGTTGAATAAACATATAATATCACTGATCAAAGTCCCTCGCATGAGAAAAAATTATTTAGAATTTTCTTTTTTTTCGAATCATATTACTGTAGATATTAGATAGATGGTGCTGACTGTGCACATTATATATCATTTTGTTCCTTGTGAAAAGTTATGTAAGATTACAAAGTTTCAGAATCAAGAGATGTTCATGAAAAAGATACATTGTATCAAAATATGCAGGCACGCCAGCCCAAAGGGTCTGTAAGCATTTTTTGACCCAGTCTGGTGATTTGTTGCCCATTGGCTTCACTTTAAATCACTGTGTCCTGAGTTAAAGGCCCATGATGTCACAGATGACAACTGCACTGCAGGCCTGTCAACTTGGGAACACATAACATGTTGAACACCTTTCTTCAAATTTTGGACAGCTTGCTATGCTCTCTTAGAGTAAAATGGAGGGGTTTCATTAGCAGCAGCCAACAGGCGATTTTCACAGGTTGTTTTCACAAAATCGCCTGCTGTTTTAAGGGACTTTTCAACTTTTCCACGTTAAATTTCTGATGCCCATTAATTTTGCCTATTGTTTTCATTTATTTAGCCTGTTGTGAGGAATTCAAATGAAACCCCTGAAAATGTGTGACATATACAGTTCGTTTTTTTGTGGCATTCGTTTTTTTTGCTGTATCGGCGATCATTTGTCATAGCTCCAGAGAAACTAAATTTGCCCTGTCAATTGCAATTCAGCAAAAACAAATTTTTGAGTTGGTGGTTGCTGATGTAAAAAAAAAAGTTTTTATTTTTCCGCGTAATGTTGCATTGTGATGTATGGTGTCATTTAGCTTTGAATGGGTAGATTCAGGCTGAAAAGTGAATAATTTTGATTGTCTTTGAAAAAATACACACTCAAAATCTAACATATTTCTACGTTCATTTCGAATTTAACTTTATTCTACCTACCTACGCCGACAAAATAGTTTGCTTATGTCAACAGGACCCATCGTAAACAATCATACGATCCCGAAGAAAGAGAGATTTGATGAAACGTAAATAAAATGTTTCCTCCGATGAACGAGATAGTGGGCGATAATATGGGTAACAATTTTTGATGGTGGAATCCTGAAACGAAAATGCTAGCCGGCGAAATATCTATGTGTAAATATTACATTTTAAAATTTTTCATATTTATTTCAAAAGACAATTAATTAATTTGAATAGTTTTAAATAATCGTTCAATAATTGCCATCCCAATCACATAAAAGCAAGTGATTTCGAAATATATTTTCACCACAATAAATTCCAAATCTTATTTCCGGTTCACATGTTTCTGACACGAATCGAAAAATCCCATCGGATTTTCTACGATATCTCATTGTAAGACTTACGAACAATGGTAAAAGAGTATCGCCCTTGTTAAGAAAGGTGAATTTTCAACAAAAAAGTAACGATTGGCCTAAACACACCGGTAAGTCATTGAAAAAAATTGTCTTCAAAATTTGTAATTTTTTTGACAACGACACATTTTCCTGTTTTTCAATGAATGGAATGTATTGAAGATGAATGTACCAAGAAATTTCATCTTGTGAAATATGTCGGAAAATAAAAATTGATTCTTTTTTATATTTAGGTAGGCCTTCACAAAATCATTTCAATCATAGTAAGATAGCGTATGACAAATAGGTCTAGAGATTACTGAAGTCAACGACACTCGCTGGTTCTAAATAACTGTAGCGAGGTCGACAGATAAGACAAGGCATTCCAGAGTTGTAGATCTAGTATATAGACCTACAATGGCTTCGAATGATGGAGAAACAAGTGCTGATAGAAATGTTGAGATATGGAAGATAAAAAAGTTGATCAAAAGTTTAGAGGCAGCTCGAGGGTAAGATTCTTCCTCAGAAGTTACCTGGGGTTTATTTTTCATATCACTCCCACATCTACTTGTGTATTGAAATCTATTAGTAAAAACAAAGCTGAATTTTGTCTAAATAGCCACCAATCCAGCTAGTACAAGTACATGTAGTTGCGGGGGTGATTTGAAAATTCAACCATAAATTAATGCAGTATCAGAAGTAATCAGTTCAAACTACCATTAATACTGTGTAAACTTGACATGCCTGGAGATGGAGGAAGTTGTAGACATTTTTTTACTAATTATGCAACATTATGAGATCCAGTTAGAATACCTGTGTCGGTAACACTTTTGCAAAGCACAAAGAAATCTGAATTCCCACACTAATGTATGAGCAGAATCAGTTTTTATATAACCTTCATTTTTTTTTTATTTATTTACAGCAATGGCACTAGTATGATTTCACTAATCATACCACCTAAAGATCAGATTCCAAGAGTAGCAAAAATGTTAGCAGATGAATATGGAACAGCTTCCAATATTAAAAGTCGAGTAAACAGATTGTCAGTATTAGGTGCAATTACATCTGTACAACAAAGACTGAAGCTATACAACAAAGGTAATTACCCAAAATGTGAAGATTTTCCCTGTATACAGTGATGTTGATAGCTCGCGTCTTTGCGTCTTTGGCGCAATTTTAACAGGGAAGACGCAGATTCCTTACCTCAGTGCGTCCAATCTGTAAAATCATGACGCAGTCAAAACATGTTGCCTTGTAGTTGAGATTGAATCCTATTATTGATACCTGTCAGTTCAATTTGAGTATGGTCCAGTTATGAGGCCAAACACTTAGATTTAAGCAATATTTTTACCAAATTACTTTCGTCAGTTTGTTATCTCGTGCTTGTAGTTAACACGCGAATCTAGCTTCGCAAATCAGTTGCGCACATCCCCGGGTCAATTTGTTATGACGAATCTCTCATAGGTTATGTCATCACGTGATTTCCAGGTCCGTATATGGTAAGGAGGGTTGGCCTTTGTCTTTATGATTGACATGGCCGCTATGCATAAGAAGTACGAACGGTTGTCTCATTTGTAAATAAATGCGAACGGTTTATACTATTTGCACTAAATGCCTCAGAACTAACTTTACACTGTAACAGGGATATTGTATATTTATTTCATAGCAATAAATTTGTTAATTATGATTTATTTAGAAATTACCAGTGATTGATGATACAATAGATTCTCTACAAAAAATACGAACATCAACACTCTAAATCGTTCGTAGTTTTCATGTATCAAAACAACCATCGATGAATCAAAAAAATATATTCGAATTTCAATTTTATCCCGATTTTATTGCATATTACCACGTATTAAACGTACATACACAATAGCATTTAATGCAGATATGTTCAATTGATTGAAAGCATATATATTCCACACCAGAAAGACGAATAATAAAAGGCCACAGCTTTGCTGTACATTATACATTACTATCTGAAATATACAAAAGTTAGGATAAATGTTTCTATTTTTACATAAACTGTTTCAATATGGTCATTGATTGCTTGTTTTTTAAATTCAAAGTAGTTACAAACATTTCTGTTTTGACTGTACCTGAATTTGTTTGATTTGGAACTTCATTTCTTAAATGCCGAACCACCGGCGAGTAAGTGTTAAATACAGAGAACCTCTGGCTAATTTTAGGGGGTTTAAGACTTTATTTTTTACTGCCGTACCCCATGAGATCCCCCTGAATGAAAAATGATAAAATACAGGGGAACCCCCGGCCAATTTTTTTAAATATAATTTTACTTTATTGCTTGTTTCAGAAGCAGGAGCAAAACAAAGTTATAAATTTTTATTAAATTGTGACGGAAAAAATGTCGCCAAAAAAATTGAAATGACCCACATTTTTAGTTGGAGTGGGACATTTTTTTGATCTGTGTCCCATACTTTAAAATTTCTATCAACATCACTGGTATATAAAGATGAGGTGAAGTTGAGAATTTATTTCGCAGCAGTATCCTTTACATTTTAGATTGCCTCAAAATGTTATGTCACATGACCAAGCACATTTATCCAGGTATAGGACTTCATCTAGTCCTGGATGTCATAAGGGGGGGGGGGCATAAAGGTCATATCCCACCAAACCACAATTCACGAAATGAATGAGTTTCCACTCCAGCAAGCAATAGTGTCAACAATCTTACCCCAATATATTCCTAGATGTAAAAAAACTTCTTTGGGCATAGTTATAAAAACAAGAGCATTTTATTTTTGAAATGGTAAACTTACATACAGTATTCTCTCTAATGAGCGCACAGTGCTATTTACAAATTGAAAATTAAAGGGGTAAGATGTTGAGAGATTCCAATAACTACATACAAACTATTTAGAAAAAAATATCAACAATAATCTCTTGTTTTCACTAAGGTTTACATTCAGCATAAAAATCATTTGTGTGCTCATTAGAATTGTACGCTCATTAGAGAGAAAAAGGGAGCTTTCTAAAATGATAGCTTTCAATGCACATTCAGTCCATGGCATAATTCATCTCTGCAGAGTCTGGATGTCTGATTCATTGAGAGATTTGATGGTTGAAATAAGTTGAAGTATGCTTTTTCAATGTTATATTCTGATAATCTCATTTACTTGGGGATTGAACTTCATTAGAAATTCATTGATGAATCTGAAATATATCAAAATATGATATTAACAATATTAATAGAGTAAGTACCAAATTTCCAAATAGTGTATACCTATTTGCGTAAAAATTAAAAAGATAAATTTTCGAGAAAAATCTTAATCTATTCATAATGCTTCTGACCTGTTTACAGTTATTTTTCACCAACTCGAAATTATGAACTGGACAAGGGTAATCAATTTGATTGACTGATATGTTCATCTGTTGTTAATACAGAATGCATATCATTTTTTGACATAATGCTATACCGATTACTAGAGGTGTGATGGAAACGTGATTTTGTTCCAACCTGCTCTCGCTCAGGTCGGAACATGAAATAAAAGTTCAACATTTAGGTTTAGTTCAGAAATTACCTTTTCACAGTTTTGGCCCTCAAGTTTCCACAAAACAGCATTTTTCATTCATTTTTTGCTTTGGAAGAAGACTACTTTTTGTTTGTTTGATCCATGACACCTCTACATATTGCATGTATTGCCAAGTTTTACAGCTGATTAGCCATACCAAACTTCAGAAACTTGTACATATTATTATTTTCAGTTCCACCCAATGGTCTTGTGATCTATTGTGGCACCATTGTAACAGATGAAGGCAAGGAAAAGAAAGTGAACATAGACTTTGAACCATTTAGACCAATCAACACATCCCTCTATCTTTGTGATAACAAATTTCACACTGAGGTAAGCTCAATGGTTAACAAAAACACTGTCATAATGGCAGTGCCGCATAAAGATTTAAGCTTGCACATCAAGTCAATATTAGAATATGAAATTTGAATTATGCTCATGTTCATTGAATACGAAGGTTTGTTTGTTTTGCAGTGTAGTGATGTCAAGCATGTTATAGCTCTAAATATCTTTCTAAACGAGCTTGTTTAAAATGTTTATCTGAAAATCAGTTACATCATTACATGTTTAGCATTGGCTTCCTATCCTATATACTATACTAGTATTGCATTGTGCTCCAAATTCACATCTGAATAAGTCCTAATTTGAGTTATTTATACACTAATTCAATTGCAGGCCCTTACTGCACTGCTGGCTGATGACAATAAGTTTGGCTTCATCGTGATGGATGGAAATGGTGCCTTATTTGGCACTCTGTCTGGAAATACTAGAGATGTCTTGCACAAATTCACAGTAGATCTGCCCAAAAAGCACGGTAAAATTATTTTTATGTCACCACCAAAAGTGGTGACATATTGTTATCTTATTTGAAACAGTATTCTTTAGCTGGCATAGATCAAATTTCGGAAATTGCCTTTTACTTGGAATTCAGAATTTTGAAATTTGGTTATTCAGTCAAAAAAGTAATAAATAAAATAAATTAATCATTATAAAGAATTTTTATTAAACACTATCAAAGAAGTGAACTCACAATATTTATGTATATGCTATATAAATTGATTCCATTCATTGTGGTTTGTGTTGGCAAATGTGCTTCTAGGAAACTGATGAATTCTGAAAATTTAAGATGCAGTTCCAAAACTTCATTTCCAAAGGAAGAATGGCATGTTCCAGACATCATTCAGTCAATCGTTTCCATGAAGTATATCTACTTTCAAAACTAATTGACCTTGGTAACTAGAATATACTGTTTTTGTCTCAAAAATTGACAAAACTAGAACAGGACATCCAAGACTTTTTGATCATCTCTCATATATCCTCCAACCTAATAATAAACTCATGTGCTCATAAATGACAAAAAATATGCACATTTGTTTTTAGGTCGTGGTGGTCAGTCCGCTTTGCGTTTTGCCAGGTTACGTATGGAAAAACGACATAACTATGTACGAAAGGTAGCAGAAACATCTGTAACATTGTTCATTACAAACGATAAACCCAACGTGTGTGGCCTGGTATTGGCTGGATCTGCGGACTTCAAAACGGAACTGGGCCAGTCTGACATGTTTGACCCAGTAAGTTAACATACAATGTCATTAAATTAAGGATAAGTCAGGAAACTAGTATAGTCAGGGTATCAACTTAGAAAATATCTAACACTTTTAATTCTGAAAACCAACTCAATCTCACATATTATTCAACCTTGATATCCTATCCTTCTATTAGAGGCTTAAAGTATTTTGTTTAAAATGATGAATGTTCAGCCAATCGCAGAATGGGAAAAATACATTGAGGTAACAATATTATTTTATTATGCACCTCCCTTGAGAAATAGGCCGAGCCTAAAAACCCTGGTGTTCGTCAATCAAAAATTCCATTTATTCTCTCATTTGGCCTTATTCTTACGTATTCCCTCCATATATAATAAGTTTGGCCGATCCCGTATCTAGCGCCACCTACCTTTTGTCAGTTAATCACAGGAAATTGAATAGAAATCCCCTTCTCTCATATCACGCAAATCTTTTCTCCCTCGCATTATCTCAAATTCAACATGGAAGAGATTCTAAGAAAATGACGTCATCGACAATTGGACTCGTCGAAAGTATTTTTTCGAGGATAGGTATTCTGGTATACAGGATGGTTGGGGATCTCGTTGCTTCAATACTGGATAGAACGAGATCTTGCTGCCACGTATGGCAATAGACCCGCAGCTCTTAACCAATCAGATTTGAGTATTTTAATGAGGTGCATGATAATTATAATTATTTTCTAACCAAGTCTGATACTTTTGCAGCGTTTACAAGCAAAGATACTGAAGATAGTTGATGTGTCGTACGGAGGAGAAAATGGATTCAACCAAGCGATAGAGCTGGCAGCAGAATCATTAGCAAATGTCAAGTTTATTCAAGAAAAGAAACTTATAGGTGAGAGGTATAACAGGCGTTCAATCATTGGAAAAATTGAAACGAATCACTTTATCCTGGGTGACCCAATAAAAAATGGGTCACTCAGATATATTTTATTCAAAGGAATGTATGTGAACCAAATGTCATGAAAATTATTCAGCATAAAGTTTGAACATACATGGATGTATGTTTTAGATTGTAGCTCAAATGGTGCATGTTTTCATTATTTTTTGCTTGACACAAGAAATGGTACATGTCCGCCAAAGAATTTGTAAATATCTATAATTTAATGTAAAACTCATTATTATTCATTACCTATTCATTATTTTAATCAAATCTCACCTAGTTAGTCTTCTAAATGTAAACTCTTTAACAGGCTATAGAGAATTACACCAATGGTTAGGGGGGAGGGAAGATGTTTTTAGTGAATGACACATCAGACACTTTTGTGAACTAAGATTTTTATAGCCCACCCTATGAAATATATGACTATGAGTGCAATTTTACAAAATTATGCTTCAATCCTTGTATTATTTTTTTCTTCAGGAAAATATTTTGATGAGATCTCACAAGACACACAAAAATATTGTTTTGGAGTAGAAGACACTTTGAAAGCTTTGGAGATGGGTGCTGTTGAGATCCTCATCGTATGGGAGAACTTAGATATTACACGATACCGTCTGAAGAATCATGCAGGAGCAGATGGTGGTGGTATGTACCATTCAAATTATTAAAACAAAAGTAGCAAAACAACGGAAGCAAAACGAGAGAGTGAGCATGGCGAATGTGCAAATGAGTATTTCCTTCTTGAGGCCATTCTTGAGGCCATTCATCTGTCCTGTACATGTCATTATTATTTAGACTCACAGTTCAAATGCTAGGCGGGTGCCAATCTTCAACTTTTTCGAAATGTTGCCAATTGTTCTCTTGCCCTTCTGTTCTGTACATGAATGTGATAGAATCCTGATTATATTTACAGAGGAAAAAGTACTGAATCTGAAGCCAGAGCAAGAGAAAGACAAAACACAATTTGTAGATAAACAGGTAAGCTTTATTCCATTGTTACTATCTCTGAAGTTATTATTAATACGAGTGTTCTTAAATATCACCATTGACTTTAACTCATTATGTCAAATATTGGAAAATTGTCTGAATTTCAACCAATCAATAAGTGGATCCAATATTAGAGTACTCTTGTAATCAGTAAAACCTACTTTTAACATTTTCTAAGCTAAATTCATTAAATTTATTTCAAAATGATGTTATAAAATGAAAAAGATGGGATTGACAGACAGTCATATGTCTGAAACTGGCCAATCAAATACCTGGAATTGCAACAACCTGGTGGGATTGTAACATCTGGTGTATTGCTCATTCTTGAGTATTTCAAATTTATGTAGATAAATGATAAAATGTTAGAGCGATATTGAAAATTGTCTTGAGCAAAGAAAATCACATATAATTTTATTTTCAGTTGAGTCCTAAATGCAATGAGATTTGTGAATGTTTAACAGAGACCACTGAATTCATAACTGTGTTTTTCAAATTACAATTGACTTTTTGTTTGTTTCAGACTGGGGTTGAGCTGGAGTTGATAGAGAGTTTGCCCCTCCTGGAATGGATGGCCAACCACTATAAGCAGTTTGGGGCAACCCTTGAGATCATCACAGACAGATCACAAGAGGGCTCTCAGTTTGTCAGAGGTTTTGGTGGCATTGGAGGTTCGTAATGGCTTCTTCATGAAGAATTGTTATTGAAGTAAATGTAATGAAAATTTGATATAAGCCTGGACAGTAGAGAGTGTCATGGGTCAGATATTTTTTGGGTCGTGAAAAAAGTTTATAAGTTGGGTAATTTTCGGTCAGGGCAGAAGAAAAGCAGAAAATGAATTTGACTTAATTGTCTAATCATCAACGTTTTTAATAACATCAAACAGTACATATCTGCATATTATGCTTTGTTAAAGGAAAATGATAGAAACTTAGCATTAAATTGTTTGGAAAGAACTGTAATTTATTTTCCATTCGTAATCTTTACATATACAAGAAATGGGCCAGTTAGAAGTTTGAAATTGTTGCTGGGAATATCAAGCAGTTTATGATATTCCTGAGTGTTCTGACCTGACCCGAAATTGGTAAGCAGTTGTTTGTGACCCATCCCAAGAACAAATTAATATTTTTGCATGTGTCTGGCTTTGAATAATAGATACATTCTCTTGGTTTAATTTCTCACGAAACTCATGTTCGAATAAATGAGAAGTCTAAACTGTTAATTTTCTTTTGTTCAGGTATTCTCCGTTACCAGGTGGATTTCCAAAGTATGGAACAGAATGACTGGGATGAAGACTGGGATCCTGATGAATACTAGATATGTGTTGTTACTGAGGAATCCCTCCTATGATGTCATTAACAATTGATTGTGAATAAATAAATGTTGCTGATGAGACATGAATCTTCAGTTTTTGACGTTTCAAGATGGACTCTGTTGCAGTTAAGCAATGTCATGTTCACCTTTGAATGAAATATTACTCTTCAGCACTCTCCTATGTTGAAATCTCTTGAGGTGCAGCACCTCCATGTATTGTATGCTCCTTCATGAATTCAATGTGCGTCCTGAAATGTTGAAATAGAAAATCTTGAAATGTTTGTTTGAACCATTGTCCAACCATATTCTTCAATGGTTGTATATGATGTGACCTTACATAAGCAAAAAATTAAAACATTTTTTTATAATTATTAAAGTTTTTAAGGCATTGAACACTTTTATTTGATGTATTATTCTTGTACATGTCCTACATTTTATAATAGATAATTTAAAAATGATTGTTGGGCAAACAAGCCAGTTGCTAAGTTTTTCGAAAAATCCAAATTTTGTATAAATTGGCTACGATATTTTATTCATGGGTAAACTCCCTTTATGACTACGTAGCATGGCCATCAAAGGCGCAATGTTTTCTTATTTCAACCATCTTGGTTGACATATTAAAAGAAAATTTCTTTTGTATATATCAAGTCAGGAAATTGGATCATTTATTATATCACAGATTATTTTTAGAAAATGTGAACGAATTTGATTTGGGATACAGTTCTTTTATGTACTTGTGTCATGGAACCGAATGAAAAACATCCTGTTAATGTATTTATATATATGATGTTATACAATAGAATAACACATTCAAAATACAATAAGTCATTTTAATTTTTTGTCATTTTAATTAACATTTTGTTATTTGAACCTTACTTAATGAGAGAAAATCTCAATTAAATACCTCCATTACTGTATTGTCTTTGATTCATGGATCTTCTATGAGGATGAACTTTCTGTATGACTATGAAATATAAAATAGAATGATGGAAGATATTTAAAATATTGTTTGTACATTTATATGTTAGTAAATCCTACCAACTTTTAATAGGAAAAATAGAGTAAGTTGGCAACTTTTCTGTTGTCAGTTTCTGAATCTTGTATCATTCCATGAAGCCAGGTTACAATTATGTTCTAGAAATCCAAAATAGTTCATCCTTTTTTCAAGAGATTTTGATATACAAGTTGAGGAGTGCTCAATAATACTAATATAACTGCTCTCATTCCATGTGAAAACCTCAGACTTGAGGTGTCTGAATACTTTCCATTTCTTACATTTTGGTCCAAACCTATTTAAATGTCTGCATGACCATTTTAGAACAGTCGATCAACTCCTGCGTAATGATAAGATATGCCTCCGCCTGATGTGAAATAGAAATAGAATTTGCCACATACATGCTTTGTTACAGTTGGGGACATAAATAAATGACAGGTGGATTTGCTGAAGTGAGGATTTCCCATGTTAAAAATAAGAGAATTTACAAGAGGCCATAAATCAGTGGATGAGATTATACAAAATGTAAAATATACAAATTTTAAGGGATATGTATCTAGACAATATTGGAAATTATGGGCTTTCAGACCACCATAATTAGAAAATGGTGATCGAAAATCGACCTGTCATTTATTTTTGTCCCCAACTGTAGTAATAGATTTGGAGTAAACTACCTTTTAGCAACTTAAAAATGCTTCTTGTCATTCCTGTGATTCTATCTGAAAGTAAGCCTCTTCCACATATATTTTCCCATTGACTCCCAAGATATCTTTGCAATTTGCTGAAAGGATGATCAGCCAACCCAGAGATCAGACAGTAACTGTTCATTCCTTCAGAGTGGATGATGTCGGAACATAATGTACAATGGATTTCATGGGCATAGATTTTTGAACAAGATAGTAAGTATTGATTTTCAGAGGTATATAGATTATCTTAATCCTGAATATACAATGTAACACTGAACTTATAAGTGAAAAATTGGTGAATTCCAAAACATGTTGTAACCCTAAATAAGAACCATTGAGATACATATGGGATAAATCATGACATCTCATATCTCCTGGGATTTTGCGTTTCAATTTCGTGAGTGTCACTATGCAGTCCTTTTATCAATTATCGCCCGAAATTTTTAAAATGCCGAGTTGCGAAAATTGTGGAGAAGAGCAATTTGACGAGCACGATGGTCTATACTTTTGCTCTAATTGTAATACTCAGTCACAGGTAAGTCCATAGGTGAAATATCGAGATTAATGATATTTGTTTTTGCATGTATTACCTGAATATATCAAAGACAAAAATGTTTCGCATTTTTTCTCCAAATCCAATCAGATTCAGAATAACTACACCAAAGCCAGTCTACATCTACATCAATAATCCGCAGTCACAGGAACTTGAATCAACTGACATCAATTGGCCAACCTGGAAGATAGACCATATATCTATAACTAAATCAAGCTTGCCAAGGTTCGTCAATAGATCATCCACATGTATTAGATGTTAGGATACCAGTTCATGTGACCCCCATAAATGGAGACTCTATCTGTTGCAAGAAAAGAAAAAATTGAAGTTGATGTAGTCTAATATACATGAAGATATATTTTAAGTTTGTTGGACCAGCATTCACACACAAACATGAAGCGCAAACCAATAGTGATCATAATCCACCAATCAAAATGATCACGAGTCTTCATTCCTATTAATATGCACTATAGCAATACTCCTGCTTATTTATCTCTGTGACAGGATGTACGTGAAGAGTTACAAGATGAAGATGTTGTTATGAGTACATACAATAAAAGTTTGGCCATCGCCAGTGCCAGGGAACGCAAGAAGGCTGATTTAGGTAAAGTTTAAACTTGTAGGATTTTCAAATTATCCCACTGAATGAAGCTCAAAAAGGGAGATAGAGAAGCTGTCTGTTTATTTGTCAATCTTCAAGTTTATGTGCTTGAATAATAACTGAAAAAATCAGATGACAGGTATGGTGTAGGACTTTTGCTTGGGAAGGAATTTCCAATATAGCTTCTCATTATAATGACTAATATAATATTATTGGTCATCTAAAAGGCGTATTTAATTCCACCCACTATAGCCTCTTTAAATACAACATTTATGTCACTATTAATGAACATGTATGCCTGTTACAGGTTGTAGAATATATTTGTAGAGCCTTTAAGGCATGATCATTGAACTGACTTAAAAGATTTAAAAGCCTAATTGGATTCAAAATTCTGACCTTACATGATTTACTATGTTTGACAGTTGATTTGGGAAGACCATGGAGTACACATGAAGGCTTCTTGATCATCCTCAGAGAGCAGGTGAAAGGCCTTATAAGCAAAGGACTCCCCTCAGAACTAAAAGTGAGTACCAGGCTAATGGGTTGCATGTTTTCTGAACATTTTGCACTACTTTCTGTAGGATAATGGTGCTGGGTCATGCCAAAAGCAAAGGTCAGAACTGACAATTCAGAAAGATGAATACAGATTGTATATACAGTGAAACCTGTATAGTGGAACACCTCAGGAAGTAAAACACCTCAGTCAGTTGAACACTTCCAAGTCCCAAGATTAATTAACTTTTAAATGAACCTCTGAAAGTGGAACACCTTCCAAGAGGAACACTTTTAAGAGATACCAAAGATGTTCCAATTACGTAGACATACTTATGTATACAAGTGAACTCTCATTGCAGGAGATTGTCTTCCACCTGTGGAAACTGTATCTGTCAAAGCTTGGTGTGGCGTTCTGTTCAGAGGATACAGAGAACATTACAATGAAGTTCTATCCCAGACATAGGTATGCATTTTTGGTCCATATTTCTTGAAGTTGGTTTTAAGTGGTACACTTTGTCCTTATTACAACTTGATGGACTTTCAGTTAGTTGAGAAATAAATTGTTTTCTCTATTTGAACAGTTATAAATGGTTTTCTTGCACCATTTTCTTCACAATCTTTTGTGTAAAGGTTTTTTCAAATTAATAAAGATTCAATTATACCATGGGGAAGATATTCTAAAATTAGAGGGTTGTTTTTTGTGTCACCCTGTACAATGTATTCACATGCTACTACTACTACATGTATACTGGATTTGAGAAATAATTATGACACATTTATTTGAACAATAAGGGAACACATTGATGGTTAAGTAAATAAGATTCAAATATAACTGGATTCACGCCTTCTATAAACTGTGAACAAAATCAATGTTTCACCCGGGGCATATTCGAGATAAATGCCCCGGCTCTGTACTAAGTGTTTCGTTCAGTGCAAAATCTCAACCGGAAGTAGAAATGAAAAAAGTGGAAATGAACATCGAAATTGATGATTTTGCAATATACTGGTGAGTTTTCATGTTCGAATCGTAATATAGACCTCAGAGCAGGGCTACTATTTTCGAATACACCCCTTAGGGCTAGGCACAAAAAGTTAGTGCCAGCCCTGCGGGGTGTATTCAAAAATAGTTGCCCTGCTCTGAGGTCTATATTTCTTATTGTTACCTAGTCTATACATGCATGCATGCACTTTACATTGCCAATATGCCATATTTACAGGGATCTTGAGATGGGAAGTATTGAGAATCCAATAGTACCTGCTACAAGGTGGAATGAGACATACAAGAAAAACAGAAAGCCTGTTGACAGGGTAGGTATATTAACACACATAAACAAGGTGCCAATATTAAAGACAATGTATGTTTCAAGTCGGAAAGACTCTCAAATTTCAATTTAGTATCCATCAAGTCTGATAAATATGCAGGCTACAATCTGTTTCTTCAGTTCGCTCCACAGCTCAAGTGGTAGAGCATCTGACATGTAATCGGATGGTTATGGGTTCAATTCCCACCAGGGTGGAGTGAGTTTATCACATCAGCCATTAGCATAGGATTTGATCCCATGTTTCAGATCAACTAAAAATTATTTTGATATTTGGCTGTTTGATACTTAGAAGATAAGAACAGAAAATATCGATAGAAAGATGTCAGGATTGTTTAAAGGGGGATACCCCAGAATTCACAGATGAACCTGTTTTCATGTAAAGATGAACCTCAAGAAGAGATAGATTCAACAATGAATTCTGGGTATTTCCTCTTCTTAATTGTTTGAAATTCTTATTTTTCATTTCCAGACATCAGAGATGGACCAACATAAAGACAAAACTAATAATGAAACCCAAGTAGACTCTGACAATGATTCATCCTCATCTGAAGAGGTACATATGTTTTATTTTAAGTGGAGTCACAGTTTAAGTGGAGTCACATTTTAAGTGGAGTTGCAGTTTAAGTGGAGTCACTGTTTGTTGATCTTTAAAACATGTTGAAAGTCTTTGGGGTTGACATCTAGATTAATTTTTTAGAAATGTTTGAAATCATTAAATATCAAAACTCATTTCCAATGAGCTTTATCCAGATTTAATTTTACAAAATCTAATTTTTTACTGCAAATCTTAATAGCGATGTTAACTTATTACAGATCAAGATACATTGAAATCATTCATTTTGCTCATAAAGTTGCACCCTGTAGAATTCCCTACACGGATGGTTTGCTTATATGCTTGAGATGTAACTGTAAATGCATCACTCTTGAGGTTTACATCAAACTGCAAGATGTGTACAATAACACGAGGATGTTTTTCAAGCATCAATGATCGAGCAATTATCTTTCTTGTACATGGATCCATGACTCAAACGTATCCCCTTTTCAATGAATCCGATTTATAGCATTCATGTGAACATAACATATTTTGTTTACGTAGGGATTTGTCGAGGAGGATCGAGGATACAAAACGGCCTATAAGTCCGCAGAACGGGTCACAATGAATACAACATTAGCCCTTTGTTTCCTTGGGACACAATACGCCTCATGTCTTGTGACACCATCTGATATCATTCGGTATGTAAAGTAGACCTATTTGATAACCTTTATAAGGATATGCGCTAGAATATATGATATGACTTTGGGTATTTTTTTTATTTTGATATTTTTATGTCACCACCAAAAAGTGGTGACATATTAATATGGTCTCCGTTTTTTATGGCAGCGATTGGTGGTTGGTGGTTGGTGATCAGCAGGTGGTGGTTGGTGTCTGTAACAAATTCTTAAAACTTCAATGCCTTAACAAATACTGTTTAGACTGACTTCAATTTCTTTCAAAATCAGCTCCAAGTTCAAATCTGACTTTATATTTAAGATTTGACCTTCAATGACCTTTTCGAGGTCAAAAAGAACAAAGATCAAAAAGGTATTTTTTCAACTTGCTTCAAATTGACCAAATTTGTTTTTCAAAATCATCTACAAAGTATCAGAAGTTCAAATCTGACCTTAGATTTGACCTTCAATGACTTTCTCAAAGTCAAAAAAGTCAAAAAGGTATTTTTTCAACTTGCTTTAAATTGGCCAATTTTTTTCAAAATCATCTACAAGTTCTCAAATGTTCAAATCTAACTATAAATTTGACCTTCAATGACATTCCGAAGGTCAAAAAAAGATTTGACCTTTCAAATTTGTTTTTTCAAAATCATCATCTCAAGTTCTCAGAAGTTCAAAACCAACTGGAATTGAACTACATAGTAATATTGTTAGCAACTAGGTGGTGACATTTTGTCATCTTAATGCCCTGTTATCAATTATGTTGCATGTCTCATTGCAGATGGTGTCACGACGGCAGTTTACTCTACCTAAATGCTGCACAATGTTTCCCTGAAGATATGAAGCTACAGAACTATGATGTCAGAACTTTCTCAAAAAATGTAAGATATTTGCAGATAATTTCTCATATTCTACATTGCTCATATTGTATCATCGGAAAATAAAAATGATATACTTTACATTTTTAGATTTTTGAATCCAATAAAAGTGAAATTGAATTCTACCTGCATGGTTTCTTTTTCAGAAAGTAGAGCAACATAAATAGATATGTGAAACTTCCCCAATTGGTTGAATGAATAAAATATTAAATAAGAATGCTTATTGTCTCGTAACCAGGTCTTGTAATGAGATGATCCATAGATAGACAAATAATAGATTTTATGCCAAGGGAAGACATGAGCAATTAGGGAAAGACAGTCTGCTACATAATAATGCCACAATGTCAAAGTAATTAGAATATCATTTCAATTATATGGCATAGAATTGCTATATTGAGAAATTCAAAATGTACTTAGAAATTCCTCGAGATAAAACTTGTCAAAAGAAATGTTGTTAACATAAAAAAGTAATAACAAGTTCAACTCTCCAATTGCACCTGTGCAGGTGCAACACCTCAGAAATCTAAAAATAGTGTGCCACTTGCAAGTGTTTCAAAAACAGAGGTTCATACTGCATACCCTGTGCAGGGAGTCTAGTTATAAACTACCCTCTGCCTAGTATAGACTATAATTACAGTTTAGCTGCCCTGCCTCCTGTTGCTTGTGAGAGTCCGGGTCATTAATCATATCAAACCTACTGCACTGAACTTTCCTCAACCAATCAGTAAACTGGAAGGAGCTCATTAACTATACGTCAGAGGATATGACCATATATAGAAAGTCATCTGTATTTTAACAATGAATTCTGACGGGCTCAGTCAGGTCAGAAATTTATTGTATACTGAACGAATGAAAATAAAGCTCTCTTTCAAGAAGCAAAGTCAAATGAGTGCAAAGGGTTCACATTACATTAAAGAGAGAATCAGACATAGCGAGCAGTCAATCAAATTTTTTTTTCAATTTTAGAATATTTCTGGCTTGTGTCATTCCTTATTTGGGAGGATTTCAACATTTTTCACCCATTTTTGCACTTTTAATCCATAATAACTTCACCAATTCATAATATATCAAAGATCTTTTGGGAGATTTTGTATTTGAGATTGTAAGGAATAGATTGGTAGGTCAATTGTGCATGTTGCTTGTAATTTTTGTCACCCCCATAGATCTGATTCTGCCTTTAAAGTTTGAAAATATTTTTTTATCATTCATTTACTATTTGTCATGACTTAAAAAGTTATTTTTGAAAAAAAAGATGTGAGCATTTCATTTCTCAAATATTCAAATTTCCCGCCATTTTTCAAAAAAAGTTGAAATTTTTTAATCATCAAATATTTCTTAATGCATTTCGAAAAAGATTATCTTTTTAACACCAATGCAAAGATTGATCAAAGGACACACTATTTCAATAATAAAATGCCATATTTAATGGGCCACTTCAATGTTTTAGCATATCAAAAATATTTTGCACCATAAGTGATGTCACTAAGGTAGCAAAAACTTTTTGAAAAAAATTGAAATTTTTTTTTCGATGTCAATCTTTTCTAAATATGCTAGACTTCAATAATATACCAATGTTGATTGTCTAACCAGGTTAAAAGGAAGAATATATTATGTTTTAGATATCATTGTACCATTGGTTTCTATGAGAACTAGAATTTTTAAATGCATTTTTCTCGGAACCATTTTCATGCACTGATAAGTTCATTTCTCGCTTATTTATGAACCGATTTTCTTAATTTTTTCGGCTAAAAACATGCGAGGATGAATGCTATGCATTGGTATGAGTTGTGGCTAATTAAAAGATATGTGTGACCTCTAAAAGTTAGTTAGTTAGTTTTCAATAAATTCACAAATTTTGGAACAAAAAGTCTATCAAAAACCACTTTTTGAAATTAAAAAAAAAGTTTCACATATCACACTTTGATAACATTGGGTAAGACTACAATATAAGCCAAAGTGGTTTAAACTTTAGATGGGGACTTTAAGGCAATGGTTAACGTGCCTTTTATTAGTGTTTCACTTTGCAGGTATAACTGTATTTGTGTTGTCTTGTTGCAGGTGATTCCTAGTGGTGAGACCCTGTGTAGAGTGGTAGGAAGGTTGGCTGTGTATCTTGGCCTGGATAACTTCCCACCCTTTGACTTCCACAGCCTCGTCTCTAGCTATATCATACACCTTGGTCTACCAGGTAGAGTCCTGCTTAGTTTCACATGTCATTTTTTCAGAGATTAGAAATTAGTGATACATACCTTATTAATAATTTGTATGTTTGAAGATAAATTATGTCAGTGAAGGTTTTGTGGTTTTACTTTATATGCAGGTCAAATGTTCAGTTGTGAAAAAACACAAATGGCAAATTTGTAAACACAAACTCAAGAAAATGCTTGTTCAGCTTTCAAAATAAATTTACTGCTTCAGGAGCCAATTCTTCAAAACGCCAATGTAAATGAAACAATAAATATTAGTGGTTTCAATTTACAGCCAAACACATTGGCCGATTAACTGAAATTTTGATGGTTAAAGTTGGTTAAATGACAGAAAGTATTACTCGATGGTTTCGAATAAAAACAATTATCAGAGAGTAAATGTGAAAAATGGCCAATCGGCATTTATTACTCAAATTCTATTACTCAAAGCTCTACTGTATTGGTTTCACAGTTTCACTACCCTTAAATTACATAACCTTTAGTGAATGTATTACTATAAAGCGAGGCTATGACCTTTGACATGTAAGATATTGCCATGACAGACGAAAGATTAAAAAAGGAAAAGGGATTAAAATGTTTCTGATGAAATTTTTGAAAGTAATAAACTGACTTATGAGGAGTGGCTTTCTCATGAAAACGTATTGTACGGGAAATACTAAAGTTTGCGTTTTGATTGCTTTTTTGGTAGGAATTATGTGATGTATGAGTAGCTTAACTGGATTACATTCTAGTGTCTGATTTGTTACTAATGCTTGATTTATTTTTTATTTTTAACGCCAAACTATCAAGCCAGTAACATTGCTTGAGCTTGACTTGAGACTCTGGCATTTGAGAATAACAAACAAGCAGCCAAGGGAAATTAATAAAACAAAATATGATAAGGTATCCATGGTCAAGTGATTTAAGTGACAATATCTTACTAGAGTTAGCTATTATCTATTATGGCTGTTAACCATTAAGCGGTGAACCACCAACCACCCTGACCCTAATAAATAAAGTGATACAACGCCAGCCTGCTTTATGGGCTTGAAGAATTAGTTAAGTGTTTCTATTAATAGCAACAAAGCAAACAGTCTCCTTGATCTAATGACTATCTCATAAAGAAAGATATTAAGGCCAGAAATCATTTCCTTTTCTCAAACATTATGGAGGTGACCAATGAAAAATCAGCCGTTCAAAAAGGCATGTCTTGTTTCTAGATTTATTGATCAGATTTTCTTGTCAGTTTTATTTATGATCTTGGGTTATTTTCACTCTGAAAGTAAATATCACAGTTTGTTTTTGTTATGCTTGTAAATCAATAATAATTGTTCATTAGTACGTTTGTTCACACAGGCAGCCTATGGGATTCACTAGGCATCCGTCTGTTGGTCCGTCTGTCTGTCTGTCTGTCTGTCTGTCTGTCTGTCTGTCTGTCTGTCTGTCTGTCTGTCTGTCTGTCTGTCTGTCTGTCTGTCCTTCAGTTGGTCCATCTGTCAGTCTGCAAAATTGGTGGTACGAATCACAACTACTTTTTGTATAAGGTCATATGGTATTGGTATCATTCATTTTATATCTCTTCATAGTATCTGTTTCCAATGGAATTTTTACAAATCGAAATACCACATCACAAAATTTGTAAAGATGAATTATGATAATGTAACAAAATATAAATGCTTGGTTTTATAATAGTCGTCCTAATCTTTGGGGAAAATTGATTTCATTTCAAAGGTAAATATATTAATGGTTTTACAATGTGTTATCACATAATAATATAATGATAGCCTGAACAGTTTTTTCACAGTTCTGGAATTTCTTGTTAAATCTAAATATGATGCTTCTTTTGCTATCAGTTGTTCTTATCTAGAATGGTTATGAATCATATGAAAAAATAAAACATATGTCTTCAAAATAGGAAATGATTTTTTCTTTATTTCAGATTAATACATTTGAATATACAATACATAGATTGCCAAAGTTTTTTCTGCTCCTGTTTTTCTCGTTCGAGTGCAACTAGGTTATATGAATCACTTTTGAGTATACAATATCTTGTAAATGACATAAGCTATGTAAGTTTACGGTAACATGCTTCAGGTGTCTATGGCTTTAACGCCAGAGATTTATTGTGACATCAAAAGATCAGTAATTCTGATATATGAGAGTGAGCAAGGGGTGATTGAATTGGAGAAGATAACTATCTATGATTGAAAAGGCATCCTGTCCTTAAGGGAAATGGAATGATTGAACTCTCTCATATCAGAACTAATTATAAAGAATAAGCCTATTGTTCATTCTTGGAAATAGACGTGAAACGTTCTATATTCAGACCACCATTTCCTAAAGTTTAAGTGGCTACATGTAGGTCCAAAAATTGGTCATGGGAAGGACCCAAATATCAGAATTACCTTCTCAAACTCAGGTATGGGGATGTTCAGAAAATTATTTTGAAGCTAATTGTTTTCTACAGTAGCTTTAGTATGTCATTTTCATTTGAATTAATAATTATTAAACGATAAGATTATCCTTATTTGATTTTCATTGTTGGAGCCCAGCTGAGGTTGACACCTACTTTGCTTACTTGCTATTACTCCACTTTATTCACGTTAATGAATCTTTTATATTTAGATGGGATGAATGAAGCCCTTGAGGCTTATTTGATTTCTTGTTGACCTTGGATTAGATCATACCCTTGAAACAACACCATTATTCATAATCATAGAGTATTGGCTTACCATTAATTTAGATAATTTGATTTCTTCCTATCCTTGAATTATATCAACATACCTTTGAATCTACACCATTATTCATAATTATGGAATATTGGTTTATTTACCATTAATTTAGGTTACTGATCTTCCTTGGATTATAGCAACGTACCTAATAGAATAGAAGGAATGGAGGCTCCCAAGAGCTTCCAAGTGAAATTTTCTCAGTAACATACAATCCTTGACATTGAACTGTTAGCGACACCTATATGGTATTGATCTCATCCTATAAAAGTAATGACAATTTCAAAAATAATTAATTCATTGTATTTATATTTTTTTTATATTTCAGGAGAACTCCATAGTTTGGTGTGGAACATGATTAGGTCGCATCCACCTCGCACACAATATCGTCCAACTAAAGAGCAGCACTGTTTTCCCAGTTATGACATCCTCGCAATGGCATATATTGTAGTACAGCTCAAGCTTCTCTTTGGTCTTAATGATGTCACAGAAAGGTAAGTAAGGTTAATGCCTAAACAGATTTTAATGTATGTATTTTTGGTCTCTGTTTAAAGTTTATGATTAGATTATTATGTTTCCTTAGAAGTTCTATGTCAATAATATTTTAAAAACTTGACTGAAAATGGACAGATTGGGCATTGTCGGCATTTGGTGTCTGTATCTGAAACAAATTGGCACACTCTTGTTACCATTTACAATAACTAGCCAGTTGGCGACATTTTGTCATGTTAAGCCTTGTTTCTAAACATATGTCATCATTAAAACATCATTAAAGAATTCATTTGGAATACCAACTGTCTACATATCATGACTACAAATCTCAAATACGAGTATATTGCAAATTGTATAATTATCTTTCTGTCGTTTATAATGTGAATTATAGATCCAAATGTCAGAAAGAGAAAATGAATAAATGGACATTATAGCCCAAGAGATGTCTTCATTTATGCTGTGTGCTCATTACTGATTTAGAATGATAGGCTTTTGTGCACAGATTTATTGTTTTATGTCCTCAATTGTGTTCTTTTCCACTTCATTTGATCCGCAATGGTAATATTCTGATGCACAAGGCAGTCTGGTTTTAAAATAATAATGTTTACCAGTACTGCAGTACTATAATGCGGTTGGTCCTGCATTGATCATCCGCAGATTCATTCGCGAAAATTATACATAATTGATAATTATAGAATTATACAAAATAAATCGTTAAACAAAACTGTGTAAAGACGATATATTTATCACACAATTTAAGGATGATTACACAAACAATTTAGTGATATGTTTACTTTTTTGCATTATCTAAAGCCCGTTGATTTAATTTATATTCATATCAAAATATTTGCCTTTGCTTGCTGTTTGTATTAATTGTATGATGTTTCATTGCTAATGAGCTCATGTCAAACAAAATAGGTTTGTTACATACAGGGAAACTCAGAAAAAATGGTCCCAAGGTAAACTCAAAAGGTGAAATCGTTTGATTAAGGTGTTTATCAGTGTGCAGCATTTATCTTTTGGGATTTGTTTCATTTTCCGGTTATTGCAGTTCTGGCTTCTGCAATAGTAGCCAATGTAGACTTTCAGCCTTCAGATATTCATGATATGGAGGCGTTGAAATCTTGGTATTAGATTCAGCAAGGTTGAGCTAACGATACTATCAATCACTATCAGTGGAGTCCAGGCCGTTCAACCTGCATGACAAATAAGCAATCTGCTTATTTGTCACATACCAGATACCGTCTATGTCAAGAATTTTCTTCAAAATATTTAGTACACCCCCTAAATGATCTTCAAATGCTTACTACTTGTATGATTTCTATTATTAATATTTTGACTTCTCCGTTCCATAAAAAGAACATTATTACTATTTATTCGACTTTCTAGAGAGATATTGCTGTAAACATATTAATAATTTAATATGCAGACTGATGTTGTCTCCAGAAATAAACATATAATTGCAAGATCTGACGTTTTATAGACAATAAGTATATTGTAGATTGTTAATAAACCAGCTTTGTGAATATCTATTCTAGCTTTGAACAATTAACCAGTCAAGCCTCAGATATCTTTATGAAACACAATAAAGCTAATTGATATGAATAAAATCAAATCGGCTGAATTTAATGAAATTCTCTATTTTCTTTTTTCTTAAAAATCTTCATGAATAATATTAGATTATACTTTTTTTTGAATTGTACAATAAAACCTGAGTTAGTGTTTTATTCCAAACACCTCTCAATGTGAATATTTTTTTCAGTCCACACGTTGTTACAGTTGCCAACTTTTTTGTGAAAAAATTACATCTAGACATGTGATTTCAAAAACTTTGAAAATTTAATTTTGACTTCTAGAACAGGGAGATTCCCCATAGACCCCATGTTACAAAATCACAAAATGTGAAATATCTTTTCTTTTACATATATTATTTGTTTTACTGGACTTATTTCATTTGTATAACTATCAGATACATATTTAGGGTAAAATGAAAATTGATCCATTAGAACTAATGAATATTCACTCTAATACACCTGCCATGTTATCTGACCCGAATTAGCCACCTGGTGGCGAAACTGGTAACTTCCTACTGGCATCTGGGGTATTGAATTAGAGAGGACCTTATTGTACCAATTACAGTAAACCCTGTTTATCCCAACACCTCTCAATGTGAATATTTTTTCAGGCCACACGTTATAGTCGCCGACTTTTTTGTGGACAGTATTCAGCATTTGGCAGACAGCAGACAGCACTTGGCATCTGTAACAAATGGCAAGTGGTAACATTTTGCATGTTAATGCCTTGTTTAATCTGCCACAGCCTTCCATGTTAAAAATACCCAATCCGAAAATATGATGTTTTGTGTGTTTCAGTTTGCTGTCCGAGTTGGCAGAGAAGGTGAACCAACGACTAAAAGGTGAGCAACGACTATTTGTTTGGAGAAATTGGTTCTCTTACATAAAACAAAATAAATGTCGGTTTTTCCAAAAAACAGACTGTAACAAATCAAATAAACCAAATATGGCACAGATGTTAAATAAATTAGAAGCACAAGCAGACATCAAGTATAGCGTTGTTCGAGAGAAGAAGCAAACAGACAAAAGGAAAGAGAATCGTGCAATTTTGCAACAGCAGTTTTATGTGTCCGATGATGCAGTCGAAAATACAAGTGAAAATGCAGCGCAAGATTTCAGTGGACACACCCTCAAGTTTATAACAGAAAAATCTGATTTTGTGAATGATTTGGATGGAAATGGTCTTTCAAACTACACTCTTTTCACTGATAGTTCTTCAGTAAGTGACAGTGATTCTGACGACTCTGATGATGATGTAGTGACGTGTCTTAGCACTCCTCTCAAGAGAAGGTGCATCATCTCCTCTACTATATCAAACAGAGAATCAAATGAAGCAGAAAAACAGCATCCTACTACTAAACAATTGAGAAAAGACATCAATTCTATCTTAGAAAAATTAGATGATGCAACTGAAAATTATATTGTATATGAGGATGATATGGAGTTTCATAATAGTTACGAGTCACTATTGGAAATCTTCTGTTGCTACCTGGGACTCAAGGACATATCTCGATTACATAGCAAGGTCAAGGAGGTCGAAAATATTTACTTAACAAGAAAAGAAGAACTTCTTAAAATGAAATTAAGAAATTCCACATTGTTGAAATATAGAGATTTCTGTCTGACTTGACAAGCAATCAGCGTAAGTTCAGTTTGTAAATGGAAGTTGTCTGCTAATTGCTTTAAAAAGACTTAACATGTCTTAATAATTCATCACAGACAGAACAAATGATGCTCGGAGTTTTCAGGAAAGATGTCATGTTTATTTTGTCTTTCACGTACTAGCTAAAGCCTGACACAATTAAGAAACATCGATCTTTGCAACATGATAACCACGCCCCCTTTCTCTTGATCTTTCCAAATGGCAGATATTAGGCGGGGTCTGGTAAACTAGAATTTGATCTTTAAGTGAAGAGTTTGAGTCAAGCAAGTGATGTTATTTCAGCGTCAATGAAAGCATGAGTAATCATTACAAAAATTATTTTCTTATTGAAGTTATTATGAAAATATATTTTTATAAAGTTAAAACCATGTTATTGACTCATTTAAAGTTGTGCCATATGATAATACCAGATTTTCAGTAGCAGGAGTGGTGGTCAGTTACCAGTTACAAAATCCATTAGCAAGAATTTGCCAATAATCAGGTGATGCATCCTCTGAACACAGGCCTCCAGAACTCATACCTTAGAAAGGAACGTAGTGGATGATGTCTGGAGCACTGCATTTGGAGAATGATAAGGAAGAACAGAGTGGATGATGTCTGGAGCCCTGCATTTGGAGGATGCAGGTGATGAGGCAATGTTTTGATTTGATAACTGTGTGTTCTGGCAAGAGAGGTCGTGAAGCTAGGCTTCAAGTGCAAGTTATGATGACCCCTTTGACAAATCCTGGGGACACCCCTGTTGTAGTCTCCTATTTATTTGGCTTCATGCTCATCTGTATGGATTAAAACAAGGCTAATGTCTGAAGGTTTAGCAAAATTCAAAGGATACATAATATATAAGCAATCTGAGTGAAAGTATACATTGAATTCTTATCGCCCTTTTATCCAATGCCATTTAGTTTGATTAAATGCTTTTCACAGGAAATTACTTTCTTCTTTGATTGGGATTTGTAGCAAAATAATCCTGCAGCCTTTTAAAAACATTCTGAGTCGAAAGTTAAAAGTATTTGAAGAATGTTTGATGAACATCCTAGAATTTATGGCGTAACTGGAAAAAAGCAGCTCTGTGGAATCAAATCCCAACCAAAAGATTATTGATGTCTCGGTATAATATTTACAATCTTTGATATGCACATTAAAAGGCACATCATTGAAATCTCTAAATTCTTTGCAATTCAAGGTATGAGTATAATTTTCTAGCATACAAATTAGAATAGCCATACGTAAAAGAAATCTCAATTTGAATTCTCACATTAGGCATCCATTTTGAGTTATCTGAAACATGAATCAAAAAATTTTTACATAAATTCCTGTTTTCTCAACCCCCATACACGGCCCCTTAATAATATCCATTTCTTTGGTTGGAAATGGAAAATTGATTTTTTGAGAAAACTTCCACATCTATGGCATGAATTTGAAAAAACTATTTAAGATTTGCAACTTTACTCTCATACTCAGACTTTGAAGAGATGTCAAAACCTTAGATTAGGTTTTCATGAAAAATTCCACATCAAGCGACCATTTTGGATTTTATTTGGTACAATCTGAAAAATTATTCAATCTTTTCAATCTACACAAAAATAAAGTTTTTTAGATGTACGAGCACTTGGATAATTATCAATTTTTTATCTTTAAGTAAAAGCATTCGCAGAATACAAGATGAACATTCATGATTTTATAATTAATTGTCTCCCCTGATAGTGACTGCTTGGTGAATGTGGGTGATTATATGTTAACTTGATATATCTTGCTAGATGGTTGCAACACTTCAACGGTTGATGTCTTATTAAGAGACATCAATCTCTTTTATTGACACAACAAAGTACCTGAACATGGTGCATTTGTCACACACAATACAAGCTATCTACAAATCTAACAACATCAGCTGAGTCCTACCAGAGTTATTCTAAAGATTTATAAAATATAAAGATATGAGTTATTTGAAAATGTTATCCTGTTTTATGACGCTGTTAATACCACTATTGTGTTATTTTATGTTAAGGCTTATAGGTATTTACCAGTTATCCCACTTGATGTGTTTATTTATCTTGTTTCAATAAAGGAAATCAAAATCAGGGAAAATAATGATTAAATTGCCTCTATTCTGAATGTTTTCATGATTTTCAAATAAATTCTTTCTCGAATAGAAAATTATGTACAAAAAAGTAATATAGAACACTTGAAGTATTCATTTTTTGTTTCAATTAGACTCAACGGAAATATAAAATTAACTGAAGAAAAACAATAAAACTATTTTTCTTTTTTAATGGATTATAAATTTATTTATATTTACTGTATGACACATTTATGCAGTCTTATTTCCTCCTGGTGAAAAATAATTGTGAGCTGACTTAGTACAAATATTGATTTTACAGCGCAGTTTCTCATCTAAAGCAAATGTAACTAAGAATAATTCATCATACCCAGCGATGCCAAATGTGAAAAATTGCTTTCTGAGAAATTGTTTTCATATAATAATGAAGATTTATTGTCCTACTTCATACCTGGGCATCTCTGGAACTAACTATTCTTATATATGACACAACTTGTAAAAATGAAAGGCATTTTAGCCTCTCCGAAACCTAGAAACTTTACATTGAAGAGCATATACAGGGTGAGCCAAAAAATGTAACCTAAACAAATGTTCACAACTGCTTCCAACATGGATTTGAACTCACAGTTGGCACATTAAACCTTGTTCGATGTTCTTTCATTCTACCAAGTTTCATTGGTTTATCTCAAATGACCAAAATTTCATGTCTATTTTACAATACATCCTCAAAATGCCGGTCTCATCTCTTGGGCTAATTTGTATGTACCATCTGACTAGATGCTCACAGATATTTTGTGTAATGGCTCTAATCATCCTTCTTATCACCTGTTTCAACTCTCTAATGCATCTCCAAGGGTGTAGCTAGGATTTACAAAAGGAGGTTCAATTTTTCCCCGGCCTGGGGGCTATGTTTATAACGAGGGGGGGGGGGTTCAAGGCAAAAGGGGATGGGGGGAGGGGTTCAGATCCATGTAAGAAGACAGAGATATTAACATTTGTTTTGGTTTACATTTTTTGGCTCACCCTGTAAGTTAAAATACAGATGTTAAAAGTTACATTAAAATCCCATGTCATTTTTCTATTTTGAATAATAGCATTATTCATCGTATTTTGAAAATTGTTTTCTTATATGTAAATTTCCTATATACCCCTTTAGCCCCTGTAAATTTTAAAAAGGTGAATATGCTTTAAGAATCATATTTTCTGTTTTTCTTTATTACACAAACTATATAGTTTTTTCGTAGTAAAAAGTTATTGTTTCAGGAAATACAAAATAATAGTTTTAACAAAAATTGATGTCATAGATATGGGAAAACTAATATACATGTTTATCGTATGCCAAGTAGAGTTTTAGGGAGATAAGTTGGTAAGATATATCCTGTATCCTGATTTTGAGGTTTCCATATCCAGAACCTCCATATCTCCCGCTTCGGTGCATATCTTCCCGCTTCGGTGCATATCTTCCCGCTTCCGGTAAATAGTGGAAATGCAATAAAATGACTTTGCATATGAATGATTTGTTTATTTTTACACCTTGTACTATTGAAATGGCATATGCCCCTGAAAACTCTACTTGGTATAGGATAAAGCAGTTATGTACGGGCGGTTTGGATATTGGGTTCATCCCTCGTGAGATATGCACATCTACCTTCAGTCCCTACGGTCCCTCAGGTAGATATGCATATCTCCCTCTGGATAAACCCCATATCCAAAACCTCCCAGTACATAACCCTTATATAACAGTGATGTGTTCAATAAGGGGATTTTCTGAGACACAAAACAAACTAGTTATGTTAAAAGCAATAGCATACACTATTTTTAAAAGCAGGTTTCAATATAGTAAATATCACTTTGTACGACCTGTTCATATTTTGAATTTAAAGGTAAAAAAGTTTTATTCCCCAAGTCCTACTGTTAAAGTCCGCAACTAGTCAACATCTGGAATAAATTGCAAAGTTGCAGCACAACAAAATCCAATGATAGTTGCCAAGAGCTTCAATAAATCTTTGGGCCGGCTGAATTTACTGTGGTCCCCTATCTCATGGCCCAAGACTTCAAAAAAGGTAACATACAGAAAAGTTCCAGTTGCAATAGTTTGGAGGACCCCTGTTGCCACATTGTTTCCATTGTCACCACCATATATGGTAATAAGAATACCCGCAACAATTCCAATTGGTGTAACAATTGCGAAAATGCACATAAATATTACAGTTGTTCTGATCTTTGCAAAAGTTTCTACAAATGTTGATCCCATGCCAAACGCGATGAATGCTTTGTGTACTGCCAAGCTGACAAACAACAGCCATATTTGGGCATTGCTCTCTTGCAAACCTAATGCGATACCTTCAAAAATACTGTGGAAGGATAATGCAAGAAGAAGAACAAAAGCAGCAATGTACTTAACACGTTGCTCTCTGTATTGTAGATTTGTATCAATGTGGCAGTGTGCCTCAGTGTAGTTACTAATTTCACAATCAGCGTCACTGCATGAATCATGCAATGTTTCTTTGGGATATTTTCTACAGCCCTCGGCAGTAGCTGCAGCAGTCTGGTCGATGACTCTTTCTGAGCGTTTGTTGTTGCGTCCACCAATTCCTGTATAGTTAGGAAATGCTGTTTCTGCCTTTAGAATTGGATCACTCTCTGAGCGTTGTTTTTCTAAGTGAGCAGTGTCTCGTTTCCCAATAGGTTTCGAATTTCTGAGGTCAATTTGTATTTCTTCAACATGACCGTGATCCTCTTCCCTATGAGTATCATGCACATGTATTATTGTTGCCCCACCGCATGCGAGTGCTGTTCCCTCAACAATCAATACCAGAAAGAATCCAAGACACACCAGGAACTCACTTACTGGGAACTCAGTGTCTATATTAAGATCATTTTTTAGACTGTCGATCAGGTGCTCCCTGGCTTCAGGTAGGAGATGTAAGAGTGTTGTTCCAAGGAAGATGCCTCCAGCAAAGCAGTTAAGACAACTTATGGAAAATTTATGTCCACCACTTTGTAGTCTCTTTATGAATGTTATTGGCAGCAGTCCAATTGAAAGAGTCAGTAGAAACAGCGCTCCTAGAATGATCACTTTAGCAACCCAAATCTCCATCTTTGTAACCTGGAATGTAAATCAATTGCAACAGTTATGCATCTTATATTTGGCAGTCTTTCAGGAAGTAATAGTCAAGTCCTTTCCCATAAACCCTGCCACATTTTGATACATCAAAGAAGCTAGGATATTATATGGGCTAGATTGATGATGTCAAAAGTTGTACATGTTGCAATTTGTCCAAGCAAAAATAGGATTAATTTATTGCTAATTATCCCATCGAACGAAGTTTGGAGGGATATAGGGAACGCCTCCGTCCATCCGTCTGTCCAGGCAATAACTCAAATACCGTTGGCCCGATTTTGTTCATATTTTGTACACATGTAGCGTATGGGGGTAGAAGTTCTGCTCGAAAGCCAATTGGCATTTCAAAAAATGGCCACCATTTTAACGTATTTACTATAACTTGAAAAGTGGTGGAGCAATTTTGTTCATATTTGGTATGTGAATGCTATAAGCATAGCACACTGTCTAATGACACTTGTGGTAGAAGGTGGCCATTTTGAAAAATGCTTTGGCGTTGCTGTTATCTAGTTTTGAAAAGGTACAACCATAATGACATCATCAATCTTGTCAATATATCATAGTTTCTATGATTTACCAAAAGGCGTTGGGGCTTATTGCTAAAGGTCTATTGTGCATGTTGTGTTGAACTTGGACCTGTTTAATCTGTTGGATTTTTACCTCACACTTTAAAAGGTACATTTAAAAAATACTTTTGTAGTCTTTTTTGAATTAGTGATTGTGTTCAACTCCCACTCGTTTAATTAATTTGTCACTGCACTTATTGAAAAACCCAGCTGAAAAATACTCAAGAACCTTTTCTTTTTTTTTTTTTTGTAAATAATTTGCTCAATTCATACGGTTGAATAATGTGTAAGAATCTAAAGGACGATTCTCGGTTTGGAGAACAGTCTCCTGGGCTAATAATTTTTTTCATGAAAAATATAGAAATATTACCCAAATTAAACTATGAATATTCAAAAGAGGACATTTAAATCTGCAAGATGTAAAAATAACAAATTGGTCTGAAGCAGGGATAACGCTCAATTAGACCGATTCAATAAAATACAAGTCTCGATTTGGGGAAAGAAGTTCATCAGTGTACTGTGCTAATATTTTTTGCGAAAAATCTAGAAATATTACCCAAATTAAATTATGACTATTCAAAAGAAGACATTCAAATCTATATTACCGTATTCTCTGTAATTAGCGCCCAGGGCGTTTAGAAAATTGAAAATACATTATTTAGACCATTCTAATAAGCGCCCATGTATGAAAGAAATCAGAAATCCCGAGGAATTTCATGTATGGCAATTTTTCTTGACAAGAATGCATTTTCTTCAACATATTTTTATAATAATATGACAAGTGCTGTTATTGGAGAGAATACGGTAAAGATCGCTTAGACAATATTGACAGTGGTTGAAGACCCGTCTATGTCTAATTTATTTCCGGCACGGCAACTTTGTCATTATCGCCGATTACCTTCAATATTTCCACTAGAGACTGCTGGATATCGATCTAAAGTTTTACATTATTTCTAATTTGATGAGAGATCATCATTATTCGTGCAAAAGTCGTGTAAAAGTCGAGAAACATTAAAAAGAAACCAGAAAGTTCACGACCTTGACATGCGCAGAACATCTGCGCAGTAGCTTTTGAAATTTCTGAATGCCGATAAAGAACAATTCCTTCATTCATTATGGACTATTTGGAGACAATATTAGCATGGTATGGTGTGGGAAGCACCCATCGATAGATATGTATCGAGAGGATGCATAGAATTACAAAACGCGTCGTGTTTACAGCAGTTTTAGGGTAAGTACTCTATTATCGCCCGCTCCTGGATTTTGAGAAATATTTTTTTCCTGATATATTCTTCAATTCTTGTTGATTCCTCGATGTTTCTTGAACTTTGTGAAGCGGGGTGGGTGCTTATTAGAGAGTGGGCGGTAATTACAGAGAATACGGTATGTAAAAAAAATCAAATTTGTCCGAAGCAGGGATAATGCTCATTTAGATTGATGAACTTTGTTCTCCAAACCGAGAATCGTCCTTTATATAATTAATATTCCTTTCATACTCAGGCTTTACAAATTATTGATGATTTTCTAACTTATTGCAATGATGGAGCAAAGTGTAACAAAATGTTATATAACTGTAGAGTGTAGATAGGTCAAATGATACACATTTTATTTTGAGGAGCTTCATTAGATTTTTGATGAGTGTTTTTATACATCAGTTAGTTTGATAATGGCTCATTATTTGCGTTTCTGATTGTTTTTTTCTGATAAATGTTTTATTCCTGGCATCGTAACCATTCTGAACTGAATTAGGCATAGCATATATTTGCATGTAGATGATATGAGAAAAAATTGGGAGTGAGTACTCGACCCTAAGATTTCATTTGATGTTTTGAATAGTGTAGGCTTTTTGACTGAGAAATTGTACAGGTAGCCTAAGGGGGAGTAAGAGAAATGTGTTTGTTCAGTAAAATCTGTATATACGAACATCTCTCAAACCCCAGGACCTTTCAATGTGAACACTTTCTCATTTTGATTTTTGTTATCTTCAATTGATTCACATCAAAAAACTTACTGATCCGAACACTTTTTGTCTGTTTCTGTACCAATCATTTAAGCTAAACAGGGTTTACTGTATTGTATGTGTTTGGTTGGTTTAATGTCTCAATGCACATTTTCAAGGGCCAAAGTACACAACATTGTCACGTTTTATTTAATTAACTTTATTTCGAACAAGGAAATTTCATCTTAAATTAAAGGTCCTTAATTCAGAAACTTGATATTTAACATATACAGTAGTATAAACTAAGAGCTTCATGTAGAATAGCTTTTGACATTTACTCATGGAATTTGGATAATGTTACATACTGTATATTGACTTGATACTTACATCTGAGGTCTTTCTATCAAATTAATTTTCATGTTGAAATTCTTATGGGATTCTTATGTTGTATTCTTATGGGAAAATATTGAATTTTGACATATGTTTTTCATTTATATTTAAATTTTCCTCTCATGTATGCAAAGACTATTAATGAGTGCTCCCTAGCCTTGGGAAATCAATGGACATTCTTAATGTTCAAAATCCATTCAAAATAAAGACCCAATAGATGTATAAGTGGGTGACGGGCATATTGGTGAATATGCCTGACAGCAAAGCTGTAAGTTCTGAAAACTATAATCAGGATACAAACAATAAATAAAGTTAGGTTTAAATAATCTCTTAAGCCAATTTTGCAAAGTTTCAAAGTACACAATTTAAGTAGGTCGCTGGATTTTCACATTTTTATACATCTGATTATCTGAATTATTCCCTACACTCTTTGTTCAAAACTAAAAGATTTAGACCGATATGCCTATCAAAGCTGTAGCTCTGAAAACTATAATCAGGATACAAACAATAATAAAGTTAGGTTTAAATAATCTCTTAAGCCAATTTGCAAAGTTTCAAAGTACACAATTTAAGTACATACCTGTAGGTCGCTGGATTTTCACATTTTTCTGATCTGATTAAAGAATTATTCCCTACACTCTTTGTTCAAAACTAAAAGATTTAGACCGATATGAAATCAGTTATATGTTCAGGAAAATAACATGTGACTTCAAATAGGATTGCATAAAAATTCCAAACATTCATGCTTACCTTAGAAAATAGTTTTAATAACTTAATGTGCTCATATATTCATCACTAAACTACATGTATGACCATGTACATGATATTTACATGTATTAATATTCCCATATGTTATATGATATAAGCCTCTAAATATAGCACAGCCTGAGGCAGCTGGTTGATCTGTTTCACATATTTTCGAATGTGAAATCTTAAATTGTTTAATTGGTGCCACCAGATATTATAGGAATACTGTACTACATTGTATATTCAAAATGCTAATGTTTGCACACCTGAAGCAGCTAGTTGATCTGTTTCACATATTTTCAAATGTGAAATCTTAAATTGTTTAATTGGTGCCACCAGATATTATAGGAATACTGTACTACATTGTGTATTCAAAATGCTAATGTTTGCACACTCCAAAGATAAATCAATATGTATGTACCAGTGTATTAATATTCCCATATATTATATGATATAAGCTTCTAAATATAGCACAGCCTGAGGCAGCTAGTTGATCTGTTTCACATATTTTCAAATGTGAAATCTTAAATTGTTTATTGGTGCCACCAGATATTATAAGAATACTGTACTACATTCATATCATATCAATCAGATATTATAGGAATACTGTACTACATTGCATGTGTATTCAAAATGCTACGGATAAATCAATATCTATGTTCCTATATATCTATGTATGTACCAGTGAACTGTACTCCCTACTTACCTCTCTGGATCTCTCTATGTGAAACTATGGTCGCATAAATAGTGTGCTATTGTATTATATTTAACTGGCTCAGCTTTCTGCATGACCTAGAGTACACCTATTGTTTGTCCTTTCTTCACATTGCAATGTAAAATGTGAACCTAATCACACTTGTTGGTTTTAGTCTTGTGATATCTGGTTGAACTTTGAACTTAACGATTAACACTTACCACTAAAAAAAACACTTCACTGCAATGTGGTTGAGACTGGTTTCACATTTTCACATAATTCATGAACATGTGAAGGGGATTTGATTCACATTTTTTATTTTCATTTCACATATTGCAAAGTAGCCCTATTGCAAAGTAGCCCTTACAGAACTTTTAATATCTCTTATCAAGTAAAGAAGATACTTGAAAAGGCATTCTCAAGCTTAGAAATTAAGGATAACTCATACTATTGTTTGTTAATCCATTTAATATGGATTGAAAACTTAAAATGTATATATGATTATGAATTTATAACCTTTGCGACTTGATTTTTCAAAAGGTACAGCCTTGGCTCAATATGATAGAATCATGTTTTTGGCTTTGATTGCCCAGGTCAAATACCTGCAGGTCATCCATTCAAAGGAAGTATTTACTGTACGATGGTTAACCATCAACAGTTCCAAAAGTTCATTTTATCATGATATCGGGGATATAAAGACAGCACGTGTCTGTTTTCGCCGCAAAACTGATTTCATTTTCAGAGCAGAAATTTTATGTCACGTGACATGACGCGTGTGGTTGAAACAATTTGCCGCAATATATGATTTTGTAGATAAAAATGAAACCCTGGCTTTTAAAATGGAGTGATTTACTCTTATGTTGAGCCATTCATTGCATGATGATTGAGGCCATTCTCATCAATTGTGCATAGGGTATAATATCACTTGCAACTGAGTACGGAATCAGTCGAGCTGAAACGCTATTGGAAGCTTGTAAGTTATACAACATATCGGATCATATAGACTGTGACTTCCATTGGGGTACAATATTAAGGGCCAACCGGGAAGTTTCCATCCAATAAATAAAGTGAGTTGAAAGCATGCAAACCATAGATCCAATTTTAAATGTCAAGATTAAATAATATTCTATTAAAATTATATCACTCTTAAATAAGTCGTTTCCCAAACATTAACCAGCAATAGAAAAATAAGGTTAAAGACATCATTTGTTCAAATGAAATTGATCATTAATCACATGTTCTACTGCATTATAATGATGGTAAGGTTGAAATCACAATTTCATAAGCAATTTCTCAATTTGCCCATGTATTTTGATAAAAAGTTGATTTTGACATCAAAAAGTCATATTTTCAATAATACTATACTGTATAGAGATATACCACATGGTGCTTGTAATTAGTTGTTGTAGGTATCAAATGCATTAAAAAGCTTCATATTTTTTCAGTTATATTCATAGCTTCCTCGTAATGAATACCTACTAGCCTTGGGTAATTAATATTTCCTCTCAACAAAAATCTATAGATATTCTTTTAGGTATTTTCAAATAACCATCCATTCAAAATAAGTGAGTGCATACTGTTAAACACGTGTATTCCTTTATGTATCAAGGTGGTATGAGTGGGTGTATTAGTGAGAATGCCTGGGAGTTAAGCCACTCTATGCTGACTGTGCTATACAAAAATATGTGGTGCGGATATCATGTGCACAAGGTGCAGATATTAACAGTCATCTTTGAATTTGATTTTGTGATATTTCACCAACTAATGCCTGGGTCACATTTGCTGCGATTTTTCGACTAGCGCCCGGCCGATTGAGTATTTTGTTCCAAACTGAATACAATTTTGAACAAAACACTCAATTAGGCGGGCGCCGGGCGATGAAACGGAGCAAATGTGACCCAAGCATTAGACATGTTGGATACTCAATTATATTCGTACATGTGTACAGGTTCCCTAATAAAAACGAAATTGTGTAAATAAGCGTGTAGTTCATTTTATAGCAACACATCAAACTATAATTCTCTCCCTGAAGCAAATAATTTGAAAGTGCAACTGTTTCGCAGTGTTAACAGCATGCATTCAATATTGGTGATCAAGATGACCTATCAATACAAATTATATTTGAATTTGAAAGTTGAAAAATTTAAGTACAAAATGGGAAACATTATATAAAAATATGCAACCTCTAAACAAGCGGTGCAGATATCCATTGATATATTTTAAGTGACGATATCCGCACTGCTTTTTTAGTTTATATCCAATAAATGTTTTCAATTTTTTAAACAGAAAGTTTATGATTTTCAAAATGCAAAAATAATTTATATTGCTTGATCATCTCAATCACGAGTACTGAATGAAGGTGGCAAACTGTGTAATAAAGCAGCAATTTCAAATTCTTTGCTATAGAGCAAGGGTTAATGCTTTTTGCATCATTAAAGAATGAACAATACAACTATAGACAAAATTTCCCTTTTATTAGGTATCCTCCACAGGCCTGTCAACTTGGGAACACCTAACATGAGTGACTTGGAAATGTTGAACACCTCCCCTCAAAATGTGGACACCTTGGTCCAAATCTGAACACCTTGATCCAAATTTTGAACACCTTGGTTTAAATTTTATTACATCTTGCCAAATTTTGAACACCTCATTTTTTTTCAACATTTTCTACAGAAAGATTTTTGCTTGACAATTACCAGGTAAAATGCGTATTTGCGTGACATTTTGTGTCACGCAAAAATAACTGGCGTGACTTCAAATTCTTCAGCAAATGCGTGACAAATACGCAAATTGCGGGACAGTTGACAGGCCTGCCTCTACAAATGGATGACTGTATAGTTGAATACCCAACATGCCTTAGTTTATGAAATATCACAAATTCAAAAAAGACCTTTAATATCTGCACCTTGCACACATGATATCTGCACCACTTGTTTTAGTATAGCACAGTCTGTATAGGGTGTATAAGCTGTAAGCTCAAAAATCCACAAACAGTTAACAAACAACATACAAAAATCATTAAATTTCAGTGTTTAACATCTCAACAGTGATATAAATGGTAACAGTTCATCATAACCAGGATGTGACACTGTAACCTAGTCAATTTATGTTAAAGAAAACATTTTTGAAAGAAATTGCTAGACCTGCACATGTTATTTTCTGGTATAAAATAGCGTATGAAGGCATGGGTGTATTTCTTTGTTTTTCTGGAACACGCCTAACCATCGCGTAAGCATCTACTGTTTGAGAAGTCAGAAATGATTTAGAGTGTCGTTGAGAAACTTGGAGAAGAAATTCAGAAAATTGGAAAGGCAGCTGCCTTCTTAGAATATCAGCATTTCCCTTGTATGGCAATTTTTCAAAAATGTTTTTTTGGAACCATCACCTTAACATATTATACCAAATTTTTCTTATTGGAATTTTAGTATAGGAAATTTCCTCATTAGATTCTCATCAATGATACTGTGAATGTCGACAATTTAACTTTAAAAATTGACCATTTGAACATGTATTCTCATGCAATGGTCTTTGTATTGAGCTTATGATGTTGTCCCCATGTTGGTGTGTAAACTTCTAAATATAGAGCCTATTAATTGCTTAGTTAATCTGTTAATATTATATCAAGCTAAATTGTAATAGTTTTATTTGTGCCTCTAGATATTATAGAATCACTGTACTACATTGTGTATCCAAAATGTTATAAATTATCATTGCACGACCCACAGGTAAAATCACTATGCATGTACTGTACTCACCTCTTTGGATTTCTTTGTGAAGCTTTATAGTTTAGGCGCAATATAATGTGGTTTAAATATTTATCTTGTTCAGCTTACTGCATGACCTGTTTACACCCATTGTGTGTCCTTTCTTCACATTGCATGTAAAATGTGAACCTACAGGGTGGGCCAATAAAAACTGGAACATTTATCTATTTATTCTATTCTCTTTATTTTTTCAGTTCAATCCACAAAAATTCAGATATTGGTAAAATGATTATTTGTGAAAATGTTAGAGATAAAAATATGTATGTATGATTAATTTTGGCTTGACATGGTCATGATCTGTATAATGTGTGTGTCATGAAAAATTTCCAAATTGTCTCTGCTTGAGACATCACTGCTGAAAATACAGTATCTTTCATACCATACAATATGTACCCTTCAAATGGTTTTAACACAATTTCCATCAATTGAAGTGGCAACAAGGACTGTAGAGAGAAAATTTGAACATTTTTTTTTTCTGAGCTATCAGGTCAATATTTGGCTTAACATCTTCTTTGACATACCTATTTTCCTAAAATATTATGTACAAACTATAGTTTTGAAAAAAGAGAAAGTCAGTTAAGTCATATTATCCAAGGGAGGCATGTCTAGCTTCTCTTAGAGATAACTACATATGTATTAATTGATGGAAATTGTGTTGAGACCATTTGAAGGGCATATATTGTGTGGTATGAGATACAGTATTTTCAGCAATGATGTCTCAAGCAGAGAAAATTTGGAAATTTTTCATGACGCACTCAGTATACAGATCATGACCATGACAAGCCAAAATTAATCACACATACATATTTTTATCTTTAACATTTTCACAAATAATCATTTTACTTTATCTGAATTTTTGTGGATTGAACTGCAAAAATAAAGAGAATAAAATTAATAGAAAAATGTTCCAGTTTTTATTGGCCCACCCTGTACTTCAAAGTTGTTTTTAGTTTTGTGATATCTGGTTGTACCTTGGACACATATATAACACTCATTTATCACTTATAAACACTTCACTACCATGTGGTTGAGACTGTTTTCACATTTTCACATATTTTGTCTAGACTTATTATATGATTCATGAAATGGTGTTCACATTTTCTGTATTCACATATTGCAAAATAGCCCTTACAGATTAATAAACTTTTTCCTCAATATCTTTTCATGTCAGGAGATACTTGAAAAATTTAAGGCACTTCTCAAGCTTTATAAATGAAGGTTAGCACACATTATTGTTTATTTTTATCCACTTAATATGGATGGAAAACTAAAAATGTATATGGAACTATTGAATTTATTGAAGGTATGATTGTAAAGTTCAACCTACTTAGGGAGGCTGTCTAGCTCATTATCTAGAAGTCCTTCAATATCGAGAAGTCCCTCATTATCTAGAAGT